TGTTTCCTCGTATAGGTCCAAGTTCAGTACCAGGTGCATCATGAGCTGTTCAATAAATATTTAACAATTGAAGGTGTAGCTGTTGCCCTACCCCCAAAGATTATATATTCATTAGAGCAAAGGCAATAGAACTCTATTTTATCCTCATCCATCCCATCCTTTCACCTACTCACCCATCTATCTAGCCAGCCAGCCATCCATCCATTCATTCACCTGCCACCCATCTATCCATCTTTCCATGCATCCTTCTACCCACCCACCTATCTACCTATCCAGCCACCACTTTACCCAGCCAGCCATCTAGCTGTCATTCATTTATTCCTGCAAATATACACTGATACTTGCTGGGACCAATCTCTGCTCGAATACAGGGATTATGATCATGGACAATGTCCTGGCCCTTGTGGACTTTGCACTTGAGTTGGGTGAGACAGTTTGTAAATGTGCAAAATGAATAAGACAGTGATTAGAAGTTCTACAGAGAACATAGGCAGCACAGAATGTGGGTGGTCGGACTGAAGTTTGGGTACTTCTCTTTTCCTTATGGATGACTTTGTTATACTCTGGCCCAGGGTCTCACTTCGTTCACAACTCTTGCGTGGCCCAGGGATGGCCCTTCCTGTTGGGTGGAGGACACGTACACAGAATTGCATTGTTGAGAACCTTTTTTTCTAAAAACTGATCCTTATCCTGCCCCAGCCTGTCCTTTTATTAATGATGTGAACTTCCAGATCGCCTTTGCCTTCTTTTGCATCTAAATCTGGATTTGAAGAACCGTGCAGATAATACTTTCTTATTTTCATGATCTGAGGCTTTTGGAAGATGCAAGAGGCACAGCGTGCACAGCAAAGGCGGCATGATCACCAGAAGAGGAAATACTGACAGCTTGGCCATCTGGCTTGCTGTATGACTTAGGCCCCAAACTTGCCATTTCTGGGCCTCAGTCTCCTTCAATGACAGGATAATATACCAAGGTTTCTGGAGCATCTCTGAGAACCTATGAAACTGATTTGGAGCCAAGAACAGTGGTCTCCACTTACATGTCCCTACCTAGTACTTTTCAACCTGTGCTAGACTTCTTCCGAAAGGCTGTTCCTGATAGGATCTTGAGGGCTGGAAACTGAACTCCCATCTGGCAGTAAGCTTCTGGTTATCTCTGAGGCCCCTCCAGAGATCCCAGGTTGAAGACTGTGTCCCAGTGACTTGACTGAACTCCTGCATCCTCCTCTGCTCCCTTCCCCACCCCCACACTGCTGGCAGCCTGCCACTCTGCAGTCCCAGCTTCCCAAGGTCTCTGCAAGCCCCCACTCTGGTCTTTGCCAGGCAGCGCAGAGGGGTTAAGCCTCTGGACGCAGCTACCCGGCAAGTGGTGGGAGGGTCGTCTCAGAAGCAGGTCCCCTGGGTCTCCATGGTGCAGATCACCCTTTCATCCCTGTGTCGTGGTTTCCTCATTGGTAAAGCAGGCAGAATATAGTCTACCTCATAGGGGTTTTGTGAAAAATAAGTGAATCAATGTCTGTGAGGTGGCCTGGCATGTTGTAAGTGTTCAGTAAATGTGAGCTGCTATTATTATTATTCTGCTGCCTCCCAGGATTAATTGAAATGCTCCTTATGGGTAATAAAAAGAGAGGTTTGCAAAGTCTGAAGTAATAGGTAAATTTACAAATTATTCAGCACCTCCTGGACTGGCAATATTAAACAGACTGTTCTGGACCATTGAGCTAAGGGCCTTTCATGCCAAAGCCCCTGTTTCAGGTAATTAAATAAAGGAAGCATCTAGAGGGTTCTGGGCATAAATAGACCTCACTTCAGAGATGTCCCCAGGTGAACTTTCTTGTGGCAGCTGTCTGACATAAGTGACCCTGGGCAGTCCAGTTCACCATGATTCTTGGGATCAGGAATTACCAACTGAATCATGTAGAGTTTGACCCCAGGGTCATTGGGCTGTGTTTTCCAATCGTGGGGTTTTTGGAACGCAGTTCAGAGACTACTCTGGGAATCTGGTTTGATGGAGGGCAGGAAGAGTACTCTGTGATTCAAGAGGAGTAGAAAAGTAACCAAAGGAAAATGTGGGAGGCTGAGAAAGCCCAGCTGGGATGCTGACCTTGATCACTTGGATGAATGAACGCGTGGATGATTGGATGGGAAGCTCTAAGTGCAAATTGAAATGCTGTCACTTCCTCTGAACTACCTGACACACATGATAAATCGGTGCTTGAGATAAGCAGACCTCAGCAGCTGAAATGGGGGAAAAAATGGATTTTGCATGAATCCTTGAACCCAGAAAGGAAATGGAGTTCAGAAACGAACAGCACCAGCAGCACGAGGAGGAATGCAGACACCAGTGGTGTCTGTGAAGGTGCAGGGGTCAAGGAACGGTTCGAGAATGGGAAAGGGGCCCAGAGACAGCCTTCAGCGGGCTTCCCAGCTCTGAGCCACGTACCATTCCAGGAGCCCTGGCTTAAAGATTGTTGAAGTAGGCAACTACGTTGGTCATCCATAAACCTGCAGTCATCGCCTTTGGCCACTAGATGTCGAAAACACATTGATCTGGCACATTTTCTGGCCCATTGAGTTGTATAGAAGTAAGCTTAGAGAAGGCAGAGGGGATGAAGGAAGGGATGAAACCAGCCAGAAGGGCCTCTCTAGAGGCTTTAGAGCAACTGCAAAAAAAAAAAAAAAAAATGGGCTGGATGCAGAGAAGTCTTCCCACCAAGATTCACAAAGAAAAGTTAGTTGCAAGTTTTCATTTATTGTTTTGAAATTTGGGAAGGTTTTCAGGATGAAAGGAGGGAGAAATGTGGTGTAGAATAAATTTTTTTCCCACATTAGCTAATGTTTTCTAGAGTTTGTATTTTCCTGAAGTAAAATAAGTAAGTTTAGCATTTTCAAACACTCAGCCCAAATCAGGGATGTAGATGGTGGTGGCAATGGTCGTGTAAGCTATGCTTACATAGCTTTTACTGTGTAGTTGGTATTTATTTCAGCATCTTAAAAAATTAACTTATTTAGTCTCACCACAGACCTATGAGATAGGTGCTTTTATTATCCCTATCTTATAGATGAGGGAGCAGAGGTCAGAGTGGTTATGTGACTTGCCCAAGATCACACAGCTGGTAAGTGGCAGCATCAGGATTCAGCCCAGATATTTAGGCCAGAGGCCACATTCTTACCTAACTTGCTCTACAGTAGATGTTGCCCCTGCTGACTCCTGACATATGACAAACTTCCTTAACAACAGATCAGTGCTGTGATTTCATGATAAGAATCACAGAAGAAACCTCCTTATTCTAATAGTCTAATTTCACAGGACTTTGAAGTGAAGGAGGTAATAACATTGGCCAGTAATTCATTCAGAGTTCTTTGACTTAAAGGGCCTGGTTAGGCAGAAGCATGTCCCATCCCCGGGGACCCCATCACCTCTGCTCCATTAGCTGCTGTTAATTGTTCAAACAGCAGGAGAAAAGGACCAACAAGGCTCAGGAGCCATGATTCCAGAAATTTCTTGTGTTTTTTAGCATAGAAAGATGATCATAAACCTGATATTGCACTAGGAAAGTACACTCCTATTTGGGAACTGGGACGTAGAATACTATTGGTATAGGACTGGCCTCGCTTGCTCTAAAGCTGCTCCAAATACATCTGCTGAGCAAATGGTAATGAATTAAGGCAACAGTATGATATAACAGTATTTAAAGTCTGAGACCAAATTTTTACTGTGGTTAACGTATATCATTTACACTTACTCTATGACCCTTTATTCCAGTCCTATTTACTTAGGAGTAATGAAAACATCCATCAACAGAAAGAATTGTATGTGAACATTCTCAGCAGCATCGTTCATAATAGCCAGAAACTATACACAATCCAAATAATGATCAACATGTGAACAGATAAACAAATTGTGGTATAGCCATACAAGGGAATACTAATCAGCAATAAAAAAGAATTGCTGATACATGCAGCAACATGGGAGAATCTTGGAAAAATTATGCTGAGTGAACAAGGGTAGGTGTAAAAGAGTTTATACTCTACGGGTCCATACATATGAAATTCTGGAACACACAAAACCAATCTGCAGTGTCAGAAAGCAAATCAATGACTGCAGGGGGCTGGGGTAAGTGGTGGGGATGAGCCATAAAGGGGCATGAGGCATCTTGTTGGTGTGATTGGAGTGTTCGGTGTCTTGATTCTGATGATGATCACATGGATATAAAGTCTGCAAACGGTACTGATAATACTGTATGATCTTGGATAAGCCACTTTGTTTTTCTGCACCTTAGTTTTCCTATTTGTAAAAGTTGCTGGTTGGAGTAGATGATGTGTAGAATTTCTTCTGACTCAAAAATTCCCTTGTTATAGCAATATCTAATTCTTAATATGTAATTAGGGTAGCACAGTACAATTTGCCTTAAAGGAATTAATTTTATAGCTAAGGATGAGTTTATTTCTGAGAGCATAGAATATCTATTAGGTTACCCAATAATATTCCTTTTGGGAACAGAGCCATTTGCAGGCCAAATTTACTTAAGGAAACAGCTGAGAAAATGATTTGTGTGTAAGTAAGAAGGATGTTCCCATGGAAATCCCATGCGTACCTAAGGAGGGCCTTTTCCAACGACGCTGGGAAAGGGATGGGAGAGGAAGGCAAGCCACACAGCTGGCAGAGCTGGGTGGGTGGGGGGCCAGCTGAAGAAAGCCACGTTCAATACATCACTTCCCAGAGCCCCCAGAAGCTCGGGGCTGCGGTGGCCCTTTTGATTTCCTCTTTACTGGTTCATTCCTGGCACTCAGTAAGGCCTTAATGATGATGGTATCATTTCCAGTCCTCAGAGAGTACGTATAAAAATGAAGAGCCTAGGGGTTTCAGAGCGTCTCATGGGAGGAGGGCAGGGGCAGAGCCGACCAGAACACCGAGGTTGGAAGGGAGCTGGCAGCACCAAGGGCCACCCGTACTGGGCGTAACAGCCTATTGATCGCCTGCACTCCTGTGTCCCCAGGTCATGAAAACCTACCACATGTACCACGCAGAGAGCATCAGTGCAGAAAGCAAGCTGAAGGAGGCCGAGAAGCAGGAGGAGAAGCAGTTCAACAAGTCGGGAGACCTCAGCATGAACCTGCTCCGGCATGAGGACCGGCCCCAGCGCCGCAGCTCTGTGAAGAAGATCGAGAAGATGAAGGAGAAGGCGAGCCGAGGCCCTGGGGTTTGGGACGGGGCAGGAAGGGGAGGGTCAGGCTCCCTCCAGCCTGGGCCTCCCGCCCTGCACCCCGCGTGTCTGGGGGTGGATTAATGCTGTCCACAGCTACTCCCCTGGGAGGGGGGCAGTGCCGTGGGGAGGTAGAGCTGGCCATGCCTCTGCTAGCACGTGTTAGGCCTCTGGCCAAGGTCAGCAGAAGGAGAGATGCTCAGCTGGCTGGAGAACTGAACTGGGATGAGACTCTCGTGCAGGAAGCATCTTCTGGCAGGACTCACCAGGCATTAGTGTGGGTGGAGCCTGCCCTGGAGGTCGATTTAGTGGCTGGGGATGCTGACTGGGCCTTAATGTGTCCCAGCAAGAGGCAACAGTCCTGGGGTACCAGCCAACACCTGGGAACCAGCTAAGGAACCATTCTGAAGAGATTGATATTGCCAGGCCAAAGCCAGGCCATACGGAATCCTTGCATATTGGTGCTGGAGAAGTGCTTTTGTGGGGCGTGGTGAAAGTGCCAGTTTTGGAGTCAGACAGGCTGAGTTTTGAAGATGCCACATTTATAACAACCCTCTGAACTTTAGATTTAAAATCTGACAGTGATTGCAAACAAATCTCTTTTCTCATATCAACTGTCATCATTTGGTAGTGGCTACCCAGAGCCCTGGGCTTCCCAGGTGGCGCTAGTGGTAAAGAACCTGCCTGCCCATGCAGGAGACTAAGAAGCACAGGTTCAATTCCTGGGTCAGGAAGATCCCCTGGAGGAGGGCATGACAACCCACTCCAGTATTCTTGTCTGGAGAATCCCGTGGACAGAGGAGCCTGGCGGGCTATGGTCCATAGTGTCACAGAGTCAGACCAAATGACTTAGCACACACATGTGCACCCAGAGCCTTATGTTGAGGATTGTGAGCCCCCTCAAGGCTTTAGTTAAAGATAGTACTGTGATCAATTAATGACGTCTGCCATGGCCAGGGAATTTAAAGGGGCAGTGTGCATCCTGTTATTTTTCATCCTAGACTAGGTTACTTCTTAGGTTCCTTTCTTCTTAAAGGGCTATGATTTTCTTGTTGAATTCTCTGCATTCATTCATTCCATACAATCAGCAAACATTTCCTGAGCTTTTTCTATTTGCCAAACATTGCATCAGATATTTGTTTGGGCTTCTTTTTTTTTGTTTGTTTGGGCTTCTATTAGACTAACTCTGTGAGACTAATTCTGTAAGACTGATGATTAAATGATCCTACAGCTCTCATTATAGGAGATTGAGTGGGAATAAATTCCAACAGGACCTTGGTAAGCTGGAAAAGTAACCAGAGGCAAATAAAATATCAGAATCATTTCCAAAGCCAAAGAAAAATATGCTCAAAGATAAACAGGCAGTGACCCAGTTAAGAAATGGGCAAAGGATTTGAATAGACACTTCTCTAAACAACATATATAAGTGGCCAATAAGTACATGAAAAGATGCTCAGCATCATTAGTTACTAAGGAAATGCAAGTTGAAAGCACAGTGATATACCATTTCACCCCCTCCATGGTGGCTGAAATAAAAAAGTCAGATAACCATAAGTTTTGGTAAGGATGTAGAGAAATTGGAACCATCATACATTGCTGGAGAGAATGTCAACTGGCGCAGCCACTTTGGAAAATAGTCTGAAAGTTCCTCAAAATGTTAAACATAGAGTTACCATATAATTCAGCAATTGCACTCTTGGAACTTCATAGCAGTTTCATGCATAATAGCCAAAGGGTAGAAACAATCAACTGATGAATAAAATACGGTAAATTCCTATAATGGAATATTCAGCCATGAAAAGGAATGAATACAGGTACGGCATGGATGAACCTTGAAAACAAGTGTGCTAAGTGAAAGAAGCCAGTTACAAAAGACCACATATTATATGATTCTATTTATTTGAAATGTCCAGAATAGACAAATCCATAGAGGCAGAAAGCAGATTATTGGTTGTCAGGAGCTGAGGCAGAAAAGAATGGAGAGTGACTGCTAATGTACAGGGTTTCCTTTGGGGTAGTGAAAATATTCTAAATTTAGACAGTGGTGATGGTTGTATTGATACAATATTTCTGGGAATATACTTTGATACAATATGTCTGAGAATACACTAGAAATAGACTTTAAAAAAATAAGATAACCAAGCAGGGAATTACAGAGTTACAACATAAGGGGATCTATAGAGAGGTACAGAACAGTACTGGTTAGGGGGGTCTGGAAACTAAGTTTGAGTTAAGGATTGTATGCTAATTGGCCATTTGGCTCTTGGACAACCTATTTCTCTTCAATGTTCATTTCCTCACCTATAAAATGAATGAATTAAGCTAAGATATCTTCAATATCCTTTCCAGGTATAAACTTTTATGAGACCATGAAGGGCTGAAAATGGTCTCAGGGTCATAGTAATCCCCTCTAAATGGGCCAGGAATATCAAAACTCTCTGTGGAGATGGGGTGTGTGGCTGGTTCAGGGTGTGACTGCCAGAAGTTTGTTGCTAGAAATTCCCAGAGTAAGTGGACCCTGAATAAAGGTCAGAAGAGAAGTCTGCGGAAAATTAAAAGGCTGACAGTGGCGGTCTCCACTAAACAGGAGAACGTGATCTGTAGGGAGGAAGGTTGAGAGTGCCTCGGTAGGACGTAGCCTTGTTTCTTAAAGGAGGCTGTCTCCCTCCTCAGCATTGGGGCTCATCTGTCTGAAGGGGGCAAAGAGACAGCTCTCCAACCCGTGGACTCATTCCTGCTTCCTGCCCAGGATGGCCCAGGACGGAAGCAGCTTCCTAGGGAGGCGGTCCAGCTCAGACTGGGTGAAGACTGCATCTCTGGCTGCCACACCCCACCTCACTCCACCACTCACATCCAGCCAGTGCCAATTACTTCATGCTGCCCGTATGCAGGGACTGTTCTGGGTGCTGTAGACCCAGACATGAACAGGGACCATTAAGTCCCTGACTTCACAGGGGACACTGAAAATCAGCAAGTTAGCAAAGAGGTAAAAAAATATATATAATTTAGGGTGGTGAAAAGTACTCATGAAAAATATTGAGCAACCAAAATGTCCTTCAGTAGTTGAGTGGCTAAGTAACTGTGGTATAGCCAGACAATGGAATGTTATTCAGCACTAAAAAGAAATGAGCTATCAAGTCATGAAAAGACATAGAGGAACCTTAAATGCATGTGACAGAAACCAATTTGAAAAGGCTACATACTATATGATTCCAACTATATGACATTCTAGGAAAGGCAGAACTATGGAGATGTTAAAAAAAAAAATCAGTGGTTACAACCATTATGTGGGAGAGAGGGATGAAAGGCATGAACGGTGGAGCACAGAGGATTTTGACCAGTGGAGAACAGAGGATTTTTCCAGCAGGGAAACTACTCTGATACTATAAGGATGGAAACTTGTTACTATACATTTGTTCAAATCCACAGAATATACATCAAGACTGAACCCTCAGGTAAATTGTAGACTCTGAGTGATAGCAATGTGTCAGTATAGGTCCACCAATTGTAACAAATGTACAATGTAACAAATGTACAAATTATAACCTGGTAGGGGGTGCTGAGGGTTGGGGGGCACTGTGTGGGGGGCCAGGAGGCATGCCCAGAGTCTTTTTACCTTCCTCTCAGTTTTGCTATGAAGTTAAAACTCCTCTAAAAAAGTCTTTTAAAAATTAAATAAAAATAATCACTAAAACTTGAATGAAGATTAAATAACTGGGAAAAATAGGGCAGAATAGAGCATGGGAAGGGGCAGGCATGATGCCGGGGACCCTGATGCATGTGACCTTGGCTAAGGACCTGAGTGACATGGAGAAGGCCATGCAGGGACCTGCAAGGATGGCCTGCCACGTGGAGGGAAGGAGTCTGAGTCTGGAGGCAGAAGTGAACTGGCCTCTAAAGGATGGACAGAGGAGGGCCTCATAAAGGATGGGAATATGGAGGAAGAGCCAGGTCAGGAGGGCTTCACAGGCCATTGTCAGGGTTTGAGCAGCCTCTGGGGGATGTTGAGTAGGGGCCTCTGGAGGTGTGAGTTACACTCCACTCTGGCAAACCCAGGAAAAGCCTGCAGTTTACCCCGACAGTGCTGTTGTTGGCTACACATGTCGTATAAGGTGGAGCTCTTTGAGTATGGTCTCTAGATCTTTCTCACCCAGCACATGGAGTAAGGTATCCCAGGGCCACATGAGGGGCTGACCGCAGATACTGGCCATATAGAAAACCCCAAATCCTTCGCATCAGTGGCTATGCTCTCACATCCACTCTTTCCTTTCTCTAGAGGCAGGCAAAGTATTCCGAGAACAAGCTGAAGTGCACCAAGGCCCGGAATGACTACTTGCTGAATCTGGCGGCCACCAACGCGGCTATAAGCAAATACTACATCCACGACGTCTCCGACCTCATCGACGTGAGCTCCTGGGGAGTCTACGCTGATGACCTGCCTGGCAAGAGTCATCAGCTGCGGGAGGGCTGGCCCTTGTTCTTTGCTGACATCTGGGGTGGACGGAGGCCCCGGGAGCCCTGATGGAGGAGACAGGCAGGGAGCATTTAAGAGAGGAGTAGCACCCTGTGGCTTCTACTTCCCTGGGTGGGAGTGGGCCTCTGGCGGCCCTTGCACATTTGGGCTGGGAAGTTGTAGTTCAGCGTGCACTTCCAGCCACCTTCCTCTACACCAGGCCCTTTACTGGTTTTGGGGATAGAGGGGTGATTGTGCACAGTTCATGCCCTGGGGACTTCCCATGATTGTAAAGATGGTTGTATGTTCAGCACCCCTGGGGTCCAGTCCTCCAGACATAGGGAAGAAAATAATGAATGAGACAGAATTACACAGATCAGCTTTACTTGGGGATGTTATGTTGGGAGAAATCAGGCAGTTGAAGTAAAAGGAAAATGGAACCCTGGCTCCTGAGCACCAGCTGTGCGGAATGCACTGGCAGGACAACCAGATTTGGGCGGGAATGCTGTGAGCACCAGATTTGGGGCAGCTCCTGTGTCAGCTGTGATGGAGCTGGAGCTGCGTGGTGTGTCTTCATGAATACGGGTATCCGGCCCAGCAGGTGCTTGGTCAGGCTTCTGTGAGGGGGTCCTTTTCCTCTGGCCCCGGTGCACCCCATCAGGAGGTCACAGGGTCACCGCTTTTCCCTCCGCTGCAAAGGGACGCATTAGTGTCATTCCCACCACCCCCAGGAGAGGCAGCTGCCTGGCCCTGCCGTCAAGTGCCCACCATTCCTGCTTCCAAGGCTGGAGCCCTCCTTTTCCCCTCCCTTTCAGCTTTCTTTTTCGCACAGCCCTTTCATTTGTTTATTTACCAAGTTTTTACTGAGTACCTACTAGCTCTAGGTCTTGAGGTGCAAGAGGGGACAAGAGCCAGTGGGTTTGTCCTCATGAATCTCAACCTGCATCACCCTGCTGCTTTAAAGGTGAATGTAACGCCAAGTGGCAGGTGTTAAACGCTGAGGGAACACCTGAAGGAAGTGGAGGGAGATGTGGACCCCTGATATGGGACACTTGGTGTAAACTCTGAGTGGGGAGAACATCAAGGAAGGCTTCCTGGAAGAAGTGACCTCTAAACTGGAACCCAGAGGAAGAATATTTAGACAGGAGGAGAAAGGAAGAGGCTTCCAGGCAGATGGTATGAGTGTGTGAAGGCATGGAGATTAGAAAGAACATGGTGAGTTTGGGGAGCTGAGAAAAGAACTGCCATTGCCCAGATTATAATCCCACTGCTCCCTCTGAGGGTTTGGCATGACTTGCATGGTAAGATTCCGAAGTGCACGAGGCCTCCCAGTGTGGAAGTGTTGACTGTGGAGCAGGAGGTGACCTAAGTCACTGTGACGGCCCCCCTCCACATCACCACCCTCAACTGCACATTCTGTGTGTGCTCTCTCCAAGTGCTGTGACTTGGGCTTTCATGCCAGCCTGGCCCGCACCTTCCGGACCTACCTCTCAGCCGAGTACAACCTGGAGACCTCGCGCCACGAGGGGCTGGACGTCATCGAGAACGCCGTGGACAACCTAGATTCCCGAAGCGACAAGCACACGGTCATGGACATGTGTAACCAGGTCTTCTGCCCCCCGCTCAAGTTCGAGTTTCAGCCCCACATGGGGGACGAGGTAGGCTTCTCCCAGGAGCCCCTGCTCGAGGCTGCTCCCAGAGGACTGGGGGAAGGAGAGAATGTCAGCTCAGAGGCCTGGGGTCAAGTTCTTGGCGCGTGGGCTTCCCCAGCGGAGGAGTTTACCACTAATCCCCTAATCTTGGTGCCTCAAGTCCGCTCCCTGCAGAACCACAGAACCTTAGCTTCCCATAAAATCCCTCCCACTTATGTCTAGAAGACCCCAAGGGAGCCCCACACCTACACTTAGAGCGTCATCTTGCGTTCTCCCCTCAGATGGTCCTGGATCACCGAAGGTGGGGTCTCAGCAGAGCCACTCTGGCCTGGGTTCCAGGACCCTGAGCCCTCAGCACACCAGCCAGCTGAGTTCCCTTCAGGGCTTGTGCTGCTCACATCCTCATGATGGTAGGGGGAAAAAAAAAATGGGAAAAGACACTTGTCACTAGCCCCAAAGCAGCACACTAGTTACTCAAGTTTCACAAAACTTCCTAATGAAAATCTCTCCTTGAGCTTTTCCGTGTCATCCCTCCCTCTCTCCAGGGCTCAGGCCCTGGTCCCTGGAACAAAGGAGGACAGCCACCAGGTGTCATATCTGGCTCCCTGTCTCTACCTCCAGGGATAGGTGCCCAGAACTTTCTCCTAGTGGCCCCATTCCCTCCACCTAAGATACCCCACCCAGTCACATGAGAGAGGGACCCAGCCAGCCTCTGGATCCAGGTGGGAGCTTGGCTGGGCTGTCACTGCACCTGCATAGCAGGGAGGTGCCCGGAGGCACCTTTGAAGATGCCGTTAGCTGGACCCTCCCTCGGCCTTACTCACTTCCTTCGTTTGCAAGAGATGCCTTCTGCCAGGCTTCCCCACAGCTCCCGCAGCATCCCAGCCCCTCGTGTCCAGCCCTCTGACTCATCGGCTGGTGACTGAAGGCTGGGTTAAAAAACAGAGACCCGCTGTCTCTTATGAGCTCAGCCAGGTGACACCGGGCAGTCCAGCCCACGGTAGTCAGAGCGTTGGCTGGACTCAGGGTAGGAGAACTGTATCTCTCTCTCGTCTTCCCCTCCTGCCCCCTCCTCTCTCAGTCAGCCCACGTGGGGAGAAGGGCAGCGAGAGGATTGCTGTTGCACAGCTGCCTGTCCTTCCTGCTGGGTCCATTCCACTGTTTCCCATCCTTCCTTCTTTTCACTGGCTGCTCTTAGGCACAGCTTCCTGCCTGGAAGTTCGCCAGTTAGTCTCACTTAACGACATCATGTCAGTAGTGAGCCGTCGTGCACTGCCCAAACATAGACCACAGCCAAGAGTTGTGAGAGGGCGGCCCCTGGCTCCTGGCTGGCCGTGCTGTGGCCCAGGATGAGCTGTGTGGTCTTGGGCAGGTGGCGTAACCTTCCCAGGCCTGTTTCCGCAGCTACAGATGGGGACGTTGGTGGCGGCCGGCCCCGGCTCCGCTGAGGTCGGGGCCCGGGGCCAGCGCAGGTGGCGGCTGTCGTTTCTGCAGGTGTGCCAGGTCAGCGCCCAGCAGCCCGTCCAGACGGAGCTGCTCGTGCGGTACCACCAGCTGCAGTCCAGACTGGCCACTCTCAAGATTGAGAACGAGGAGGTGAGTGAGCCCACCGCCCCGTGAGGGATTTGGCTGCTTGGGGGGAACCCACGCTGCCCTTGGAAGATGTGTGGAGTCAGGGTTCATCTGTAAGATGCAGAACCATTAAAACCATACCCACCAAGAACCTTTCATGGCATGGGGAATGCTTGTGCATGTGCGCTCAGTCATGTCCGACTCTTCTGCGACCCCCTGGACTCTAGCCCTCCAGGCTCCTCTGTCCGTGGGATTTCCCAGGCAAGAATACTGGAATGGGTTGCCATTTCCTTCTGCAGAGGATCTTCCTGACCCAGGCATCCAGCCCCTGTCTCTTGCATCTCCTGTGTCGGCAGGCAAATTCTTTACCACTGAGCCACCTGGGAAGCCCAGGAAATGCTTATAAGATGTTAAAGGAAAGCAAAGAGGCAGTAGCATTCTATGTTCAGTACTATTCTAACCAGGGTACACCAAAGTGTGTGTGCATATTTCTGAGTGTATTCACGGGAGTAGGAAAAAGGCTGGGAGGAAATACTTTGAAATGCTGGTAGTGGTTTTGTCTGGGTTACAGGAATGTAGGTGATATCTGTTTTCTTCTTTGTGCTTTCCTCTCTTTTCTGCGGTGAGTTTATGTTATTTTTATCATCAGAAGTAAGAGTAGGTATTTTGAATCACACAGTGAAACAACCCAGGGCACGCTAAACGTGTCACAGATTCTGAGCCCCACGGAGCTTCTGTCTTACTGTGGCCCACACACCTCCCCGCAGCGCCTGGCTCAGGGCTTCCACCAGGTGGGCACGAGTGGAAGCACCAGCTGGGAGGCTCCGTTCTGATGTGCAATGATGAGGCCACATGGAGACCTCCTGTTGGAGGATGTCACCCCAGATTGTGGGCAGGTCCATCTGTGAGACGTGCACTCAGAGCTGGAGAGGGGGAGTCATGGTCCCGGTCTCCAGGCCTCGAGGGGGCTGTCTTGTGCAGAGAAGGCAGGTTGCTTTGTGTCTTGAAAGAGGATGGAACCAGGGCAAACGTGAACCAGAGTGCAGCTCAGGATGAACAAATCAAAGAAGTCCCTGTGGGGAGGTTACAGACCAACTATGTATTTGTTTATTAAACCTGAGAAGAGAGAGGATATGGACAGAGTGTTTTCTTCCTTTTTTTATGCCATCTCTTCCCCCACAGCATTTTAAATTGTCTACATGGAACAGCATGTGCTGTATGTGTATAATAATGTTAATGGAATTTAGGTTGAAAGTCAGGACCACAGAAAGGAGGGTGAAGCACATGTTCCTCTGGGTAGGCTGTTCACAGCCGGGGAAATGCTTAATTTTGAGCCTGAGCTTCTGTGAGGCTGTGTTGGAAAGAACTGAGTCACTCAGTTCTTCATTCAACAAATCGTTATTCAGCACATGCTCGTGCTCACGCTCAGTTGCTTCAGTCATGCGACCCCGTGGACTGTAGCCCACCAGATTCCTCTGTCCATGGGATTCTCCAGGCAAGGATACTGGAGTAGGTTGCCATTTCCTTCTCCAGGGTATCTTCCCAACCCGGGGATCGAACTCATGCCTGCCTGCGTCTCCTGCTTTTGCAGGTGGATGGATTCTTTACCCACTGAGCCACCTGGGAAGCCGTATTCAGCACATGCTATCCTCTAAATGTGTTCAGTGCCGAGTTAAGTGAGTGAACAGACAGTGTAGAGTACTTTCTCTCATGGAGTTTATAGCCTGGTGAGAAGAGGCGGGTGAGAGTGGAAGCACAAAAGCAAACAAACAGCAAATTGAGGACATAAAATATCAGCCACTAAGTTAAGAATGAGGTTGTGGCCAGGAGGCGACTTTTAAGTTGAGGTCTGAGTGCAAGAGAGACTCTGAGCGGCCGGCAATAGTTGTCCAGTGAGTGTGGATGCAGGCTCTCTCAGGACTGTGTTTGAAACCACCTCCGTTCAAGCTCGGGTCCGCCCTTTAGGCACAGTCCACTGAAGGGCTGTGGGGAGGCTGGGGCCTGTGCGTGAAGCCTCCGGGGGTCCTGCTCGGTCCTGGGAGGGGAGTCGGGGCGTGGAGGAGCGGGCACGCCGCACGTGTCTTGGGCCGTCTTCCTCCAGCCCTCTTTTCTCAGGCTTGTGTGGACTCCGTGGCCGACAGTGTGAGAGTTTGGCCATGGAGAACGGAGCCCCCGTATCCAGACTGTCTTCTCCCTGCTCGGGATGAGCAGAACGGGGAGTCCTTCTAGGGCTGTCCCTCCGCGGGGCCCTGCCCCCCTAGGAGGAGCGTCTCTGGGGCTGTGTTACCGTAGAGAGACACAGACCTCAAAACCCGAGTCCCTTGCTGGGCACAGTGTTCTCCAAGGTTCTCACTGGCAGAAGTAGACCCATGTCATGACTGAGCTTAGGCGACCCGGCTTCTCCTCCCAGCCAGCTGCCAGCCTTATTTTCCACGTCACCGTTAACAGAAGTGAGCACCTTTGTCCTGCCTACCTCTGGGGGCTTTACGTGGAAGAAGTAAATAAAGGCATGATCGGGAAAGGACTTTGACGTGTCAAAGACATTCTGAGGCTACGGGGCTTTTGTTGACATGCGGTGTCTCTCTAGGTCAGGAAAACTCTGGACGCCACCATGCAGACGCTGCAGGACATGTTGACCGTGGAGGACTTTGATGTCTCCGACGCCTTCCAGCACAGCCGGTCCACGGAGTCTGTGAAGTCGGCCGCCTCCGAGACCTACATGAGCAAGATCAACATCGCCAAGAGGAGAGCCAACCAGCAGGAGACAGAGATGTTCTATTTTACGGTAAGTGGCATCCTGACTGAGAACCTGCTGCCTGTAGCCCCGCTGGCAGTGACTTTTGGGGGACAGCCCAAATTAGTGGCAGCAGAGGAACCGCATGGGTCACTTAGACCTACAGTTCCTCCAACATGCTTTTCAGAATAAGTTGTCTGCCTTGGCTTTGTGACGTGCAGAAAGTGAGCTAACCACTGGGTAGCATCAGCCTTGATCTTGGATTGACACTCATTGCAACTTTCCTGTTCTAGAAAAAACACAGAGAGGGTTGTGCTCAGTAGGGTGAGAGGAAAAGGGCTGACAGAGCCAGAGGCACATCCCAAGTAACAACCCCCAAGTTAAGTGTATGGTTGTCATGTCAAGTTGTGTCAAATTTGGGCCTGGACTCTGCAAACAATGCCCTGGGTGATCTTTGCAAATAGCTGGTGAGTTGCCAGCCCTTCATGTAAAATCCCAGATTACTTATATTCCATTTGGCCAGGGAGAAACAGGGATGAGAGGCATCGGGGCTTTGGTTCAATGGGTTTTTAGTGAATATGCAATGTTGGGTTGGAGAGGATCTTCCATCTGACACTGGATCCTATTCCACCCAGTTCCTGCCCCAGAGTCATGCAGATTGTGCTTGAACAGCCCCAGATTAAAAGCTCCCTCCCTCCCCAAACAACTGTTTTGTTTGGCTTGTGGCTGTCTATGGACATTATAATGTTTTCCCCTATCTCTGTTATCTTCAAAAAGCTTCCTCACGAGGATTTCTGGTCATTGATCTTAATTCTGTTCTCTGGGACAACCCAGAGAGAGGCTAATTCTACTTGACAGTCTGGCAAGGTTGCAAGGAGCTGGGCTTTTATTTCTCTAGGCTGAACACATCTACTTGTTTCAATCTGGCCTCTTAAGCTTTTGTTTTGAGTGGCCTCAGCATCCTAGTGACTCTTTCCTGACCACGTTCTGTCAGTACTTCTAGAAAGAGACTCCCAGCAATGGAGTGACCAGCACAAAACAGGGCTAAACTTTCACCTCCTTCCACATTAGGGGCTATGCTTCTCTTTTCATACATCCTAAGATTACATTCTATTGGGTTTTTTTAAAGCTGGTATCAGTTAAATCTCTATTCTCAGCATACCGCCATTAAACCATCCTCCTATGGGATGTATAGGTGATGTCTTAGGTGGATCTTATGTTTATTACCAGTTTGATTTCCTCTTGATGGATTCAGCTCATGGCTCCAGCTGTCATGAGCCTTATCTGGTTGCTCATCATAGATGCTGTCTCTTCAGACCTTGTGTCTAGAGATTCAGTAAGGGTGGCTTCTGTACCTTAAAGTTTATTAGTTAAAACAAACAAACAAGAAATGAATTGCTATGTCAAGGCCAAGGCCAAAGACAGAGTTGTTCAAAACATGCCATTAGGCTGATATTGATCCATTAATTAGCAGTTTTAGATTGTGGTCATTTAACCAGTGACAAACCCACCCAGTTTTAACATCCAACTCTATTTCTTGCTTATCAAATATCTGTTGAAAGCCAGTGGTTGATGCATACTCCATTTCATTGATCAGTTTTGTTGCTTTCAAAAAAGAAAGCAAAGCGAGACTTAGTGAATGAGTCCATGCCAATTTCGGGGGTTCACCACTTCCACTGGGGGCCATACTGTGTTTGTAGAGAATTTATGGGTTACAAAGATAAGGGAGGAAAATGGATGGGCATTAAGTCACTTTGGCAGCAGAATCAAAGATGGGAATTCAGCCTGCTTGAAATGAAAAGACAGCATCCATTATGGGGGTCATGGATGTCGTACTTTGATTTAGATATTCAAGTTATCAACCTGACTGGCTAGTGCACCTCATGATTTGATGTTGTGACATTATTTAGGTATTTTTAAGGATGTAACACTCCTTTTAAAGCAAATATCAATATGAATTGATGGTATTTTTTTCTTCACACATGAAGCCTAGGTGAAGCATAGAAGCAGTAGCCAGGGGCCCAGAGCCCCAGGTTGTAATTTACACTAACAAGTGAGTCACCCGCCAAAGCACGAGTTACAGGTTTGGGACTAGAGCTTCACCTGCCTGGGGCACTGAGGCAGGATGGAGAGAACACCTACTTAACCTCAGCTCTGGGTTTCATGGTGAATTCTTGAACACAGGATAAAATCAGAGGGTGATATCACTGGAAGCATCCAGAGAGAGAGCCTCTCGGTGAGTAACTATCAAACGGAAGTGTGTTTTTGAATTATGTAAGAAACTTCTTGAAAAGTTTCCAGACTGCCACCCTGTCTGAAGTGGCGCCCTGGAAATGTGAGGACACCTGGGCTTCTGTGGTGTCCTCCTAGCGTTAGACTCACAGGAGTCCAGAGCAGGAATCTGCCTGTGGACACTCTCCCCAGCTGGTGCCTGCACCACACTGGGAGAAGCACCATGAGTCTCCTCATTTTACCCTGAGGAAGGCATGAGGCCCAGAAATGTTCAGAAATTTGATCAAGGTCACACACTGAGTGGTCACTACTCTAAGCAGTTTCTCCCTCTGTGTAGAATGAGAACAGTGATGCTTCTGTCATTTATCATCTGAGATTGCAGTGAGGACCAAATATACCTGTTTGAAAACCATCTACAGATACAACAGGGATGACTTAACAACCACAAGACAAGGCCCTAGGAGCTAAGAAAGACCAAGGCTAAGAATAAAGAAGGCCCAACCTCCAGAAACCCGCCGTGGGGTGGGGGTGGGGGCAGCAGGGTTCAGCGAGCTCAGTCTTCTCTGGGCACATGTGGGCCTTCGCCCCACACCTGTCTTCTGCGGGCAGAGTGACGCTCCATATGTCCTGAGCTGCCGAGGCTCACCTCTCTGCTCCCCTGTGCTCCATCTGAGCCTCCTGGCTGAGGCATAGAATGGATTTTTGGTGAGAAACTAGCTGGCAGATTTGGGGCAATCACATCCATCCCCGTGCCTTCCCCCTCAGGGCCTTGGTAATTGCATTCCCCTCTGCTGTGAACCCCCTCCTCTGCCCCCACATGGCCCCTTCCTCACCTCCTTCAGGCCGGGGCTGAAATGGCAGCTTTGCAGTGAGGTCTGTTCCTACTTCCAGATCCTCATTCCTGCCTTGTTTCCATCCCTAGAGTTTACCACCATTGACCTACTGTATATTTTACTTACATTTTTGTTAGCTCATTGTCTTTCTCCTATTCTGCTATGTCAGTGCCGCCAGGTCAGGAGTTCAGCTGAATTTCTCAGCACCTACTACATGTCAGGCACAGCTATAAGCACCAGGGATCCAGAAGGGAACTGGTGTGGGCCACGCGTGCAGTGCCTCTTGGCCCAGCAGAGAGGGCTCCCAGCCTGTGATTGGGTGACATGGGGCAAGGGGGGCCAAGGGAAGCTGGTACCTGTGTGGAGGCGTGGCTGAGGCCATGCTGAACTGGGGGCAGGTAAATGTGTTTCTGTTCTGGGTGCCTTGTTTCCTGGACTGCACCCGAGTGCACTGTGTTTGGCCAGGCCCCTGGACCGGAGGTAGCCTGGATCCCAGGAACTTTGGGCAGATCACTTCTTGTGTGATTCTAACCTTTCTCATCTGTAAAAAGAAGAAAATCTTATCCCCCAAGTGCAGTTTGGGTTATTTTAATAGGAACGTCTCCAGAGGCCTGCAGTGCCCTTCCTCCTTCAGTTCTCAGCCAGATGAAAGAAGACATGTCCTGAGGCTCCTCTCTGACAGATCCAATAACATGCTCTTGCCTCGGCTGCATGCCCTTGGCCCAGAAGCACAGAGGAACTTTGATCGCTGAGAAAGCCCTCTGCCCCAGCTCCTGCCGTCCTCACGTGACAATAGCCCCTTTTACTTTGCCCATCTCCCACCTCCTCCAGCTTTCTTTGTGTTCCGAAACTGACCTGGGACTGGACAGCCACGCTAAGCAGAGGTGGGGACCTGCTGGAACTGATGCAGAGACCCTCCCCTCTCCACCTTGAGGCCTTGCTGGTGGCTTCCCACCCCGAGGTCTGTTACAGAGGCAGAGATGGTAGGACCTGGCCCTGCAATCTGTAATGTCCTTGTGCCTGTGTCTTACAGAAATTTAAAGAGTATGTGAATGGCAGTAACCTCATCACTAAGCTGCAAGCCAAGCACGACTTACTCAAGCAGACTTTGGGCGAAGGTGAGTTGAGCGTTGGAGGCGGGCACTGGAGGGTCCTCCCCATTGGGTCTCGTTGTGGCCCCTTGAGCTGTTACAGATGGAGGTCCCAGGCACTTGGTAGAATGAGGTCTGGGACTGGGGCCACCTACTGGAACAAGCCGGCTGGGGAGAGCCTGGTACAGATGCTGAGAGGGGGTCTAGTTTGGCTGCAGAAACTATGGGGCAAACACAAGTCTGAGTTTAAGTTGTGGGGAAGGGTCCCAGAAAAAGCGATAATGGGTCCCCAATAGGTAAAGGGTGGGATCCAGGGCATAGGGCTCTGCACTGATAATTTCTTAGTAGATTCTGTTTGCCAGGAATACTAGTGGAATGCCTGGCCAGGATTCTAGGTCCAAGAAGAATTCACATATGTAAGGCACAGTTTGGTCCTTGAGGGACCTGGGGACTAGAGTTAAAACTCTCGAAAAGCTTCCAACGATGGTTGGAATAAAAGCCCATCTGCTTCCGTGGCACATGAGACCTGAAATCATTTGACCTCCACATGCTACCCTAACCTCATCTAGTTCTCCTCCACTCTCCTACTGTACTCCAGCTGCACTGAACTCCCTCCTGCATTTCAGAGCTCATCCAACTTATTCCTGCCTCAGGGCCTTTGCACCTGCTGTCTGAAATGCCCCCCCTACCCCATATCTTTGTGTGGATGGCTCCTTATCCTTCAGCTGTCAGCCCAGATATCACTTCCTCAGTGAGACTCTGCTGTCCCAGCCTCAGTGAATCACCACCTCTGTCCCAACACTCACTCTGTTTGATCTTCTTCATCTCGGTGGTCATCATGTGAACTCAACCTCTTCATCATCCGTTCACCTGCTTCTTGTCATTGATCGCACCTCCACACCCAATAGCATGATACCTTCGGCCAGAGTAGGAACTTCCTTGCTTGTCTTGTCCACTGCTTTGTCTGTAGTGCCTAGGACAGTGCCTGGCTCATAGTAGGCACTCTATTAACAGTCACTGAATGAATGTTGAATGGAAAGATCACCAGAACATGAACTAGAAACCATCCATCATCAAGGATGTTTCAACTGACAAAAAAGGCACACCCTAAGAATTGAAAATTATATTTTATTCGGTGGGAAAAACTGAGGCCTTAAGCCCAGGGTGCAGTATCTCAGATAACTCTGAGAGACTGTTCCACAGAGACAAAGTGAGGAACCAGGACATTTAGGAGTTTTTGCAACAAAGACGAGGTAGTCAGAACACCAAAGGATTGCTGTTAATCGAAGAAAACGTGACATCTCAAGTTAAGGAATTGGGGCTCTTTTATATATGGGAAGGTGCAAGAGTCTGGGCTCCCTGAAATCGTTCCTTTGGTATGTACCTCAGCTCTCTGGGGCCAGCATCCTGTTTTCTCCTCCTGGTTTCCTCGGGGTGCACCATTGCAGGGAGCCAGGGCTGACGGCTGCAGTGTCTGAGGACTCAGTGGTGGACGTAGTGTTTCCATCCTGATGAGTTCCCTTGGGGCTGTCCATCACATTTGGCTGTAGTGTCTGATGGGCGCAACATCCTCACTGATGTGGTAGGTGGTATTTTTAGTGCACAGGTGGTTTAGAGCAAGTCCTGGTGGCCCTGGGGCTTGGTATGAGGCTTAACTTTGAGCAGAGGAGCTGACCTGGGGCTTCTGAAGCTGTGAGGCCACACTGGGAATAGCCTCATGTTCTGTTTGGAGAGGTCTGTTGGCTGAAGGATGTGCTCGACTGACAGGAAAGAAAACACGGGGTCTGGGAAATACGGGGCCAGTATCAGAGAGGCGAAAAGACTTCCCAAGGTGTCAGTGCCACTAGATCCTGGGATGACAGCTTGGAGCAGTTTAGAGATGTCCCAGGAGTCTTCTGGGGAATGAGTGCGACAGGACAAGAGCTGTGCTGGGCCGTGGGGCTGGTGGTCACTGCTGCGGGTGTTGGCCACCCACACTACATCCTCGCCCTTCGCTGGCTTGCTCTCTTCTCCCCTGGGTGCACGTTTTAGTGGCTGGGCCTGGGCCACGCAAGTCTCGTCCCCTCAGCATTTCTCCAGGGGGCTGCCAGGCTCTGCAGGCGCTTGGCACGTGTGAGCCCATGCCTGAGAGCGACCGGTGAGGAGTGAAGCCATTTCCAGCCAAGGCATTTACAGTCTAGCTGGGAGACAACTCCCGAGTTCGTTAAAAAGTTAACCGGTGATAACAGTATCACACAGAAATTCTGAATAAATTGCCAGGTGAACAATGCAGGCTCTGAGGACTGTGAGTCCCAGGAGGGAGGTTTTACCGTGGGCCCAGAAGAGCAGGAAAAGCTTCCAGGAAGATGAATAACTAGGGATCGAAGGAATAGCCAGGACTTTGAAACTAACACCAGCGGAATTTTTTTCAATCAACTTTATTGACATATAATGGAAATACCATAAGATGCACCCATTTTATGTGTAGACATCAGTTTTGACAAACACACACACCCAGGTATAACCAGCACTCAAAAGCTCCAGCCCCAAAGAGACAGCCCAAAAGTTCTCTTGTGCCTCTTTGCAGTCGACCCTCACCACCCCCCATCCTCCACTTGAAGCCACCACTGATCTGATTTCTGTCGCCATAGACTAGATTTGTGTGCTATAACTGGTGACAGCTGGGAATCTTTTGGGGATGATGGAAACATTCTGTTTCTTGATTTGGGTGGAGATTAGACATGGGTGTTTATATTTGACAGAACTCATTGATTGAGGGGAAGAGTGGGGAAGAGTGAGTTGCAATGAGCTTTTTCTTCATTTCCTGCCCCCCACCCCCCGCAACCCTTATATTCTTTTCATCCTGACATTTCAGTATTGGACCAGGAGAATGGGGCCATGGGGGACTGTGGATAACACAGAGGGAACCAAACCAGTGAGAATGGAGGGAAAGGGAAGAGACACAAAGTCCTGAGAGCAGCTTGGATGAGTGTATGATGGAGCAGCTTTCACAGCTTGCAGGATCGGTTTTTCTGGTCATGGGACTGGGCGCTGAGGGGTGTTTCTCATGAGCCATTTAACAGAAGGCAGGTCCACGTGAGTTGCTGAATACTTGTGTTTTCGAAATCAGACACCCTGGATTTAGAAAACAAGATGTTCTTTTAAAAAATAAGATCCCAGATAAGAAAGTGCTTCTCTCGAGCTTCCCTCTGAGTGCTATCAGATGCAAGCTTTTATTCCTGCTCCTGCCTGAGTGGCCTTAATGAGATAATAATAATAATTGGTTTTGGTTGGTGTGACTCTTGACCCATTTGGTCTTCCAAGTGTGTTTAGCCTTCAGCTGCGTCTTGCTCTGAGATATGATATATGAGTCCTTCTCCTGAGTTTTGAGCTGAAGAGCAACAAAAAACAGGAAATGCAACTTCAGAAGTACAATGGCAGCTAAAAAAGAGCCATCTAGAAGAATTTCCATAGTCCTGTTCTTGCAAGCCAGCAGTGAGTGAAGTCCATTGTGATGCTTTTGATATCTGGCACAGGTCTTGTTAGACTGGTCAGTTCTGGGGAAGTTTTTTCTTATTTTGATAAACTTTTTATTTTAGAGTAGTTTTATATGTAAAGTTGCAAAGACAGTACAGTTTCCATATATTCTACATCCAACTTCCCCTATTATTAACATCTTCATTTAACACGAGTATGGTATATTTGTCACAATTAATACATACTGATAAATTATTATTAACTAAAGTTAATAAATTACTGAATTACTGAAAAAACTGAAGCTGAGACCAAATCTTCAGTCTTTTTTGTATCTCCCCCTGCACGATAAAGATATGTGTGGATTCTTAGGGCATTGAGGGAGAGGGACGAATTTGCACTGACTTAGTTTGATAAAGCTCAGAACCTCCTAATGTACTGCTCTGAGAGTCGTCAGATGAGCCCTCCCTACCTGGACGTGTTAACTCCTCCGTTCAGTAGAAGGTTCTTGTGAGAGTGGGTCTAGAGTAGAGTGACACCCACACCAGTGGCCTTTTTCTGTCATCTGAGAGCTGTCTCGTGTTGGAAGGAATAATCTGGTTGTTTGAAAACAGGTGAGAAATATGGGGCCAAGTGAAATATCTTGGCTAAAAAAGATACAAGGTTTTTATTTTTAAAAAAGGAAATGAAATATCATGTCTAATGCCTCAGTCTCTCTCAAGTACTCTTTTGACAGCATGCCTCAGAGAAACCACAAGCTGGAGGAAACTCTAGGTCTTTTGCGTCACCGTCACTTGGAGGCGAATTTTTGAACATAATTGACCCCAGGAATATAAGTCAAAATGCTTCTAGGTGCCCTGCAAATTGGCATTCCTTGTTACAAATGTCACTGCCACATCTTGGAAACAAGAACACACACCCTTATGTGCCTCTGGCTGTTGCTACATCATTTTATTGGCCATAGAATTCTTAGTTTATCATCTCTGAGCCTTAGATTTCTGACCTTTTATATTGCTCTGGGTAATCAGTAAGCTCCAGGGTTTACACCTAAGATACAGTGGTTTTTTCAATTTACTCTAGCCACTCAAGGGTAGATGGTGTGTTGTCTATAAAAAGGAGTGAGACATAACCTTTTCAGGCCAAGATTTAATGTCCATTACAGAGCAAAATGTCTACCAGGACCAGACAGTCTGACCTTCTAGAAAATGACTGAGCCACCAACAATAAAGAATATTTTCACAATCCCAAGAGGTCTCAGATGGTAAAGGGCAGAGTATTTTTGATTTCTGTTAGAAGTTGAAACACCATATTTCAAAAGATGTTAGTAAAGGGCTTCCTGAGAGCTGGAATGTGGGTCAAAGCTGAAGGAGAATCGATTCCATTTGTTGCCAGAGCAAAGTCTGTCTTGAGTGTGTTCTGACATTCCACTTCCAGGACCCAGACCCTTTGATTCCTGCCTATCCCTTTCTTCCCTCCTAGCCCCTATTTGTCCATTCATCTGTCCATCCATTCATCAAAAGCACAGACTCTCTGCTTGGCTAGGACTGGGGGTACTGTATATATAAGACAGACAAGGTTCCTGCCCTCTTGGGGAAGAGAGACCTCAAACAGAAAACAGACCATTAAGTAAAGAATTATAACTGTGGTAAGTGTCCTTGAGTAGAAAATTTGGACTGAGATAGAGAATAGTTGTGTATGGGGTTGAGGAGCATGGGGCACCTGCTTTAATGTGGGTGATCAGAGAGGTCTCCAAAGGGAGGGACATTTAAGCTGAGAATTCTGAAGGGTGGGAACGTGTCTGCCACATGAAAAACTGGGGAAAGGGTGATGAGGCAGAGGGAACAGCCTATGGGAAGGCAGGAAGGGATGAGGTGAGGTGGAACGAAGAGAAGAGCACTGTGCCTGGACCACAGTGAGTACACAGAGGAGTGGGCCAGTCCAAGAAGAGGTGGAGCCGGAGCCTCTTCCTAGGTCCCCTCTTTCAGTCAGAGTTGCACAGTTAACTACATCCCTAAGGGAAATGACATGTTTTATAGCCAACCCAGGCCACTGGCTGACCCTTTCCTAGGTGGGTTGCCATCTCACTGGGGGTCTTAGGTCTATGTGAAAACGTGACTCAAATTGGTGTCTGGCAGGAATTTGCCTCAGACCCCAGACACACAGTCAAATTGAGTAGACCAAATTTTCTTGTTTTACCCCACTTTTCTCCTTTTCTGCTTTGGCTTCAGTTCAACCAGCTGCAGTAACTCTTGTAACTGCTTGTGGCTTTGGTCAGGAATTAAGGAATTGTGTGCTGATTTGCTCCAAGTTTTATTTTCAGACTTCTCTCACTGTCTTCCTCCCCTCATTTTCCTCCCCAGCTCCATCCAGCATTGTTTTCCATAGAGAAGCATAAACACTCAGTTCTTTCTTTTATAAAGTCTCTTCATGTGAATACTGAATGTGATTCTAGAATCTAGAGCAATGCAGTTCAATACGGTGGCTGCGAGTCATAAGTGACTATTGAACACTTGAATCGTGGCTAGCCTGAATTGAAATGTGCAAAATGAGCATCAGATTTCAAAGAGTTAGTACTATACACATAAGTTTATATGTGTATATATAACTGTAACGGGCTTCGCAGGTCCCACTAGTGGTGACCCGCCTGCCAATGCAGGAGACATAAGAGGCTCGATCCAGGTTCGATCCCTGGGTTGGGACGATCCCCTGGAGGAGGGCGTGGCAACACACTCCAGTATTCTTGCCTGGAGAATCCCATGGACAGAGGAGTATAGTGGGCTACAGTCCATAGGATAGCACAGAGTTGGACACAACTGAAGCGACTTAGCACACACGCCTGCATATACCTATAACATCTTATTAATTTTTTATATTGACACATATTGAAATAATATTAAAATTAATCTCATCTATTTCTCTTTAAGTTTTGTAATGTGGCTACTAGAAATTGTGGCTTGCATTTTATTTCCATGGGACAGCGCTGACTTAGAGGTTCTCTACTGTATCACAAAAAAGAATGAATTACTCAGTCATGCTATGGATGAACCTCAAAAGCCTTGTTATGTGAACAATAAAAAATAAAATATATGTGAACATGGCCCTACAAATAGGAGGCACGGAGGATTTAATAAGACTCAGTTCTTCCCAGTAGACCATACCTTAGGCATAATTAGATTTCCCATTACATAAATAATTAAGTTCAAGTGTGAGTTGTTTCATGTTTTTAGAAGAAGATGAATGTGCACCGGTCAGAAGTAAAATAAACAAGCAAAAACGAAAACAAAACCAACAATTAAACATTAATGCACACTTTTTTTCCAGGCGAGAGAGCGGAATGCGGTACAACCAGGTAAGAGCCGGGATCGTTCCTGCACCTGCCGCCTGAGGTGGGGAGTGGGAGGAGGCAGGAGGCGCAGAAAGGGCGGGGAGGGTGGGACTCGGTGCTGGAGCTTGGAGCAGAAGTTTTAGGGAACAGCGCCTCACCCGTGTCCCCACGGGGGCGTGACTGTGCTGAGGGGGGAGGCAAAGGCCTTTGGCTGCTCTGCTCATTCCAGCTTTAGGCTGTGGCAGGGAGGGAGCCTTTCAGAGCTGCTCTGGGAGGTGGGTGTCGTCCCTCGGCGGCGCTAACCGTCAGGTGGGAGGAAGGGACCGTCATATATATTGCAGAGTGGTTGAGGGCAACCAGAAGCCAGAGGCTATCAGGTTGCTGTCCGCCTGTCTCCCCATCCGTTCTGTGGCTGCCGAGCAAACTGCCTAGGAGGGTGGGGGCGAGCGTGCGGGGCGGGACGGAGTAGGCCGGGGTCCCCGTTTGCCATGGCTCTGGATTTGGCCGGAATCCCGCACCAGCACCACGGGCACACGCATGCGCATATTCACACCAGCGCGCACAGCCCCCGCTGCCCGCCCTGGCTTCCGACTTCACCGCCCTGGGGTGGACTGGTGGCGGAGCCCCTTGCTCGAGAAGTAACAGTGGACAGCTTCGCTTTCTCCAGCTCGCTCACCATTACCCTCTGCGCTTTCCCCTGAGCAGACCAGAGCCAGTGAACACTTTCACTGAGCAGTGGATAGCTGAGGGTTTGACTTCAGGACTGGACCTTTCCTTTACCTGCAGAGGATTTAGGTCCCTAAGCACCCCCATCGCTGCCTGGGTACCTTAGAGCCCATTCGTTTCCCCATCCCCAGCCATGCCTGTCCTACCGCCCAACATGAATTTAGCCGTGGCCTCGAGGCCTGTGCTTTTCCATCATGTGACCACGGAGGTCTAGTTTTTGCCTCATTCTGGGCCCAGTGACCCAGTGACATCCTTTCCCCACAAGTTCCTCCCAGTGGCTCAGAATCCTGGAAAGCTGTCCTATTTGGCAACAAGAAGGATGAACCCTCAACTCCCTCCTCATCTGGAATGGAGTTGGCTGGGAAGAGGCTTGGAAAGCTCTGGGGTTTTGAGTTTTTGCTGAGCCCAGGGCGGAGGAGACCAGGGCCTCTCCAGAAGCTTAGTCGGTGCAGCTGTTCCTCTGGGACCCGACAATCTGGGAACACTGGGATGATTCGTGAGGCCAGAGGAGGCCCTCCCAGCACGTGGGCCAGCAGATGTGCAGGCTTACTTTCTAAGAATCTTTTAGAAACAAATTCCTTTTTAAAAAATGAATTAATTAATTAAATTTATTTATGGCAAATGTTGCCTTTTTTAAAAAATTATTTATTTATGGCAGGAGAGTGTTGTCCTTAAAAACAATTTAAAAAAAAAAATCTATCTGTGGCAAGAGAGTGTTGTCATAGTGCCCAAACACCAGAAGCTACATTTTACACCAAAGTCTGCAAACAGTGCAACAGATGGGGGATGAATTGAGCCATCCCTCACTTTTTCCTAATTCCTAGAACTCATGCGGGAATAGTGGTTCCAGCAGATTGTAGGAGAGATCTGTCATCAAACCCTTGGCGAGGTCCCAGGGTGTTCCTTAGAGAAAAGTTGAGGGGTTTTGCTTTTTTAAAAAATAAAGTCCCCTGAGATGTTGTCTTCCACACCCTCATGGACCTAGGGCCTGGGAAATCCAAGCTAGGATTACAGACCTCCCACTTAGATACTGTAAGCTGTAAATCCAGCCATCTGCACTTTGGCCCTTGGCCAAGGTCAAAGGCAACTCTCTTAGTAAACTAAAAGCTTCCTCTTCTAAAAATCATTTTTAACTTACCGTAGAGTGAATTGCTAGCTTGGAAGTATTTTTAAAATTAATCTTAAATGCCCCGGGTGAGCTATTTCTACACTGTGGCCCTCTTTATCTCCATAGTTTTCTGTCAAAGGTCAGTGTCATTTTGGATGATTGGTTGAGCAGATCCTCTCAACAAGCTGCCGCTGGCCTTGTAGAGATAGACCAGTTTTGCACATGGGCTGCAACACGTTGTATTTTTTTCTCACACTTTAGAATGTTATCTTAGAATAGCCCTAATTCATAATAACCCTGTAATTAGCATCACCGCCTTAATGAACATGAATTTGAGCAAACTCCAGGAGACAGTGAAACACAAGGAAGCCTGGTGCACTGTGGTCCATGGGGTCTCAAAGAGTCAGATACTATTTAGTGACTAAACAATAAAAAAAAATTAGGCAGACCAGATATAATAATACACTTGAAAGATGTATAATAAATAGCAAAGTCAAATGCAAACGTAAAGTTTGATTACGGTTTTTCAAACCATTGACTGGGTTCCCTAACTTAGAACTTGCTGTAAGTCTGAATTAGTGGTGGAATCACTTGAGATTTCTTGTCTACAAAAATGCAACCCCACGCACACCCATTCGCAGCCTCCGAGAGCCTGACCACCATCCAACTATAATATTGCTGCCATTTTGAATTTTGACTCCCATGTCTGTGAGGTCGTCTAGGAAAATCACCATCCTTTTGGTCACAGAATAATTTTGAGGCCATGTTCTGTGTTGCTAATGTGTGTGAATTTTCATCTTGGTTGGAAGGCAGAAAGGGGACATTGGTCTCTGGTTTCTCTTTCTTCCTCTCCGTGGCTTTCTCTGTTCCTGTTTTCCCTGCCTCTCTCTCTCTCTCTCTCTCTCTTTCTTTCTTTCCTTTTGCTCTGCCGAGCAGCAGAAGAGATGGAAGGCTTAGGCTGCCCCACTTCCCTTGGCTGGGCTGCCCCTCTGCTCCCCACTTTGTGCCCCACCCAGCACTTCAGTAAGTCGCTATCAATTTGATGTCATGCGAAGTTGGGATAGCTACGTTTCCTTGTCAGAGATTCTGCTCTGTGCACAGAGTACCACACTAAAGGAAGAAATCCTGATGTGATTCCAACAGTCCTTTGCTTTCTGCATTGAGCAGGAGAAATTTTATAACTCAGAGGACAAAAAAATTCCTTAGGACTTAACTTTATGAAATAAATTTTAAAGGCACCCTATACTTTTTTTTTTTGGTATTGGTGTCCAACACCTGCATTGAGTCTCTACTCTTGACCATGAGAGTTTAATAGATAATTTAATGCAATTGCTGGGTGTTCTGTGGTAAAACCCATTTCCCCATGTCCATACTCACACAAGAACCTGGAGTAGGAAGAGCTGAATTCTATTCCTGTGACCTTGGGCAAGTTTCTTAATCTCTCAGTGGCTCATTTGCCTTATGTTTAAAGTAGGTTTAATAGTTCTTGCCTACTTCTCAGGGTTGCTGTGAGGATATCATGCAGTGTGAGATAATGAAATGATCGGACACGTTCAAAAGCAGAAACCCAAATCACCATGGGAACGAGGTGGCTCAGCTGCTACCCTCCGGTTATTAAACATAAAACCTATGGCCCCCTGTCACATTTCTGGCACTCTCTTTGGCATATGTAAATTCAAAAGCAGATCCATCATAAGAAATACTCACTCTCACATGCCTTTATCCTCAAAAAAATAAGTAACTTGTGAAAAAGAAATGACATGGACTTAGCTAACCAAATTGACATAGATCCAAGATGGGCTCAAAATAACCTTGCCTGTTGTTTCTTTTCGACATTTTGGTCTGTGCTGTTATTTTTGGTTCCAATGTTTGGGTGGCATGAGATTTGGATTCCACTGTGTCTTTGCCCATGCATGTCCTGGAGCTAGCAGTATTTGCTCAGTATTCAGACGCCAAGAGGAAGCTGATCTGAGTTCCCTTGATGGTGGGGCTGCTAAAGCAGACAGGCGAACAAGACCAGTGAGCAAGGCAGTGTGAGTCTCATCTCCTTGATGGGCTCCACAGCACGTATGATTTATTGCCCATTCATAGAACTCAATCAAGACGTGGGGGGCCCAGGTCTCTGTTCGTCACACATGGACATTATCTGTGTCAGGCTGGGTCCCCCCTTGGTACCTCCCAAATTGTGAGCTAAGCCAGTTGAAAGTGAACTGTGTCTCTTGGTTAGGGGTCTTCCTCCTAACCTTTGAAAGTCCTTTGACCTAGAAGGCTGGCAGCATTGAGTCAGGCCAACTTGGGTGGTGAAAAGTGAGCAAATAAGCCAACACAGGCCTGTGCATGTGAGCAACTCTGGAAACCGGTTCAGTGTTTGTGGCCATCTCACTGTTGTTGGTGAACTGTGGTGTGGTCGCCCCTCCCTGTGGCCGAGGTGGAGCGAGCACAGGGAGTGGAGATCTTAAATTCAAGCAAGACACTTTCAACCTGACCCCCCAGGCCTTTTCTGGCAAGGGTTAATGGAATGGATGAGTTTGGGCAGGATTTGGGAAAGTGCCCTAAAGTTCCATGACTGACCCAATGGGAAAAATCTTGGGCTTAGAGCCCAAGAGGCTGAGTTTGGGGCCTAGCTCTGCCCCTTCCCCACTCTAGGGCTCAGTTTAGGCCTCTGTAAAATGGGGCCACACATGCAGGGTTAAGCTGATGTTAAGTATGACAGTGAATTTGAAAACACTAACTGAAAGTGTACTTGACTAAAGGACAGGAGATAGTCCTCACCCGGGGGCCCCCGAAGAAGCTGCAGCTGCCCTCCTGGCATCAGTTTCTTCATCTCTAAAATGAGAATAATAACTGCTCAGCTCTTAGATCAATGGAATAAAGATTAGTCAAGTGCATTTGAAATGCTTAGTGGCATTAGGAAGATCAGTGGCCCGGTACATTGGGAGCTGAGACTCAGTGATGCGTTTAAGCCAAAACAATGAAAATTAACCCTTCCAATCATCTTTGAAAGTCTCTTGCTTTCTTCGGCTACAGGTTACATCTCACCCCTGACTCCCGCTCCATCTGGTTAGCTTTGCGGGATGACAGCCTCTGATTGGAGTTTCAGTGGTTTCCCTGACAGTGCCCGCACCCCCCCCACCCATAATGTAGAATGCATTTGTGTTACATGAGCCTTGGTCCTGCCTGACACTGTGGATTAGTTAAGACACCCTTGAACACCCAGAGGCCTTCAGATGGAGCATTGGGCACCAATGCACTGGGGGTTCAGGCCTTCCATTTGCATTTTGTGTTCTCCTTCAGTCGTGGGTTACAATAGCGTCTTCCCCCATTGTATGTTTACCCTGGTTGCTTTCTTGATTTCTTTTGTTCCGTTTTCCCCTAGGCCCCCCTGTCTTCCCCCTAAACCACAGAAAATGAGGAGACCTAGGCCTCTCTCAGTGTGTAGCCATAAACTATTTAACGGCTGTATGGAAGCGTTCATTAAGGTACTTGCTGGGGAGCCACGGAGTCCGCGAACGTGCCCAATGTAATGGCAGCCTTTCTCCACCTCCTACCCCGGCCAACAGCCCTGCCCCGACCTACTGACAGACTGACATCTGACATCCAGAACTTTCCATCTGGGCCCTGGGCCAGGCCATGTAGCTGGCTGGTCTTCCTGGTGGCCTGCTTGTAGCTTCAGAGGCACTTATGTCTCTGATCAGTGGCTTCTAAGAGTGCCTTCCCTTGCTTCTCAGCCCTGACTGAGTGGGCGGTGGGGAGGGCTGTCAGCCCTGTTCCCCTGCTTGAGGAACTGCAGTCCTGACCAGGCTGAGGGACAGTTAGAGAAACCCCCTCACCTCCCATTGCACACACACGTCTCCCAGGAGCAGACTCGTTGGAAGCAACACAAAGGAAAACCCTACTCTGTATAACAGTGTAATTTTACACAAGTGGTTATTTTTTTTTTTTAAGTTGAGAATAGACCAACAAAGGAAACACATATGATTTGTGTTAGAGACAACCCTTCCACCTTGTTTTGCTTCTTGTGAGGCAGTTTGGGAGAGGGGAAAAGAGATGAAGTAGTCCCTTTAGAATTTCCCAGGTTAACCCTTGACACCTTAAACTGAAAAGGAAGGTTTTCACTTCAGTGAGTTTCTCTGTTCTTGCTTCTCAGCTGCTAAGGGTGCAGGATCAAGCCATCCCAGATAGAATAGCTCAAGGCAAGTTAAAATGGTGATGGAGTTGGGAAGGGTAGCAGGTGGGAAATATCCTCAGGGCAGATGCACTCTGCACGTTAATTAGAGGAGCAGGAGGAAGGTCCCTGCCAGTTACTGGAAGCCCGCCACCGTCTAACAAAGACACTGACTGCAGAAAATAAGACTCATGTGAGTCAGGAGAAAAGGCCCTGAAGGCTCCCAGGCACTGCCTGAGACACGTTTGGAGTGTTGGAGGCTGCCTCTGCTCCAGCTGTCTCTCCTCCATCCCCAGACAGGGCGTTCACAGGACTTCCTGGGCAGAGAGGGTCGGCCTCAGATGTGGGTGTGTGGGCAGGATCAGCCTGGGTCCCAGGACTGTCTCTGCCTGTGAACTGAGTTCTGGGAGAGGGAAAGGGGGAACGGGAGGGCCCCAGTTGGTGCCCGAGGGGGGTGCAGCAGCAGCGGCTGCTCTCAGATGCCTCAGAGGAGGGAGGCCTGGAGGACCCCAACAGGCAGGGTGCTGCTGCTGGGTACAGCAGGAAAGGGGTGCTGTTTGGAGGTGACCCCGAGTGAGCAGTTGGCCACCCAGAAGGCCACGGGAGGGGAGGGCTGTGTCGAGGGCCCTTCCTTCATCCTCCTCGCTTCTACAAGACTTGCTTCTCAAAAAAATCGCACTCCAGAGCTGAGGGGTGGCTGAGCCCCAGTTGCTGCTGTCTGCCCTCAAGGACCTTACTGTGTCACGCAGGAGGTTTTTGATGCAGAAAGCTGAATGTGGAGGGTGATTCAAGATGAGTGCTTGGTGACTGGTACAGAAAGGAGTTCTTTGAGCACTCTAGACCAGGAAGAGCTGTGAGCATCGGGGTAGGGGCAGCATTGAAGGAAGTGTCGGAACACGGCAGAGGGGAGAATGGATGGAGGAGCTGCTGAGAGAAGGAAGAGAATGAGCGAAACCTCAGAGACACGGACCTGTTTTGGAGTACGCTTAGCGCTTTGGAAACAGGCTATCTGTCAGAACGCTTGGAAGGCATTCTCACCCGATGGCATTTGAAAGCAAAGGTGTTCTGTTTAGTGAAACAGTCTCTGAATGGAGAACTCCTACATAAAAAGTGTGACAATCAAGTCATCTGACTTTACTCCCCTGACAGACAAAACAAAACACCGACGGCCGTGTCTGCCCCTTGGAAGAAGTCAGTCCTTCTGAATCTATAGGCTTTGCTGCACCTGGTCAGTCTCCCGCAAGCCTGCAACAAACGTGTTTGTCAGCGGTGCCAAAACCTTGTCTTTGAATGGACGGTCTTTGGAATGAGAAGTGTCATTCAGAGTCCAGCTTTGCAGCCACTGGAGCCACAGAATGGCAAGAGGTATAGGATGCGTTGGGCGCCAGGGGACTGGCTCTGAAAAGAGCCCCCAGAGACGGACACCCTCGAGAGGGCACGTCCCTGGAATAAGAGCACAACTTCCTCAGGGGATAGTTTGACTGAAACAAGTTTGTTTGTTAAGCGATTGCATTTCTTTGTAGTCACATGTGCTTGTACCACATATTATCAGTGCAGTTCAACCAGCTCTTCTGTGCGCCCTCTCTGAACTCAGTTTGGGGCAGACTGCAGCAGCGGGGCCCCAATCTCAAGGATGGTTAACTCTCAGAAATTGAAAAGGCAGCGTGATGCACTCAGTCCTTCAACCTTTGTGAACGGAACTTAATTTCCTCTTATGATTCCTGTGCTATCTGAAAGAAGATTCAGCATGAACTAAGAATCCCCATCTCTGAAATGCCAAACCTCTGAAAGGCTTGTCAGTATAATAACATCATGGAAATGCCATGATTATGAGGGTTTAGAGGGACAAGGGGACTTCCCTGGTGTCTCAGACAGTAAAGAATCTGCCTGCAATGCAGGAGACCCGTGTTCAATCCCTGGCTTGGGAAGATCCCCTGGAGAAGGGAATGGCAGCCCACTCCAGTTATTCTTCCTGGAGAATTCCATGGACAGAGGAGCCTGGTGGGCTGCAGTCCATAGAGGGTCACACAGAGTCGAACACGACTGAAGCAATTGAGCATGCACACACGTTGAGTGTGTGACGAGGATCAGATAAGTAGCTCATGCCAGGTTCTAGAGCTCTGGCTGGCACAGAGTAAGCACCAGGGAAGTGTCAGCTGCGAGTGCTGCCTGGGCTTTCCGGAGAGCGCCCACGGTCCCCACCTGACCATCTGTCACTGTGGTCCTAGGTTCAGGTGGGCTCAGCCAATGTAGGAAAATCCTAGCAGCTGAGACGCCAGGGGCTGGATGGGTGACACCGGGGAGGAGGTTCACATCCTCCTGATTCTCAGGCAGGGGGGTGGCCTTCCCCAGGAGCCGAGTGAGACACAGCACGCACCCCGGAGCTTGACCTGCTGCCTGTACGGGAAGAAAGAAGAAGGTAGTTCTCCCCTACAAATGGGCGGCTTCAGTGAAAGCAAAGGCTCTGCTTCTGTCTGCAAGATTGCCAAAGCGTTCTGACTGTATGGCCCTCCCTCACTCCAGGTTTTGTCAGTTTTGGGTTCCCTGAAGTTTTTTTCAGTGCCAGAGTGAGGGTCCTTGGGCAGAAGGAGATCAAAGTTGAGTGGGTACCTGGGACCTGCTGCCTCAGCTGTTGGGTGGGAAAGCACCGGCCACCATGTGAAATTGGAACCGGGCAGCTTGCCCTTGGGTCCTATCCAGAGGGCCCCTGAGAAACATAGTCTTGGTTACCTAAGAGCTAAGAGTGAGGTTCTCTGAGCTGACTGCAGGGACTGTCCCAGTAGATGCCTGGGGGTGTGTCCGTCCTTTCTGTGGGCAGCTGGGCTCACCTTGAGGGGTCTCAGGGGGGCTCTCATTGCTGGTGAATAAATAGCCCCTGTGTTGAGGAGAAGGTAAACTTGCGGTTAGGGAAGGGCTTAGTGCTCACTGTTCCTGCACTTTGACAAGGACTGAAAGAGGCCTCTTTGCCCTCTGGTGTCCAAGGCGGCCACCCTGGAAGGCTGGCCGGGCAGGTCCCTAGCTCCTGAGCCTCGTAGGCTGCCTGCCATCTCCCTGGCCCTTCACTGGCTGCCATTGCATTTCGGCGTTCCCGGACTCTGAAGGATCTGCTTACTCTAACTGATCTTACTCCTGCATAATCTTTTCTTTTTCTCCTGCTCTGCTGCCTGTTTGTTTTTTGTTATCAGAGGAAGAAGAAATGCTCGAGCCAGGAACCAGGTATTTACTGGAAAGGTCCGTCAGCCCCATTCAACTCGATGGAAACTGTCTTCAGCCCTGACTCATAGCACAGGGCCCGCCTTGCCTGTTGCCAACGAGTCCACTTTATTATCCCCTCTGTGACTCTAGTTAAGGAAACAATTCCCAGATGGGGTGTGGAGGAGCCACAAAACCATCCAACTTCATGTTTTTTTCCCCTGTCCCTTTTATGTGAGCATACTAGTACATATGCCTTCTGCTTCCTCACCTTCTGAGGAGGCTAGTATTTAATTTGGCCCATTTTAAAAAAGAGTTGTTGTTCTTGTTTTATTTCATTTTTTAAGATTGTATGCTCTGTAAGTTGCCTTAAATAGCAGAAGCGTCAACCAATGATGGAATCCAAAGGAAAATGATCCCTTGCCCAGCTCTCTGTGGCCTTGGGCCAGCCTAGGGAAATGTCATCGAACCTGACATTGACACCCCAGATACATGTGCTTAGAGCTGCCTCTTAGTCAACCTTTCTGAATAAGGTGGCCGCTCAGTGGTCAGTGGCTGCCAATAATTTTTTCTAGAAGTTTTCCTTGTAACGTGTACTGTTAAACCAAGTTACCTGTCTGGATGTTTAGGTTGTTACATCATGAGTAGAGCTGGTCTTTCCTTCTCAGAGCTCAGAAGGACCCCTGGGGCCGGCCTTGCTTCTCCCGTAGTGTGCCCTTCTTCATGCCGGCAGCAGGTCCTGACAGCAGGTCCTACAGTCCTAGGCAGAGTCCTTGCTCCTTCCCTGCATGCTGGGAGAACGGAGTTGAGTTGGGACTGAGGGGAGGGGGAGGCAGAGAAGCCCTGGAGAGCAGACTCTAGCTCTCTCCACGCAGTGGGCTCCCTCCCCTCCTGCCATGTGCCTGTGAGGCCTCCCGAGCCCGGATTCCTTCCCAGCTGAGTAAGGAGACAGAGCATTTCTTTAAAATTATCATAACTATGCCTTTTCTGCAATAACAGAAAACTTTCTGTTTTAACTGTTTGTGGAGACTTTAAATTAGTGGTTCCTTGCTTGTTTTCTTACTAATCCGATGGTACTAATATTCTGGCTTGAGTTCGTAATCTGTGTTTGCAGTGTCTTCTATCCTGTGGTGGTTGCCAAGTCCAATACAACTCACGACTTTTTTTCTTAAGGATTCAGGACAAGCTATACCACTGGTCGTCGAGAGCTGTATCCGATACATCAATTTATACGGTAAGCGTAATCTCAGGGCAGTGTTTCCAGTTCTTTCAACGGGTGCCAGGCTGTTCTCCATAAGAGATGAGATTCAGGTCTTCATCTTGGTGGATTCCTGCTACTGCTGTCCTTAAGGGAGGGGAAAGCTCCGTAGAACCGCTGCTATTCTGACTGCTGTCTGTTGAGCCTTCTGTGTTGGGGGGACTGCAGGTGGTGGTGAGAAGACCTGGGAACTGGGAACACTGAGGACCAGGGAGGGGTCACAGGAGAACAATATTAGTTCCTTCCTCACTCCCACCCAAGCCCAGAACTCTGCAGTTTTAGCGCTGACTGAGGTTGGCCATCCAACCGGCTAATACTGCTAGATGGTAGCAATTCCATGAAGGAAATGAGAGTGTCTGGGATTTGCTACGTGGTGTTCCCAGCACTTAATGGTGTGCCTCCATTTATTTATTTATTCATTCCTCCAGAAATATATTTGCAGAGTGCAGAGCAGGCACTGTTTCTGACAACGGCAGCACAGCCATGACAAGACAAGCAGGCTGCCAGCCCTCGTAGCTTACATGACCAATTAGAAGGGCAAGGGAATGAGTGAGCAGAGAGATACGTAGTCAAATTTCAGCTACTGATAATGCCTGAGAACTAACTAAGGGGACAGAGAATGGCTGGAGGAGGGCAGGGCTGACTTGGCTAAGGTTGTAAGGAGAGCCGTCTCCGAGGAAGTGGTATCTGAGTAGAAGCCAACCTTTGCGGTCCAGGTGGAGAGAATGTTTTGAATGTCAAGGCCTAATATGGGGAGCAAGAGCAGCATGCCTGGACAGGACTGAGCCAGGAGGATGGGGCAAGAGACCCAGGTGGTAGAAATTCAGCATTGGTTAACAAAAGAAATGAACGACGTTTATTGAGCACATACTTTATATACAAACCGAACTTTAAAGCCTGCCTTTAAGGGCAAACACTTCTGTAAATTATAATGTGGAGAGTTGTTTGCTATAGAAAACTGAATCTCAGGGAAAGGATCCCAGTCTTAATTTCCTTTTCAGATGAGCGAGGTCCTCTAATCTTGGCTTGTAGGTCACTGTTTTGTGTTACTGCTGTGTCAGATAGCAAGGTCTGCTCTTCTTTATGGCCTTGTGGAAACACATAACAAATGAGTTCGTCTTTCTTTAGTAAGTTAACCTTCCCCAAACTCCTCTATCCCAAGTCAGCATACGCTCTAGACTCTAGGTTTTCTTGAAGAAAGACAAAGTCTGTGATGGGTGAGGGGATGGTTGAGGGAGTGGTATTAATCATTCTTGTTCAAAATCTCTGTGACTGTTAAACCCCAGTGACATTTGTTAACTCAGGTCAAGCTACCTGGAACAGTGCAACTGATGAACTTGGTAGGCAGCATTTCACTACCCAGTTATTTGACTGAGCTAACCTGGGAGTTAAAGTGGAAGTTATTCACTGGTCCAGTGTTGATATAAATTGCTTGTTTCCTTCAAGCCTGAACAAGAGGCCATAGACATATAAAGCAGAATGTGGCTGAGAATTTGGACCAGCTAAAGTTCATTGTAAAGGCTCTTTTTGGGCTTCTGTTGGGAGATGGCTATTGGGAATGACTCTTACAAAGGATGATGGGAGAAAGAGACAAGTAGTGGGGAGAATCATCCATGTTCCCAGTGGTCTGATGAGTTCAAGGCATTTCCTCTTCTTCTTTTTGTTTATTTCTTTTAGGACTCCAGCAGCAAGGCATCTTCAGAGTGCCAGGATCTCAGGTTGAAGTCAATGACATCAAAAATTCCTTTGAGAGAGGTAAGTACGGACTGATCATCTCCAGCTTGTGTCCAGAGGAAGCCAGGGTGGGTATGAACGCGTTTATTGGAGCCAGTGTTGCTGGGGCAGCTTTTATCAACATCTCTTTCCAGCTTCACCTTAAGGTACTTTACCTTGGTAGCTTGAAATTAGCCAAGGCGGGAGTTTACACCACAGAAATTGGGCAACACTAAAACCTTTTAATTTTTCTTTTTCCCCACTGTTGAATAATTACCAGCACACTTGGGTGACTTTCTCTGATGGACTCTGCAGTGGTTTCTGGGGAAAGAGGGCTTTGGAATTATTATGCGAATCTGTAAAGGCTTCTGTGTTTTAGAAAAGTTGGAAGAATATAGATAATATGGAGTGGCTTAGAACGTCTTAATTCTTACTTTTTTTGCAGTGCTTTTGGCAAAGCTGTGCATTGGGAGGAAGAGATCATACACTCCCCGTTCCTCTTGGGGAGGTTACCTAGTTCCCTCTTTGATATAAAAGCTTATCAGAAATCATATGTCCATCAGAGTGTGGCTTACTTGGTTTAGCCTCCCTTGGCCTCAGGATCCCTGATGGGACAGATGGCCAGTGCCAGTGTTTGTGCAAAGTCAGGACTTCATAGGGTCAGGAAAAGCTCTGCCATTTTGATACTAGTGCATATCTTGCTGCTATAGTGAATCTTAGAGTCTGGGCATTTCTGTTTAAAGAAATATTTTCCAACATCATGAATGAATACTAAGTTGCTTCAGTGGTGTCTGTCCCTTTGCAACCCTATTGACTGTAGCTTGCCAGGCTCCTCTGTCCATGGGATTCCCCAGGAATACTGGAGTGGGTTGCCATGCCCTCCTTCAGGAGATCTTCCCAATACAGGGATCAAATCCATGCCTCTTATATCTCCTGCACTGGCAGGAGGGTACTTTAGTGCCAACTGGGAAGCCGCTTCTATCATCACGTTCCCTGGTTATTGAACAAAGTCCATTCTGGGGAGGAAAGAAAAGCCAGCGTTGGGGCGTCCTGAGCAATACCTCTGCTGTAGTCTCACAGCATTTGGAAGTATATATCTCCATAGTTTATTCCTCAACTCTGATTTACTGCCTTTCTTTCTGAGTGGTTAAATACCAAGTTTGGTCTGAGGACCCCAATCCCACACCCATTTCCTCACAGCACACTACTTCCCAAATTACAAAGCACTTTCTTAACCATTCAGCCATATAATCCTACAAATAGCCTTGGAAGGTATATACTTTGTCCCTGATGGTTGTGCTCTGAGCAGGCCTCCCCCTGAAGTTCCAGCCCTAGAATTCTCCTGACTTATTGCCAGGCCTGATTCACCCTCGCCCTGTCCTCCTGCTTCTACCCTGAGACCTAGCTCCAGGGTGGAGGAAACACCAGCCCCCATCGCCCCCAGCACAGAGCCTAGCATCCCAGGGCACTCTGGCTTGGAACCGGGTGTGGAGAGCAGGGTTGGGCTGGATGTGGCTCTCAGTGACCTCCTAGGGTCCCCAGGAAGCTTAGGTTTTAGATTCCACTCCAGGATCTGGGGCGCTTAGAACCAGAGAGCTCCAGAACTGCCCTGCTCCATACTCCTACTGAAACATTTATTCATCCGCTCAACAAGCCTCCATTGAGCCCTGCGCTGCACTCGGTGATGGACTGGGTCCTGGAAGTACAATAGGAACAAGAGACAAGTCACTGCTAGCTGGGAAGGTAAACAGCATGATCAGTGCAAGGATGGGGTAAGTGGTGGGTGGGAGCCACGAGCTCAGCTTGGGTGAAGGGGGAGGAATAGCAAAGCCTCAGAAGGCTTCCTGGAGGAGGCCCTGCCTGAGCTGAGGCTTGAAGAGTAAGAGTCAGGGGAAGAGTGGAAGGGGCATTCTGGACCAAGGGAACAGCATGTGCAAAGCCCACCAAGCAAGAGGTATCCTCCCGGATAGGACTGGAAGTTCCTCATTTCCATGCGCTCCTCTCGGCATCGCCAGCCAGCCCAGCCAGGGTTTGGTTTCTTTGTTTGCTTTGACTCCTTAGCACCCCTGCTGCCCTGTGTTCATTGTAAGTGAGCAGAGCTGGACCCTCTGGACGCTTTGCTAGTTCTTGGGAGCATCCCACTATACAGAACTCCTTGTATCTCATGAGTAAACTCACTGCCTGGTGCCTCAGCCTGCTGACTGCCCCCAACCCCCTTGCATTTTCTTACTTGCCAGTGTCTTCTTAGTAAGTACCCTGTTGTATCAGGCAGCCACGCCCAACCCCAGCAGCCCTGCTTTCTTTCCTTCCTGAACGTGATTTCTAAGGTCAGTACCTCCTGTCACTTGCTTGGGTGCCTTGGAGGGGTGATGTGCACATTAGAATTCTCTGGTCCTAACAAGCCTTGGAACAGTGGTTCACTGTTGTCTCCCAGGCTAGTCTTCTGTCTCTCTGTTTTCCCCACAAACCAGTTCTCCTGTCCTCTTTCTATGTAAAGATGAGAGAGCTGACTGTGATTTCTCCTTACGTGGAAGGGTGGCTGGAACAGGAATCGATGGCCCTTTCACCCTGTACCGATCAAGGTAGAATTTGGATTTGGGGCTGAAATCACTGCACATAGGGTCTGACACATTCGAGACTCAGGACCTGTCTTTCTCAGATCTATTTCCTGCCCAAGGAAGAGGGGTATGAGCAGGAAACACAGGGAGGGGTTGTCATACTGCGGAGCCTCAAGATGGGGCTGGGAGGGTCCTGGCTGCAGAGACCCACCCTTGAGACCACCTGTGGGCTTCCTGCCACGTCCCCATCCAGCAGCACTTTCCCCTAGAGCCCTGAGCACATGCTGTGTGTTCACTTTCCCCTGGGCACAGCCCTGCCTGCAGCCTTTCAGCAATGCCTGGGTGACCTGGCTGAAAGCAGGGTGCAGGCAGGGCTGTTCGGTAACGATTCTACCTCCCTCCCTGGAAACTAGCTCGCAAAGTTGGAACAGCAATTTTCTCTCATATGTGCCTGGAATTTTAGCTCTGATTCTCCCTGGAGGAAGCCGTCATTCACATACACCACTCTGCTCGTCTTGAGCTCTTCTGGAGCCAAGTTGGCTAGTCTTGCAGAGAGCCAAAGGCCTGGACTAGGAGGGAGGAATGTTTGATGGCTCCTTTTATGAGTGATGGCTTCCCTTGTGGCTCAGCTGGTAAAGAGTCTGCCTGCAATGCGGGAGACCTGGGTTTGATTCCTGGGTTGGGAAGATCCCCTGGAGAAGGGAAAGGCTACCCACTCCAGTATTCTGGCCTGGAGAATTCCATGAACTGTATAGTCCATGGGGTTGCAAAGAGTAGGACATGACTGTGTGACTTTCATTTTCACTTTTATGAATGAGGGGCTTCCCTGGTGGCTCATGAAGTGCCTTCTGGAAGGAAGAGCAAGAATGAATGGTGTATGTGTCTGTCAGTCTGTAGTCAATATGTTAACCATGCTTGACAAAGGGAGCTTATATGAAGGGAATAAAATCCATGTGCTTTTGGATCATGAGACCACAATAGTAATGCATCATACAACAAGGAAACAGCTTAATATAGCACAGAGTTTTCAGATTCTTCTGATCCTTCAGAGGAGCCTCAGGGTTACTGCTGGGTTAGAGAGGAGGTGGGGCTTGGACGTTTCTCTAAATTCAATCAAGGCGGTTTTGCTCATCTGTGGGAACTTTTTTCTTGAGAAAGAAAAAAAAAAGTTGGGTTTCCACTATAAAGGAAGGAGGGAGAGAAGGAGGAAAGGAAGGAAGATGACAGATGTATGGGTAGATAGATAGATAAATAGATACATACATAAATAGGTATATAGGCACATGTGCAGACAGCCAGCAGACAGAACTGAAAACCACACGTAGAAGAAGGAATATCTCCCAGGCATCATGAGACCTGGGAGCTGCTGGTGTCTGTGTTTGACTCCATGGGCAAGTTGTTTCATTTTGCAGCCTCAGCTTTCTCTCAGGAGAGGGGTGGTGCTGGAACCACGCCTCCTTTGGTGCTGTGTGGTGCTGTTGTGAGGATTAAGAGACAGCACATGTGCCAGTGTGCTTCTCACTTAAAAAGTGCTATATCAGTATAAGCAATATATTCCTTAATGTTTTCTCTCTTCTTTCCCCATGAGAAAGTCTTGTGGGGTAAGCATTCTCATCTCCTCCTGTGGGAACATCTGAGAGGTAGAATGCAGTGCCTGGGCTGCCACACATGGACGGTCGCTCAAGCTGGGCACTGCCCAAGGGTGCTCATCCATGAGGGCAGGAGGGAGCTGAATTCTGGCTCAGACCCTGGAAGGTGCATGTCCTGGTTCAGAAAGGGGTAGGGGTGGGGTGCTTTCTCTAATTTGCACTAAAGCATGTTGGGGCTAGCCGAGGCCTGCCACTCACACACATTCTCTTCCCACGGAGGCAGAGTATAGACAGATCCAAGTATGAATTTCCCATCCTGCTCGTCATTGCTTGCCGGTCTCAGATTGCTCTGGGCTCTTCTGGAAGGAGGGGGAGGTTGAAGGAGATGTCAGATTGCTGCCAGCTCCAGCAGCCCCCATGAAACTAAGAAGTGCTGCTCTCCTGAGATGTTTTCCCCTCTGCAGTTGGCAAAATTTTAAAAGACAGCCCACGGGCAGGGCTGTGGAGAAGCAGCCTTCTCCTGTGTTGCTGGTGGGAGGAGAAAAATGGTGCAGCCCTACTGGAGGAGAATTTGGCTTTATCTGATGAAACCACACATTAGTTTACCGTTTGACCCACCAATCCCACTTCCAGGAACCTACCACAGAGACATGTGGTAGGAATAGGAAACATAGTTAGGAGGCTATTTGTTCCGGCAGTATTAGTAACAGCAAAAGATTGTAATGTCAATCTGTGGGAGACTGGTTGACTAAGTTATGATCTATCCATGAAACAGAGTACTTTGCAGCCATTAAACAAAATGGGGACGGCCCCAGCGCCTGGCCCAGTGAACCCACTGGCCAGTGGACCGCCGATCTGCACCGCGTACCCCATGTCTGGTTTCTCCAGCATTGCCACTGTGAAGAAAGTGGTTCAACAGCTCCGGCTGGAGGCTGGACTTGACTGGGTGAAGGTTTTCCCAGGCAGCTGCAGATTTGAAACAATTCTGTCTGCTGAATGCTCAGGCACTCTGAGCAGACCCCTTCAGACCCCAGAAAGTCTGTTCCTTTTTGCAGCAAAAGGAATCTTTACAAGCTTTTCTAAAACCACTTTTCATAAACAGGTGAATATTCAAAGGAAAGCTAAACTTGAATCCTGTACAAAAGTCTCTCACTGTAACACAGGCCATACTATACAGACTTCTACTTCTGTTAGTCCTTAATGTCGACCTCGCTGAATATTCATGAATTTCTGTTTCATAAGAAATTATTTTATATACACTGGCGGCAGCATACAATAAAATACTTAGTATAAAAACATTTTTTAAAAAAATGAGACACTTCCTGTGAACTGACATGGAAGGATTGCTAAGATTTACTGTTAAGAGAAAAAACAAACAAGTATATGTAGTAATAGAAGGTACTACTTCCATTGTGTTAGAAATGAGGGAATGTTAAAATGTTGTATATATGTATTGTATTTGCTTACTTTTGCAGAAATAAAGATAGCAGGACAAATCAGAGACCAATGAAAATGGTTAAATATAAGGTGTATGTGGGAGAAAGATAAGAATAGGGCTTCTCTGCAAGCAACTTTTTAATCTATCTGGTTTTGACTCTTGGACCACATAAATGTTTTTTCAAAATTGCGAAGTTTCATTTAAGATTTATAAAAAAATAAAATCCCCCAAATTGAATATAAACAGAAACAAATGAGCTGTATATCAGATTGAGAACCATACAGAGAGTAACTTTTCAACATGTGCTTGGTCATACAGTTTTTAACAGCTCTATTGAATTTCATACCTTAAGGCTCACCTATTTTTAAAGTGTACATTTTGGTAGTTTCTAATATATCAATAGAGTTGTACATCATCACTAGTCAATCCAGAGATCAAACCAGTCAACCAGTAAATCCTAAAGGAAATCAAGCCTGAATATTCATTGAAAGGATTCATGTTAAAGTTGAAGCTCCAATTCTTTGGCCACCTCATGCGAAGAGCTGACTCACTGGAAAAGACCCTGATGCTGGGAAAGATTGAAGGCAAAAGGAGAAGAGGGCGGCAGAGGATGAGATGGTTAGATACCATCATCACCTCAATGGACATGAATCTGAATAAACTCCAAGAGAGAGTGAAAGACAGGGAAGCCTGGCATGCTGCAGTCCATGGGGTTGCAAAGAGTTGGACGGTACTTATCGACTGAACAATGGCATCATCTCCAAAATCTAATTTCAGAAAATTATCATCATTCCCTAAAAAGAACCTTGTACCCATTTGTAGTTATTCCCTATACCATTTATACCCCGCCCCCCCCACTGCTAATCTACTTTCTGTGTTCTTTTTTTTTAATAAATGTATTCATCTTTTATATTTTTGGCTGTGCTGGGTCTCTGTTACTGCACCAGGACTTTCTCTAGTTGCTGTGAGTGGGGGCTACTCTCTAGTTGAGTGCATGGGCTTCTCATTGCATTGGCTTCTCTTGTTGTAGAGCCTGGGCTCCAAGGCATGCAGGCTTCAGTAGTGGCAACTCGCAGGTGGTAGAGTGCAGGCTCAGTAGTTGTAGCTCACAGGCCTAGTTGCCCCTTGGCATGTGGAATCTTCCCTGACCAGGGATTGAACCTGTGTCTCCTGCATTGGCAGGTGGATTCTTAACCCCTGGACCACCAAGGAAGCCCTCTACTTTCTGTCTTTTGATCATTCATGTTTAGTGAGATACATTTTGAGAACCCCAAAGATAAAAACAAAAGCCCAGCAAATAAATCCTAAATTTTATGTGGTAGGTTTATTGTTAGTGGTAGTATTGTTATTATAATAAAAATCTGAAACTACTTTATGTATATTGTAGAATAAGGCAGATGTATTAAAATATTAAATATCACTAATATTCAGAAAAAGTTTTCCCTGTAAGAAAAATGAAATGCAAATACAAAATAAGTGAAGGTAAAGAAAACCTTGTATCTTAAATATGAATTAGAAAGATCAACATCAGTGTGAATGCATGAAAAGTAATATATATGTGTGTGTATATATGTACACACACACACACACACACACACACACACACACACACTGTGTTTACTGAAAGAACCTGGAAGTTCTTTATAACAGTCCTATAGCAATGAACACACCTAAAACCTAGATCTTGGTTTCTAAATACCATTCCCTACAAAAAACAAACAGAACTCCTTGAAGAAATTTTTTTTATTACAGGTCTGGGTCAAGGAAAGTACAAGGATTCAGAGATATCTTTTATGCCAGAAAGCAAGGAAGTAATCAGTAGAGATCACATCAAAAGAACATAAGAAAGGACTCCCCCCGGCCAAATCTGAGCATCCCAATGAATAGTGGGTAGTGGGTTAAACACATTGAATTAAAAATTATAAAAACAAGTCCATAAAATGTTAAAAAAAAAAAAGAGGAAGGTGGAGAGAATACGGAGAAAGGTTTTCTTTGTAGAAGAATGTCAGCTAGTAATTATAGATGGAATGATAGAATTAGAAAATCACCATTTTGTTGGAACCCCAGGGTAATAATTGATTTGGACAAAAATGATCATCGGATGCCCAAAACACTGCGTAAAATATGTTGAGTATGGTGGTAGGCACATAGATCACTACTGTTTATAAAAATATTTTATATTTTATTTATATTGATTATTACAAAGGAGAAATTATACTTTTACAATGCAGAGATCTGGAGGCCACCACCTTAACTCAATGATCAGACATCGTCTACATAGCATTCTTGCCTAGAAGCAGTCAGACAAATCCAGAGTGTGAGACATTGTACAAGGCAGTTGGCCTGGACTCTTCAAAAGAGCCAATATTATGAAAGGCAAACTAACAATAAAAATGTTGGAGTCTATTTTACATTAAAAAGACTAAAGAAACGTAACAACTGAATGAATGGTGTGAACACTGATTAGATCTTAGCTTTAGAAAAATTCTATGACAGACATGGGACAATGGGGAGACGTTTGAGCAGAGTCTGTACGTGAGATGGTGTTTGGAACTCTTGTTAATTTTCCTAGGTGCCATAATGTTGTGTGTTGTGTGGTTATGCAGTGGAAGATCCTTATACTTAGGAGAAATGAGTTGAAGTATTTAGCAGTGATGTGTTATAATGTCTATAGAATACTCTCAAATAATTGAGCAATCATAATTATAAGTGATAGAAAAGGGAGAGAAAGCATATATGGCAAGATGAGTTTAAGTGTATGGTGATGGATGTTCATTATTTTCATTCCTCAATATTTTAATAGATTTGAACAGTTTCAAAATCAGTTATAGGGAGGCCTCTAAATATACTGTGCTGGGGAGGCTGTTGCATCTACCTGTCCTCCAATTCAGGCTGGGCCAGGTGCCCTCACCTGCCATCTGCACACATGCTGCCTCCTAACCACACTGAATCATCATCTCCTGTTTCCTTTCAGGTGAAGACCCCCTTGTGGATGACCAAAATGAACGAGATATCAATTCAGTTGCTGGCGTTCTAAAACTGTATTTCCGAGGACTGGAAAACCCACTCTTTCCTAAGGAAAGGTTTCAGGATTTGATATCTACTATTAGTAAGTATTTCCTCAGTGGAATGATGAGTTCCTTGACAAATCTTTATTGGAGCGGCACTCCAGGCTTATCACTGCAGGAGGGGTGCTGTGAAAGACGCCATATGGCTCCTGTCCTCCTGGAACTTAAAACCTAGTTGTGGAAATAACAAGATGGTTTTTAACAGAAGGGCTCATGGGCACGGTGCACCTCTGGGTATAGGAGGAGCTCAGAAGAGAAGAGGCCAAGGGAGCCTTGGATTCTCAGATCACACCCAAGGGGGAATGATGAGTCTTTCAGGAGGGCTGGACTCGGGGGTCCTGGGAAGGTTGGGTACACACAGATCAATGGGACCAGCAGGAGGTTGTCCCACCCAGTACATGGTATTAAGAGACTGGGAGGGTAAAATGCAGCAAGAAAGAGAAGACATTGAATGCCTTGCAAGGATGCCAGAGCTTTTCCCTTTGGGCATTAGGGAGCCATGGAAGGTTTGGGAGTGAGGTCAACAACATGACAAACAAGGGAAATGATAAAAAATACATTGACTGAAAAAAAAAAATACATTGACTGGCAGCTTCCTCTGATGTTGCTAGCAGAGTCCTTTGGTATTTTCTGTGGATAAAGGCAAGAGTCCAATCTCAGAGCTGAAGTAAAGGCACCTTGACTGTAAGATGCTGAAATCCAAGGCAACCTTTTGGAAATATATATATTTTTAAATCTCTAATTTTAGCATACTAGAATGTTAGTATTTTGGAATAAACCCTTTTTTGAAATAAACTCTTTGAGTAGCAGAAAAGTTGCCCCACACTCAGGTTCACATATGGATGCTTCTCACAATGTTCTGAGGGATATTTGCAGCCAGGAAGGTGCACCAGGAGGTGATAAGCGCCAAGGGAGGCTTGAACCCTCTAATTTGCCTTGAGTGAAAGATGCTTCCTCCATCCGCCCTTCTGCCCTCATACCTCCTGCTCATCTTTCCAGATCCACTTCAGGCTCCAGACCACCTCTCAGAAATCCCAGGCCACAAAGGCACATCTCTGTCTGAGCCTGGTGTCCCTTGCTCAGCCGCTGTTTCCAGAAGCTCCACTAGTCCAGCTCCAGGGCAGGGCCCTCAGCAGACACAGTGTTCAGCCTCTGGTACAAGGTCATGACATTGTGTACCTTGAATCACAGGATGAGAGAGAAAGTCCTTCCTCAGTTCCTTCCCAAAGCCTTGATTACATCAAGGAGTGACCCATACAAGTCAGTCTCCCTGCAGATCAGAGAGGGCAGGGCCTCAGGCTCAGAAACTTGTATGTAAATCAGTGTCTGCCTGTCATTTGGTAGCTTTGTTTTGCTTTTGTTGTATCTATTTTTATCTTACTGTCTAACTATGGCAAGTGATCCTGGTTTCTCATTTGAAGAGTGAGGTGAAGTCTCCTTTTTAAAAGAAATATATTCAAGAACACAGTATTAAGAAATGGTGATGGAGGTGGTCTAGGGCACTGTGACTGAAGCCGCGGACCCACTCAGTCACTCAGTGGTGTCTGACTCTTTGCAACACCATGCACTGTAGCCCACCAGACTCCTCTGTCCATGGGATTCTCTAGGCGAGAATACTGGAGTGGGTTGCCATTCCCTTCTCCAGGGGATCTTCCCAACGCAGGGACTGAACCTGGGTCTCCCGCATTGCAGGCGGATTCTTTACCATCTGAGCCACAGAGATCTCACAGGTAGGCTCACAAATGTTGTTTGCATGAGTCTGTGAGGATGAAAGGTGCCCTGAAAAGCCCCTTTTGTTACAGAACTCGAGAACCCAGCTGAGAGGGTGCACCAGATCCAACAGATCCTCATCACCCTTCCCCGCGTGGTCATCGTGGTCATGAGATACCTCTTTGCTTTCCTCAACCAGTGAGTTGCCTGAACAACAAGGGCCCCTCTTTGACTCAGCCCTGGCCTCCTAGGGGAGGGGAGTGTCCTGGGGCTTTTGCAGAACATAGAACCCTCCTGAACTTGAGTAGAGCACCCCAAAGAAAGAAAGTACAGGGGAAGATACACCTTTCCCTGGTGGCTCATGGGTGCTCCTCTCTCATAGCCTCTCACAGTATAGCGACGAGAACATGATGGATCCCTACAACCTGGCCATCTGCTTTGGGCCCACCCTCATGCACATCCCCGATGGGCAAGACCCTGTGTCCTGCCAGGCACACGTCAACGAAGTCATCAAAACCATCATCATCCATCATGAAGCCATCTTCCCCAGCCCCCGGGAGCTAGAGGGACCTGTGTATGAGAAATGCATGGCTGGAGGGGAAGAATATTGGTAAGATTCCATTCTTCTTAATATTATTATCATCACCGTTCTTGTTATTATTGCTGTTATGCCAGAATAGTGGGAAATCCTTTGATTTTCTTACTGCTTTTTAGTGCATACTCCTATATGTGTTTTCTCATCTGAGCTTCACAGTAGCCTTATATGAGGGATAGAGACATCCAAGACTCTTTTGGTTTATATGGGACAGAAATATAACTCAAACTGGCTTAAGCTAAATGGGAATTTACTTTTAAATAAAAAGTCTGGGATCATGGCTACGGGTGTAGCTGGATCTGGGGGTTCGACTGTTATTGTCAGGACTCAGTCCTGCAATTCTCAGCCCCAGCTCTGTTCTCTTCTACGCTGGCTTCATTTTCAGGCAGCCTCTCCCTTGGTAGTTTCAAGAAGGCACCTGATAACTCCAGTTTTTAGAGCCTGTTCTCTCAGCATCCCCAGTGGAAAAAAAGCTTTTCCTTTCCAAATGCCTCAACACAAACTCAAGTATTATGTCTCTTCCTGAAGCTTGGGTCTGGTGAACTAATCACATCAGTTAGGAGATGCAGTGCTGTCATTGGCTAGGTGAGCTGCAAGCCCATCTCAGGCAGCAGGGCAATGGATAATCCCCATCTCAACCTCTTGAACTGAGAATGCCACTTCCCACACTTGTCCTCTCCCACCTAGAGTCCTCTTTTTCTGGCAGAGAGAGTTCACATTCTTGGAGAGCTCCACACCAGGTTGACGGGTGCTAGTTGGGCACCTCTGTGTGCCTTGGTGCTACGCTGGGTCTTGGGGAAAATAGTGTCTTTTATTTTTTTCAGTATTTTTTAAAGGATGGTTTTAGTATTTAAAGTCTTTATTGAATTTGTTACAATATTGCTTCTGGTTTTTTTTTTATGGTTTTTTATTTTTTGGCCATAAGGCATGTGGGAGTCTTAGCTCCCCAACCAGGGATCAAACCCTCACCCTCTGCACTGGAAGGCAAAGTCTTAACTACTGGACCACCAGGGAAGTCCCTTGAGAGGAGCATTTTAGAATCTTATCAAACTCAGGCCTGACTACCTTCCTCAGGCTAAAACCTTAAAATGCGGTGAAAATAGGACATTTTTTATAGATGAGGTGGAGGTAGAAAATTCAGAACACCAACCAACAGAGGCCAAAGGGCTCCTAGTCTTTCTTCCTTCCCAATCCAGGACAACACTCAGCTGTCTATTTAGGTATTACCCACACTGCTTTCAGCCAGGTGCTACAGGGGAGTTTGCGTTTTGATGATCAGAGGATTCCTGGACTCTTGCCTCGCTTAGTTCTGTGGGCACATTTGGGCAATTGCTTCAAAGAAGGGAAACGTTCCAGCCTCATCGTTTCTCTGCAACACCTCCCTGCATAGAAACCCGGGCCTGCTGCTCTCTAATCTCATTTGAGGCCCTGGGAGCAGGTTTGTCCCTGTAACAGAGATTCAACAGCCAGCAAGCATACTTTTAGGACAGAGAAAAGCTTTTCAGTTTTATAGTTTTTGCAGCCATTACCAGCTTTCTTTTCTTGCTGCAGTATATATATATATATATATATATATATATATATATATATATATAAAATTAGTGTTCTGTGAAGACACCTACAGATCGTAGCATACTTACCAAAGCACTACATATAATAACCATGCTTTTTTTAAACCCATTTGTGCCCCATTAACTATTAATTACACGGTAATTTGGGACAAGTTTTCAAAGCCCAAAAGGAGGATTTGGCTGTGAGGGTCTCATCAAAGGGAACAACATGTTCATTCCCTGTATGGTTACTGAGAATCTGTCCTGCGCCAGGCCCTAGGCTGGGCAACAGGGAGGTAACCCAGCCAGAATTAACCCCTGACACGGCGGGGGAGGGGGCAGGCAGTTCTAGGAGTAGGGGCCCCGGAGCCAGCGTGGGGAGGTTAGAATAGCTGACTGAAGGAAGCAGTGACTTGATTGAGACCTGTAGGATAAACTGGGCTCAGCCAGGTGAGACTGGGCAAAGATTGTGCTAGGCCTGGAGCATGCAGTCGGATAAAAAGCATTTCTGTTTGACTGCAGTGTTGCAGGTGACAAGGGGACTGTGAGGAGCCAGCCGGAGCCAGGTTATGAAAGGTCTTAAACCATTGTGCAGTCTGCACCTTATCCAAGAGAATTTTTCACAATAAAGCCCATATTCCTTTAAATGGTATTGTAAATGTCACGTCCTCCAAGAAGCCTTTCTTGGCACCCCGTGTAGGACCCTTTAGAGCTCTGTCTCACCTCATTCGTGCCTGTATAACACATTTCAACTTGCGGCACTTTTATTTCTCAGCCCATGAGAGCAGGGTCTATGTCCAAACTATGCATCAATGCATGCCTCCTACCTGGCGCCATGCCTGGCATATATTAATATATCAGAACTCAGTCACTGGCTTGATTAAAAAAAACTGATCGGCTGACTCTGCGAATGATCCCTGGCCTCAAGAAGTTTATAATCCAGTGAAGGGGCAGCAGCTGATGAAATTACCCCAGTGCATTAATGCTGAATTTTTCAGGCCTGGAGTCACTCTGTCCCTATGCCCATGATGGCTGCCAGCCTGCTGGCCGCCTGGGCTGCTGTGGGTTTTGCAGGCCACTCTGAGAGGCAGCCCTGAGGAGCCTGCTCCTTGGGAGCGTCAGCCACCTCGCTGAGCATGCCACCTCTGCTCTAAGACAGAAAGCCAGGCCACTTGAATGACTCTCAGTACACTTGCAAAGTTCTTTTCTTTTCTGCCCTGGGGTCTTTTCAAGGATAAACACCAGGGCTTTACTGCCTTCTAGATCTTACAGAACACTTAGGCATCAGCAACCATTACCAAGAAGACAGCCCAGCAAACTCCAGAGCTGGGGCAAATGGAGGAGGTTATTCAGGGAAGCTTCCTGATGGGTGAGGGGGCCAGAGAGGTTTCTGTTAGAAAGGTCTGTGGGTGGTCAGATGGGAAAGATGGGATGAAGTGGGCTCGATGTCATCTGGGTCAAGGCCCGGACGTTGGTTGGGCCAGCGCCTGTGAGAAGCCAAGGGCGGTGTGAGGATACACAGTCCCCCAGGAGACCCCTCCCCGTGTTTCCTTGCAGTGACAGCCCGCACAGCGAGCCAGGGACCATCGACGAAGTTGACCATGACAACGGCACGGAGCCTCACACCAGTGACGAAGGTGAGTGAGGGGGAGTCAGGGCAAGGCACTCACCCGGGGGTCTCCCATGCTGCCTGCCCACCTGCTGCGCTGATCTGTGTAACCCCCACCCCCCACCGTCCCAGCTTTGCCAGTCAGCACATCATCCTGTACAGCAGAGAGAGACCCAGAAAGACCTCCAGTTCAGCACATCCCTTGGCTTGCCTGCTCCCCTTCTGTGTCCTGCCTGGCCTGAGTGCAGATTCTAAGTGACCAGGGAGTCCCAAGTAGAAAGCAGGCTCTGTCCGCTGCCCCTTCCCGTACTGGGCTCTGCTCTGCACCCAGCACGTGCTGGGACGCGGGGCCCACGATGAACCAGACATGGTCACCAAGCAGCTCCTGGCCGTGTCCCCTGGCAGCGGGAGGGCCGCTCCCCACCATGCAGGGGGATCATTCCAGACTGCAGGAGCGAGCGGCGCAGTGGGCTCCCGAAGGCGAGGCCAGACTGGTGACCCAGGCGAGGGTGTCCGCTCCCCACCATGCAGGGTGATCATTCCAGACTGCAGGAGCGAGTGGCGCAGTGGGCTCCTGAAGGCGAGGCCAGACTGGTGACCCAGGCGAGGGTGTGCAGGTAGAGGGAAAAGGCCGACCCGGGCTCTGAGTGACACCTAAGGAAATGGCATCAGACTCACCTCTGGGGAGCGTGAACTGTGTAGCCAGGCAGTCTGGGTGATTTGGGCCTGAGGCCAGCGTTTCCATTAGGCAGATCAGGCCCACTGCCCAGAACCCACAGTGCTGCTTTCAGGGCCCATGAGAATGTTCTAATTCATTTCAATATAAGAATTTAAAAAAGAATATGAGCCTGGATTATTTTCATCTTTATATCAGTGTGGTCATAAAACAGAGTTTTGATATTTTCTTAGTGGAGGAAGGGGCCTGGGCAAGCAAGGGTACCTCAGGCCTGAACGTCCCAGTGCTGCCCTGTGTTGACTGAACACAGCCCTCCTTTCTCCCTGTGATAGTTTCACTGTTTAAAAACCATTATTTAGCAGTTTTCTTACTGGCCTTTGTGTTTCTCTTGGGGGCAGTCCCAGGCCCTGTTAGCCCCCATTTTGGTCAAGAGAGCTGGGATGTACTCTGGTGAGTTTCCTGGGAGTTGGTGTAAGAGGCAAGACTCTTACATAGGTGGGTTTTCATATTCTAGTAGGACTATTTCTGTTGCCAGTCACAGAGCCTTCAACTGAAACTGACGTAAGCATAAAAGGGATTCAGACCATATACTTGAAAGTCCCAGGGTAGGTGTGGCTTCAGGCACAGCTGGATCCAGGAGCTTAGTTGGCCTTGTCAGGGATGTGTCTCCACCTTGCTCTTCTGCTTCCCTGTGTCGACTTCATCCTCTGGGGGGATCTTCCTTTTGCAGTGGTCTTTGACAGTTCCAGGCTTTCATTGTCCTTTTACCCAAAGAGCCTCCTTTTCAAAATGATTCCAGTAGAGTCCCTTGGTTGGAGTCTCACCGCACTGTCTCGAGTCATGCACCCAGGCAAGAATCAGTCACTGTGGCCTGAGAGGGAGGTGATGGGTCGGGCCTGGGTCGTAGGGCAGGAAAGTAAATTGGGGCGTGATGTTCAGCTCTGCTAGAATTCTTAGCGATTAAAGCCACCCTGAGCTGAGAAAAACGTCCTGCAGAGCCTCCTTTAGGAGATATGAAGGCTGCCACCTTCTGATTGTTTGCGGTGGTTTGCTCTTCTCTTTCCTTCTTGTCCTCTCTTTCCTACCAGCTCTAGTCCTCCCTTTCCCTCTATCACTTTTAATAGCCCCCTTCTCGTTCTCTCCATCTGTTGCTTTTTGACTGCTGGTTATGTGCCTGTGTGCATACACACATGTGCAACTCTTGATCTAGATCTTGCTTTCAGGCTTTCTTCTTCCACTTCCACTGGGGGAAAACACCTCTTGTCCAGCAAGATAGCTTGATTTCTCAGCACTGAGACCTGTTGGGGCTGCTGCTGGTGGAAGCAGACGTGTCCGTGGGGAGGCAGGTCAGGCGCCACCCTGCAGCATTCCTGGGGCCTCCGGTCACTGTCAGTCAGCCTGCACCCGCTGTGTGGCCGCCCCGTCTCCTCACTACGAGGTGGCGGGTGCTGTGGGCACCAGGACCAAGGAGAGGGATGGACAGAGGGCACAGCGGTTTGCGGCCTCAGGACCTCCCGGCAGGCTTCACCCCACCGGAGAGAAGCCTTCAGAGGAATTTGAATAAGAGAGTCTCAGGATGTGATTTATGATTTTAAAAGATCCCTCCAGCTGCCGTGGGGAGAGACGACTCTACCAAGCTTGAATGGAGGCGAGGTGGCCAGGTAGAAGGACGGTAGTGTCTGGACTAGCGGGGAGAGGGTGGCATTGGAGGTGGTGAGGCTGGTCAGATTCAGGGGACAATTCGAAGGAAATGCTGATGAGTTAGCTTCTGTGGCCTGAGGGAGTGGGCAGATGGTCTGTTTCCTAAGATGGGGAAGATGAGGGGATGAAGCAAGTTTGGGGAGGGGTGTGTGGGAGAGTTGGTAAGCTGTTCTATTTTAGGTGTGATAAACCCAAATGACAGACTTCCTAATAAATGGTAGCTGTTATCCCTGTTTCTAGCCCACACGATTATACAGCAACATCTGCGAACACACGAGCTTTCTCTCAGCTTGCAGCTCAGCTCTGCTCCTCATCTCTTCTTTTCTCCCCCTTACATTTTCCACTTCTCCTTGCTCCCCCGCCCCCCACTCCAGTCTACCACCAGTGACTGCTGGAGCTGGTGGAGTTGAGCAAGTCTCCACCCTGGGCAGTTCCTTCAGCAGAGCAAACGGTGGGCTCAGAAGAAGCCCTTGGGGTCACTCCAAGGAGCACCCAGCCCTTGGGGTTCAGCTCTTGGCCTTGCAAACCCTCTGGCCTTTCTCTCTCTAAAGCCAGGCAGATACATAGGTTACTAGGTGCTGCTCACATAGGGATGGTGTGAAGTCAAAGATGCAGCAGAGAGTACAGAGATCTCTTCATTTCACTGAGAAGGTGACTATGAGTCAAGATCTGAGTTTATTTGATCCTAAATAGCCGGTCTGTCATTTTGCATCAACTTTGTCAGAATATCTTGCAAAGACACTTGTCAGGGAACCAGCAGGGGAAAGCTGGCTTAACTGTCTGACGCCTGCTGTCTACAGCTGGCTGTCCCAGGCACTGAGGACTGGGTCCACCCAAAGACTACTGCATCTCACGGGGGCACTGGCCCAGTCTTCTGGAGCCAGCTACTCACAGAGAAGAGACCTAATGTGTGTGGGTGGGGTGGGGAATAACAGGGAGAGATGACTTCCATGCTGTCCATGGCCCTTAGGAGTCATTAACTCTGGTATTAATGACAGCAACAACTACATCTCATATGAAGCTAATTGTGTCCCAGGCACTGTTACAAGCTGTTCATGTGTAATAACTTGTTTAGTCCTATGACAACACTATAAAGTTGGTACTATTCTTATCACTCCCATTTTACAGATGAGAAAACTGAGACTTAGAAAACAGAACTAAATTTTTCAGGTCACCCAGGTAAAAACAAAAAGGTGGTAAAGCCAGGTACTGTTGGCTTAGCTCCATGACGGACAGGTGGATGGGTGCATGGACAGGATCAAGATAATCCATGAGGACAAGAGAAGAGACAGTCCTGATGGATGCTCAGCACCGGGAAGATATCTGCAGGCTAGCGAGAGCAGGCACCACCTTTGTTACTCTTTTGTTTATTAGAATTTAATAGATTTGTCTATTTATATAGGTACATGCATGTGTCTTCTTTTTATAGTATTAAACATCTTTGTGCTTGCTTTAAAATACAAGCGCATTAACATTTATACATGACCCATTTTCTCGGTAGCATTTCTACCCATTTGCATCTCTTAGGGTACAGGCTTTAACACAAATTGTAGGCATAAATAACTGTCCTGCTCCCCCGAAAGTCTCCTTCCCAGAGATCACTAGCTGCATGGCCTTCAGCAAAACACTTAAATTCTCTGCAGTGCAGATTTCTTTGTCTAGTCCCACCCCGTAAGCTAAAGCCATTGTTGTTTTTTTGTTGTTGTCCAGTCGCTCAGTCATGTCTGACTCTTTGTGACCATATGGACTGCAGCACGTCAGGCATCCCTGTCCTTCATCATCTCCTGGAGCTTGCTCAAACTCATGTCCATTAGTAATTATAATCAAAATCACAAGAGCCGCTATAAGCTGAATACTTAATGTATGTCTGTGCTATGCTGAGAACTTTCACATGTTCTCTTTTTTTTAATATATTGAAGTCTTTCTTCTTATCTAGATATATTGATATATAACAGTTTATTAATATAAGATATATGGGATAATGATTTGATATATATATATATATATATATAAATGATCACCACAATAAGTCAGGTTTAACATCCATCACCACACAGTTATATTTTGTTTCCTTGTGATGAGAACTTTTAAGATCTACTGTCTTAGTAGGTTTCAAATATACAACATAATATTATTAACTTTAGGCACCATGCTGAATATTATATCCTATGACTTATTTATCCTGCTGAATATTACATCCTATGCCTTATTTATCCACTGGAGGCTTGTACCTTTTGATTTCCTTCACCCATTTCATCCACCTCTCACCTCTGGCAACCACCTGTCTATTCTCTGTATCAGTGAGTTCTGTTTGTTTCTGATTTTAGATTCCACATGTAAGTGAGATCATACGGTGCTTGTCATCTTCTGTCTGACTTATTTCACTCAGCATAATGCCCTCAAGGTCCAGTTATGCTGTTGCAAATGGCACGATTTCCATCTTTTTATGGCTGAATAATTTCCCATTGTTTCTATACACCAGTCTTCTTTGTCTGTTCATCTGTCTATGGACCTTTAGGTTACTTTCATATCTTGGCTATTGTAAATAGTGCTGCAGGGAACATGGGGGTCTGCACCATATCTTCTCAAGTTAAATGTGTTCATTTCCTGTGGGTAAATACCCAGAAGTGGAATTGCTGGATCACATGGTAGCTCTGGTTTTAATTTTCTGAGGAACCTCCGTAGTGTTTTCTGTAGTAGCTGCACCCATATACATTTCCACCAGCAGTGCACAAGTTCCCTTTTCTCTGCATTCTCACCAACTCTTGTTTGTTGTCTTTATCATAACAGCCATTCTAACAGGTATGAGCTGATATCTCACTGTGGTTTTGATTTGCATTTTCCTAATGATTAATGGTGTTGAACATCTTTTCATATACCTGTTGCCTATCTGTGTGTTTTCTTTCATGCTTTATCATTTAATCCTCTAAAGGCAACTGAGGTGTGCATCAGTTGTGTAACCTGCCTGAGGTTACACAAACAAGAGGTGACAGAGCTGGGCAGTAGGAATATTTCAAGGACAAGAACTATGTTCTCATTGGTTAACCCAGGCAGGGCCTGTTACTCAGCAGAGAAGAATACAGCTCTGATGGGGAGAGGTGTGTATGCAAAGAGATATGCTTGACCTGTAGCCCCAGTAAGAATTCTCCCTCCCCCCAAATTAAGTTCATAGATGTGCACGTTAGCTCAGGCTGCCATCATGGAATACCTTAGACTGAGTGGCTTAGACAACAGAAATGTGCTTCCTCGCAGTTTGGGGGGCTAGAAGTCCAAGCTCAGGGTGCCATTAGGGTTGGGTTCTGCTGAAGCCTCTCTTCTTTGCTTGTAGACAGCTGCCTTCTCGCTGTGTCCTCCCATGGCCTTTCACTGTGCCCATGCAGAGACAGAGAGCGAGCTCTCTGATGTCGCTTCCTCTTCTCAGAGGGAACCCAGTTCTATCATATTAGCTCCCCACCCTTATGACCTCACTTAAGCTTAATTACTTTCCTAAACACATCTCCAAATACCATTACAGTGGGAGTTAGGATGGCAACATAGGGATTTGGGGGAAGACAGAGTTCAGTCTATAACAATGAGCTCTGGAGAGAAGCTTCTGGGAACCTTTAAAAATTGTATACAACATTTTACATGGAAGAGAATCCACATACAACATCTGTTTGACCTCCTACAAGGTAAGAACCACCAACAGTGTGATATGTGAACAAAAAGGGAAAGGGTTCATGGGAAAATGGAAACAGAGCTGGTATTTAAGGGACAGAAGAAAAAGAAATTTCTTATATTATTTTTATAATGTTAAAAAGGAGCAGTGGAAAGTAAGGATGTAGTATTTCAACCCCACTTTCCATTTTGGGAAGTGAGATGGCCTGCCTGAGGTCACAGCACAGGGAGCGGATCTGAGACTAGAGCCCAGTATCCTGAGCCCCAGCTCATGCTGTTCTCACCAGGCATGCTGTCTGCGCTGCCCCATGGAGCCAGGGCCCTCTGACTGAGGCTCCTGGGCTGCCTTCTGCTGTCCTCATGGATGCTCTTGCCCTTGCTTTCCTTCCAGAAGTGGAGCAGATCGAGGCCATCGCCAAGTTTGACTACGTGGGGCGGTCCCCACGGGAGCTGTCCTTCAAGAAGGGAGCCTCACTGCTGCTGTACCACCGAGCCTCCGAGGACTGGTGGGAGGGTCGTCACAACGGCGTGGACGGGCTCATCCCACATCAGTACATAGTTGTACAGGACATGTGAGTGGGCGTTGGGACTGTCTGTGAAGAGTGTCATGATGGATTAGTGATGTCTGGAAGGGGCACAGGAACATTAGCGCTGGATTATATGCCAGCAATTTGCTCTCCCTGCTGGGACACACTTGGTCTTCTGTGAGAATGGATTATGTCTCAGCTCCCTTTGAATGGTGCTCCATTGAACAAAAAAGCAAATTGCTCATCCTTCACGGTCCACAGGGACAGTGTTTGGTGCTCTTGGCTCGCCATCCTGGCCCACCTGACAGCCTCCAGGGCATTTATCACCCGCTCTGGTTCTCAGCGTCCACTGGATCTTGCCGTATACCTCCGCCCTTCAGGGCCTCCACTGTAACCCATTGGCCACCCCACTGCCCTCTTAACTGCCCACTGTTCTCTACCTTGAGATAGCTCTCCCAGGAGAGGGGCACAAACAATCGTCCTCTCATTTCCAGCTAAGAGGGTACTATTTTTAAAAAATAAATAAATAAAAATAACTTTAGGCCTTTAAAAAGAAAAAAGCTCTGCATCCCAAACACCTAGCGCCAGCATCAGGCCCAGAAAGTCGACACATTCCATTCTTGGAAAAGCTTTGAGGGTTCCTGTATACACTCCCTCCGAGTTCCAGTCCGGCTCAGGTTGAACGATTTACCGGGCTGCGGGCTGGGCCTCGGGGCGGGGGCCAGAGGCACGCATCTTGATGGCAGAGCAGACCATCTGGAGCCAGAGAGAAGTCCAGTTCAGGCAAACAACAGAAGAGCCCTAGGCGGTCTTCTGACCCCAGGCCTCTGAGGACAAGGACAGGAAGAAGGATAGAGGAGGGGAGAGGGCGTAGGGGGTGGTGGACAGAGCACCCCAACAAACTCCAGCCCCTTCCCGTTGTCCAAAGCCAACGGTGGGGGGGGGGGGGGGGGGATGGGAATGCCTTCCTCTTCCCTGGCTGAACCCCAAGCTGCTGCTCCCCGAGTCACATGAGACTCAGTGCCCAGAGCTTAGCTTGCAGGCCCACTCCCCCTTTTTTCCTCCACACCCTCCCGTGTTCAGCTTGTCCCAGCCCAGAGCAGCTTGGAGAGACCAGTTTAGCCTACGGGAGGAGCAGGTAGGGGAGCGTGGTGCCCCCGAGCGCCTCCTGCTGGGGAAGCGGCAGCGGCGCAACCACGAGCCGTGGGTGTGGATCCGGCCCCTCAGGTCTCAGCGCTTCCGGGTCGTTGGGAGCGAAGCCCTCCCCGCTCACGCCTGTCCTTCTCCGCAGGGACGACGCCTTCTCTGACAGCCTGAGCCAAAAGGCCGACAGCGAGGCCAGCAGTGGGCCGCTGCTGGACGAGAAGGCCTCCTCCAGAAACGACCTGCAGTCCCCCACGGAGCACATCTCGGATTACGGCTTTGGGGGGGTGATGGGCCGGTAGGAGACTCGGGCTCCTTCTTTCCTGCTCGCGCAGTGCCCATTCGGGTCTGACTCGGGAGAAGGAAGGGCAAGGGAGGGGCAGAGGGGGGCTGTCGTGGCCCCTTGCTCCCCAAAGGATGTGACGCTGCGCACGCCTGCTGGGCTGGCTGGAGCCGGCCTCGAATGACAGGTAGAAGAGCAATCCAGCTTGGGACAGAGGTGGAGAAAGAGGAGAGACTTACACAGGCAGCCGATCCTTCTTACTTAAAATACTAGTAACATGGGCGAGGGAGAGTTACAAATTGGCAAGTGCTTTCCCTCTCGCTCCAGTTCTTACACCTCCTCCCCACTTTGTGTTGAAAACCCAAGTTGTTATATTTTAAAATGTGAAGTTCTTTTACTCGCTGAAGCGCACCACGTAAGCAGAAGTCTCATACACACTGCCTGGGGGGAAATTGACACTCGGCTCCACCCACATATTTGGTGGGAGTGTGTTTGCCAATTTCTTCACTCCCGTGTGGACAGGGCTGTCACATGACCTTTCTGCCAGGTAAGGAGCTAGGCTCCTCACTCTGTCTACAGGTAGAGTCCAAAGCACTTGGTGATTTCAAACAAAACAAAAACAATTAGGAAAAGAAAAGAAAAGTTGGCAGTTTCTCACTGCTTTCTTAATCAGATCCTCAAAATGTCATGTTCTCTGTTTTTGGTGGAGAGGTCATGGGATCAACCCACACACTGGGTACTTGCAGACAGAGCCAGAGAAATTAGCTGCAATAGGAACCTAGGTTTATGGATTTATTTCAGCAGAAGTCCCAGTACCTCTCTCCAGCGAACTCTGTTCAGTTCAGGGTGTCGATAATCGGCAGATAGAATCAGGGGAAGTGTATGGTTGGGGTAGGTGGGTGACAGAGTTGAGGTCCCTTGACATCTAGGGGGGCCGTACCTTCTCTTGCCTCAGTTTCCCTCTCCCTCTGTCCTCCCTTGTCTGCCTTCCTCTCCTCCTTTCTTTCCCAGTACTCTTCCACTCCAGCACCAATGCTTTGGTCCTGTTGGGGTGACCACAGGCAATGCTTAGCTCGGCTGGTGGCACAGGGTGTAAAGCACTGCTGACTGCATTGAGCTTGGTCCCCGTCACAATCCATCCCCACACCCGGTCCCTCCTCCCCACTCCCGCACCCTTCCCAGCCTTCCTCTCCTCACCAGTGCCTTCAGGGCTTTGCTGACCTCCCTAGGCTGGAGCAGAATCCCCGGTGGGTAGAACCGCTTCAGAGTGGTCTCCCACCCACTGAACCTCCCTTGAAGGTGGGTGATGAATATTAGACCCATTTAACGGATGAATAGAGTGGGTCTGAAAGAAGTTGCTGCAAAGTCAGTGACAGAGACAGGACAAGAATCTGCCTTCCAGATAGATACTTTAGGCCCCTTTTCTCTCTGCCACAGCCTCCTTGAAGGGTGAAAGGTATCCAAATGTATAAAAGGCATTCCAGTGATACAGGTTTTTCTCTTAATGATTGGAAATGTTCAAGGTCTGGAAAAGCCTTATAGAAAACAGCCCATTGGGGAGATTTGGGGAGGGTGACAACACTGGGCTGTGTTGAGTTCCCAGGGGGCCCTACTGTGCTTGCCGGGAGCTGGTAACTTGTGGTACAGTCAAGCCTCAATGCCTCAAACCAATCAGAAGCCCTTTGGAATCCTGGAGACATCTAAACCGCTTAAAAACATATCATGAACCCAACTAACCATGAGCAAAGTGTTCCCAGGTTGCAATCCTCCTGGCCCTGACTTAACATATAGATGAGATTCGCTGTGTAATTAGCACCACCGACTGCAGCTTAGAAGCAGAAGGCCCGATTCTTCGTGTGTGCAGGTTAAACCTGCTGGCCTGAGTTCTGCACTTGGACAGTCCTTCACTGCAGAATCGCCAAGTCTGGCTGAATGAGGCTTTACTATACCCACTCCCTAGACTAGTGTGTAGCATGTCTGGACTCTGGGGGATTGGCTGACCCATGTGACACCGGCCAGGGTTGACCTCTGCCCCATGCCCCTGCCCCCTGGCTCCTTTGCAGAGTGCGGTTACGATCTGACGGAGCAGCCATCCCCAGGCGCCGAAGCGGGGGCGACACACACAGCCCACCCCGGGGCCTGGGCCCCAGCATAGACACACCACCCCGGGCCGCCGCCTGCCCCAGCAGCCCCCACAAAATCCCCCTCACTCGGGGAAGGATCGAGAGCCCTGAGAAGCGGAGGATGGCGACGTTCGGGAGCGCCGGCAGCATCAACTACCCCGACAAGAAGGCGCTCTCCGAAGGGCACAGCGTGCGGTCGACGTGCGGTTCCACCAGGCACAGCAGCCTGGGGGACCACAAGTCCCTGGAGGCCGAGGCCCTGGCTGAAGTAAGGGCCGGCAGGAGGCAGGCGCGCCCGCTGACACCCCCAGAGGGGTAGGGGTGGGCCCCTGCAGACTGGGGAGTCACTTCGCCCTTCACACCAGGTCAGGCTAAGCCAGGACACAGGATAGACAGTGAGCTGGCTTCCCGTGCCCCTGCTGGCCTCCCCCTGGGAGGGGAAGCTGGATGGGTGTAGCTCCTGGCTAGGGCTCCTGTAAAGGCTCAAGGCCCTAGTGTCCAGGCTGGAGGTGGGATTCCCAGATAGAGGATGTGGTTGTCGCAGGTGTCTCCATAAGATGGCAAGATTGTGCTATTCATGTTTTCATTTGTTCATCTTTTCATTCATTCCCTGATTCATTTGTTCATTTATTTATTGATGAATACTGATGGAGCATCTGTTGTGCTCAATCACTGGCTGGCACTGAGAAAATAATAATGGCATAAAGTGGACCCAGGTCATGCCCACATGGAGCTTAGGGTTTAGAGAAGAGAGGGATGGCAACCACCAACACACACAGCTGTGAAAATGGCAGCTGGGTCAGGAATCTTCAAGGAGTGGAACTCTGTGTTCCGAGAGCCTAAAATGTGTGGATTGCTCGTAAGCAGTGAGAGATGTCTCTGCAGAGGACAGCACCAAGATCCAAAGGGTAGGCAGGACGAAATAGCTGAAGCTGAAAGCAGAAAATGTTCCATGCTCTTCCAAAGTGCTTCGAGTTTTCTGTTTTGTTAGGTAACTTCTTAAAAATTTGGATGAGAAACCTGTGTGATTTTTACACTTGCCAAAGAAAGCACACAAATTCATTTAAAAATTGTTACCAAACAGTTTGTTTGAATTGTTTAATAATTGGCATGACAACTTTCATGTGTTTTTGACAGTTTTATCATAGTTCAAGTTTCCACTTTTCTCCCTGGAATTTGGCTGGCAGCCCATTATGTATCCCCTTCTCAATGTTTTCTCCCTGTTAAGAAAAGAGGGACAATCAGAATCTTTGGGGGGGTGAGGATTCTATTGTGAAGAGGGGGGTTGGGGACCTTGAAACACCAATCCAAGGTGGGAAGGTCTCACTTAGGACAAAGTGAAAAGTGATCATTCCCTGCCCCCCTGCCCTGCCACTGTCCACGCTTCCTGGCACCTCTCTGCAGCTCCACTTTGAGATCATGGCATCACGTCTCAGACTAACACCAGGCTTGTGCCTAAACACCTCAGCTGATCTTTTTCTGAGCTTGCTGTCTTTCTGGCCCACACTCTGCAAGGGTGGAGTGGTGGGGATGGTAGGGATGGTGGTAGAGGGGCGATAATTATATTTTACTTATTAGTTTTGCCTTTGGGCTCTGCTGGAGTAGAGCAGACTGTGTAGTGATATCAGTGGGGGACTTAATTTAAGCAGCCTGGGGTGTGGAAGGTGGCCATTTATCTCTGCAGGGGTGGGAGTAGCAAAAAGTGGGGACCGGACTGCCTTCTCTCCTGTCGTGAAGGACCCCCCCCACCACCACCATTAATCCTTGTGGATAAAGGCACAAACAGTGTCTTCTTAAAGTAGACAGTGTTATGGGCAGAGGATGAAGTATCTTGGCGAAGCATATATGCTAATATTGTGTTTCGTGTTAAGTTGCTTCCGTTGTGTCCCACTCTTTGAGACTCTCTGGACTGTAGCCCACCAGGCTCCCCTGTCCATGGGATTCTCCAGGCGAGAATACTGGAGTGGGTTGCCATTTCCTCCTCCAGGGGATCTTCCTGACCCAGGGATTGAACCTGTATCACTTTACATCTCCTGCATTGGCAGGGGGGTTCGTTACCACTAGTGGCACCTGGGCAGCCCACAGGCTAATATTGGCTGTTAGCGAATTTCCAGTGTCCCTTCACAAAGCAAAATAATGGGCTGGGACGGATTGGAACCTGGTATGGGGGCCCAGCAGGCAGCAGCCACCTGAAGACAGGGGAGGAAGAAGGGAAAGCGAGACCTGGGTGGGGAAGGGGCTGGCCGGGACACCTGCAGGCACCAGCCCTATCAGTCTAACCACACTTTCCTTTTTTTTTCCCAGAGTTGCCCCAGGGCGGAAAAGCCAGTTAGTGTGTCTCAGTAGTGATGTGGAGCCTGAAGTGGGGCCAGCATCTTCCATTACCGGCTCTAAGCACTGTCCCCCATTGTCCCCTTGGTAGCCCAGCTCAGCCTGAGTGGAGGCATCCCTGGGAAACCCCATGGGAGCAGAGGACTGTGGCTGGGGGAGAGCAGAGGTCACTGTCAGGCAGTTCACACACATCACCGCGTCCGCTGTCTCCTCCGTCTTCACTGCCAGTGGGGGGCTTTCAGCTCAGGGACCAGGTGTGTGCAGGGTGACTGAGCCTTGCCCGAGGTTGCCCAGTGTCAGTGGTAAAGCAGTCTTTCTCCTCCCAAACCCGGGCTCTGTATCCTGACCCAGAGCTCCTGGGTTAAATGCTGCAGTCCAGCTCCTGCGCCCCATCCTGGAATGCTGAGCCCCAGGCCTACCCTCTGAGTTGCCAGAATCTCTTTGAGTGTCATTCAAAGTGCTCTCATACTGATGAGCTCTTAAATGTCTCAGTATCCCCAGGAACTGCATAGGCAGATGAGGATTTTTGTTGCCTTTCAAATTTTTCATTTTTTTTTTCTAAAAAAGCATTATAATAGAAGAAAGTAACAGTCCCATCACCCTGGGGTGAGCATTGTGAATGTTCTAATATATAACCTCTGAACACTTTTCCTATGGACGAAGGAGAGATATTAATAGATTTGTTAATATTAATGCTTAGGTGCATGAATTCTGGAGTCAGACTACTATGCTGCTAAGTAGTTGTGTGACCTTGGACAAGATAACCAGTCTGAGCTTCCAGTTCCTTGTGTGTGAAGTGAGCATAATGGTAGTTCCTGGTAGATAAGTAATAAGTATAAGGATTAAATCAATTATTAGGAAGGAGGCTCACACTGGTGCTCTGTATTACCTCCATATTATTTGGGAAGTACTATGTACCAGGTGCCATGGCATGCTCTTCAAAGGGACCATATCATTTGGAGCTTCCCTAGTAGCTCAGATGGTAAAGAATCCGCCTGCAGTACTGGAGATCTGGTTCAATCCCTGAGTCAGGAAGATGCCCTGGAGAAGGGAATGGTTACCCGCTCCAGTATTCTTGCCTAGAGAATCCCATGGACAGAGGAGCCTGCTGCTGCTGCTGCTAAGTCACTTCAGTCGTGTCCAACTCTGTGCGACCCCCTAGACGGCAGCCCACCAGGATCCCCCGTCCCTGGGATTCTCCAGGCAAGAACACTGGAGTGGGTTGCCATTTCCTTCTCCAGTGCATGAAAGTGAAAAGTGAAAGTGAAGTCGCTCAGTGGTTCCCGACTCTTAGCGACCCCATGGACTGCAGCCCACCAGGCTCCTCCATCCATGGAATTTTCCAGGCAAGAATACTGGAGTGGGGTGCCATTGCCTTCTCCGACAGAGGAGCCTAGCGGGCTACAAAGAGTCAGACACAACTGAGTGACTTAACACTTTTAACTTTCAACACTATGTACCAGGTGCCATGCCATGCTCTTCAAAGGGGCCATATCATTTCATACTCATCAACTCCCTGAGGTCAGTATTATACTTAACCTACAAAATGAGAATTCTGAGATAGAGAGGTAAGGTAACTTGCCCAGGGTCACCCAACAAGGAAGCCGCAGAGCCAGGATTTGAACACAAGTCTGTCTGACTGTGGAGCCTGCCTCTGCAAGATCTGCAATGCTCATGTTGATTTCCCTTTATGGTTATGAGGCACCCCGGGATTGATTCTCCTGCCCAGCCAGTGAGATTTGTGGGGAAGCCTCCCTAAGGAACCCACAAGTTGGTCGGTGCCCTGGAAGGGTTAGTCCCCAGGCCTCCAGCTCTGCGCCAACCAGAGCTCTCTTTGTCCCCAGGACATTGAGAAGACCATGAGTACGGCTCTGCACGAGCTCCGGGAGCTGGAGAGGCAGAACACGGTCAAGCAGGCGCCAGACGTGGTGCTGGACACCCTGGAGCCCCTGAAGAACCCGCCAGGCCCCATCAGCTCGGAACCGGCCAGCCCGCTGCACACCATCGTCATCCGCGACCCCGACGCCGCCATGCGCCGCAGCAGCAGCAGCTCCACCGAGATGATGACCACCTTCAAGCCAGCCCTGTCGGCGCGCCTGGCCGGCGCCCAGCTGCGCCCGCCCCCCGTGCGGCCGGCGCGGCCCGCGGTCCAGCACCGGTCCAGCAGCAGCAGCAGCTCAGGAGTGGGCAGCCCGGCCGTGACGCCCACCGAGAAGGTCTTCCCCAGCAGCTCGGCCGACAAGTCGGGCACCATGTGACCCGCGGGGCGGCGGGCAGCGCCCCGGCCTGCTGCGGCCTCGGTGACCTCCGCGTCCTCCCAGGGCTCCCGGCTCTGTCGGGCAGGGACCAGAAGGTCGGCCTGGGGGCGGGTCTGTGCGGGGCTGAGTCCCAGGTCCCGGCCGCGGCGCGCCTCCAGTCACGTGGACCCCCGCCTCCCTCCCGCATGCACACAGACACCGGGGCGGTGAGGAGCGGTACCCCGGCATCACGGCCCGTGTTCAGTGGCTTCGCCCGCATATCGTCACTGGAAAAGGATTCTCTCGACATCCTCTCTACATGCATATATACGTGTATATGTATGCGTGCGCGTGTGTACACGTATGTATGAATGTATGTGTCTGTAGGTGTGTGTATATATATATATATTTATGCATCTATATACATAGACTAGATCTGGACACACATACAAAATGTATATAGGATCTCCTTTTTCTTTTTATGAAACTTAGATTTACCTCAGACCCATGCCACCAAACATCTCCCGCTGAGTTATTTGGTGGGATTTGCAGGGACTTTTCTGGGAGAATTTAAAGGCCCACAGTAACTGCGAATGAAGCAATATACCACTAACCTGCAGAAAAACAAAACCAGTCTCCCACTGTCTCCAGAAGTCGTGGCCTTCCAGAACAGTCTGCCCCTAAAGGAAGCGAGGGGCAGGCGGCACCCTGGGCAGGCTGCTCCCACAGGTGGGGACCACTTCACAGAGCCCCCTCCCCATCCACCCCAGAGACCCTGCCTTTCCACCCGGAGGTCAAGACCAATTGCACCCCCAAAAGCATGGAGGACATTGGCGAGAAGAGCCCTGACCTCAGCGGCCTGTGTTCGTTAGTAGAAGAGGGGATGGTGAGAGCCTGAGCCCCATCGTAGCACAGTATTATGTGTGGTTGGGAAAAAGGAAAAAAACAAAAAACCAAACAGTGGTGTGGAACACTTCAAAACCTAGAAACGCTGTAGGAACAATTCTGTGGTAACTATAGAGGTTTAACTTATACCATTTTCAAAATATTTAATTTTTTCTTTTCCTCTTTCTACTAATTATACTGTGTCAGATTCTGGAACTAAACAGGCAAGGAGAGTTTGAGTCCCATCGTTTTTTAATTTGAAATCAGGCCGTAACGCACTCTGGATGGTGGCCTTTTGCATGAAGCACACAGGGCTGTAGGCACGCAGCTCAGACCAGGCCTGGGGAGGGAGGCCTTGTCACCCGCGGCCCAGGAGAACGCTTTGGTGGAGTTTATGCAGTAAAATAGCTGCCCCTCCCCCTTCTCTCCCTTTCACCCACCTCCTCCAGCGCATTTAACACAATTGAAAATATGGGGAAAGAATTGGGGGGGGGGCGTGTCACCTCATTGAGCCTCAGTTTCCTGTTCCATAAAATGTGAGCAAGCAAACTGTGCAACCTAGGAAGCACTGTACCGACACAATTGCTCTTTTCATGGTTATCAGTAAGGTGAAAGCCATCTAGCACCTTCCTTTTGAAACCTCCTAATGGCATTTGAGAAGTGGGCAGTGGAATTTTCCTACCAGCTTCATAAGAGTCGTGAAGCACAGTCCTGCAGATAAGTCACCTCTTGACATTCCATCATTGCCGTGTCAGCCCACTGGATTAAGTTCTGCCCTCTCCTCTGTTCCCCAGAGAGGGAGTCATATGAAGCCACATTTACCTGGGTGTGTAGGGATGGGGAGCCACACTTCCTTGCCTGAAGGACTGGCCTCGAGAGTACACCGTGAGGGAAGAATAAGAAGGGCTCCAAAAGAGAATGCCAGGGAGAGGCTAGTGACAAACTCGACCTTCTTTGTTTTGCCTAGAATTTGAAATGAAAGAGCCTCAGAGCGAGCTAGGAGCTCTCTGCCACTTAGCATATAAAGTACCCCCCCCTTCCATATTACAGCTTAGGGAAGGAAACAAGGCCTTAGGATGGCTGTGACTTGTCCAAGATTTAATAGATGGCTGAGGGTGTGGCTGGGTCTGGCTCCTAAAGCCATTTATTTGCAAGGGTTCTGTGACGTCCAGCCAGGACAGAGACTTCTCATTTCTACCCAGAGAGACTCCCAGACCTTAAACACAGTGGCCTCCTGTGCAAGGTATCACATTCTCTGCCATGACTACCAGATGAAACATTAAGATGTGAGTTGACAGATCTGTTGCCTGATGTACGTAACACCAGTCAGGTCATGTGGATTTTCCTCTGAATTGACTAACTTCATCTTTCCTTACTGATTATAGGTCTGCCTTTCACTGAATGACCTACCTGAAGGACAGGGCCTTTCTGTTTTCTTTAAGCACCTGTTTTTCCATTGGGAAGTGGCCGATGAGCTCACATTTAGGCAAACTCACACCCCACTCATCCAGCTCCAAATCTGAGCCTTGACGCAGAACCAAATGGAAAAATGTTGCGCCCCGCCCCCCCCATCTGGCGCTCTGCATGTCTCAGGCCCCCTCCACACGCACCCAGGCCCTCCCACCGTCATGAGCATTGGCATTCTCTTCTGACGCCTGCCTGTGTTAGTCCACTATATATTGCTGTATTTGCTTAAATGCTGGAAAGTAACTGTTAAAATGTGAAACTGTAATTTTTAAAAAGGCTACAATGAAATTATAGCCAATGCCACTCACCAAATCTTTGCACCTAGTAGATAGATCAATGTAAAAAAACAAATACCAGAAACCTAACTGTACAGTGAGTGTGGGGGAAATGTAGTAACCTAGTTAGTAGTCCTCAGTATAACCAATTGTACAAGGGGAAGTGGTGTGTCTACCTACTTGTCCATCACCATTACTGGAAGCTGTACTGATCAGTTCATTGATAACGGGCAATTTTTTTTGTTTTTTTTTGCTCTTCACAGAATGATTTCTTAACCTTCAACTTACCCTGAGGTCAAGCCTTTTGTCTTTCTGTGTTACCGGTGTTCAGTCTCTTTTAGGAATGAACTAGCAAGATGTTCATTTAAAACTGACCAAAGAACAAATTCATTCCTGGTCTAGTTTCCTGGGCCTGGGGCCCAGCCTCCGGCCGCTAAGGACCTTTCTTGGAGAAAATTGAGAACGAGCCGTGCTTCCTACCCCACGCCCCCTCTCTCCCTTTAGTCCCCTTTCCTCTTAAAGAGCTGCTCTGAACTGTGGGATTCTGTGAAAAATTCTTGCCTTTCCTTGTTTTCAGTGCTAACGATTTCTCACCTTGAAGCGCCTTTTGAACCCCGGACAGAGCGCACAACTGGAGGGAATTGTCAGCTTGTGAATTAGACTTGTGTGTGGGGGGTCTTTTCTCTGCGGTCACTGGGCCCTCAGGGGCAGGAGAGAAATGGATCCCCTCCAGGTTCCTATCCCATGAAGAAATCCGAGTGGGAAGAGACGCAGGGAAGTGGAGCCATCCCCCGGCTGCCGGCCGGGACCAGCCGCTCGGTGATCTGCCTTATAAACACTCCCCAGCTGGTTGGTGGTACCCACGCGGGGCCAGTGCGGGGAAGGGCCTGGCGCGGGGCTTGCTTCCCTTTTGGAGGCCCTCAGAGTGCCTTGTCGGGGGGGTTATTTCTTTCTCATTCAGCAGGCATGGATGCAGAGGACTTCCTGGGTCCTGGTCATTACCTGGCGCTCAGTGCGTGGACGTGGCTGTTGGACAACCGCGAGGACTAACGTAATGGTTCTTCCTCTTAGCCTCTCTGCCCCTGACTTTTCACACCAGAGCAAATGCCTCATCCTCCCGAGAAACCCAGAAAGAAGACACGGCTGGCTCACGACTGGGGGGGAGGGAAAGCTGCTGGGTTCAGGGAGGAGGGGTCGGGAGGAAAAGCTAGGAAGGGGTGAGCCGAGGTGTTGCTGAGATGATTTTCTGCTGTGCAGAGCTAGTGCTGATGTCTCATGTCAACTTCCCTGGTTCTCTGGGGTGCCCGCTCCTCTGAGCAGCTGCGTAGAGAATTCCCCACATATCCAAAGCTGCTGGGGGAGCTGGGGGAGGGGAGGGACTTTGTTGCCAGGTCGGGGTCCTCCTCGCCTCTCTCGGAAGTTGATCTGCCAGCGTCCTGCCGTCTCATCCTTTGGGACTGCTCCTTGCTGATACCTCCTTTCCGTGTGAACTGTCCGAGGCACGTGACGACCTTGAACCAGAACGGCCAGGGTGCACTTTACTTTCCTTGGAAGGAAGTAGCTTCTGGCCAGGATTTCTGCTCAGGCTCTAGTCCCCGGCAGTGTGACTGTTTACACGGTTTGGCAATAGGTTCGGTTCTGATTGCTTCAGAGTGGCTGGTCTATTTAGTTTCCTTTGGTTTCCTTCCTCCCCAAACTGTCAGGAAAATCAAACTGAAACCACCCTAGGAAATTGCTGGTTGCCTGTCCCCATGTGGTGATAAGTGTTGCCCTCTCCCGGACATCGTTTCTCTCCCTTACAACCCAGCGCCCGTGCCGTAGAGTGTGACTGGATCCTCTGTTGCGTATTCTCATGGTGCCTGCTGGTTTGACGTGGAGCTACCCTGTGAAATAAAACAGCTTAACTTTTCCCAAATGTGCTCCGGTGGCTTTTTGGAAGGGTGAGGTGGCCCGTCGGGGATGGGGAGGGGGCAGGTGTTCCTACTTTTCAGTTCGTGGTCCATGTGCTTCCAACCAGGAAGCATCCCTGAAGTGTCCCTTAGCTCAGACCCAAGAGGGTGAAGGCCAAGTCCAAGGAAGGCTGCGTCCGCTGCGGAGCTAACTGGAAGAGGTAAGTGAGGGGTGCCTGCTGGGACCTGTCAGAGCAGAGGCCAACAGGAGGGGGAGCTGTCATCTGCAGAGAGGCCTTCCAGAGTTTATGACAAATCACCAGAGGCCACGGGGTACTGCTTCCAGTGTGACAGCATGTTAGCATTTTGGCATCTGTTGTCTACACACACGTGATACAGCCCCCTGGACTTTTTTATGTGTGTGTGAAGTGTCCGTTGATCACTTACATCTGCTCCGTGCATGTGTGCTAAGTTGCTTCAGTCGTGTCTGACTCTTGGTAACCCTATGGACTGTCGACCCCCAGGCTCCTCTGTCCATGGGTTTCTCTAGGCAAGAATACTGGAGTTGGTTGCCATGCCCTCCTCCAGGGGATCTTCCTGACCTAGGGATCGAAACTGCATCTCTTAGTCTCCTGTATTGGCAGGCTGATTTTTTTTTTTAACACTAGGGTCACCTGGGAAGCTATTTCTGCCCCAGGCACTAGATTAAGCCCTTTATGTGCATTTTCTCATCAAATTCTCAAAACCGCTCTTGAAGGTAAGCAACTGGCTTCCCTGGTGGCTCAGCAAGAATCTGCCTGCAATGCAGGAGACACAGGAGACAAGGGTTCGATTCCCGGTTCAGAAAGATACCCTGGAGAAGGAAACAGCAACCCACTCTAGTATTCTTGCTTGGGAAATCCTCTGGACAGACGAACCTGGCGGGCTACAGACCATGGGGTTGCAAAGAGTCAGACACAATTTAGCGACTAAACAACAACAAACCCTTCTTAAACCCCATTCTGCAGAAGAGAAAACGGAGGCTCTGAGAGACTAAACAACTTGTCCAAGGTCAGGCTAGGAAGTGAAAGAGCCCTCATCTAAGCCCAGTCCATTTAACCCTGCAGCCTTATACGTTCATTGTCCTGCCTGTCCTGGAGCAAGTTCATCACAGCAGGGTTAGCAGCAGGCTCCCAGTATTAAGGTAGCTCTCTGTGGGCAGAAGTCCAGGAAGACCCCAGGGCCTTGCCTTTCCCGTGAGCCCTCTGATTGATCTTGACTTTGAAGAGAACAAGATCTTCTGCCAGCCTCAGGGAGTCCATCAGTAACCCCATAGCTACTCAACACTCCCTGGTGGCCTCTAGCTAATTCCGGGCTCTGACAGGGTGAAACCTGCTGAGGGGCTGGGTTTGGGGTGCATTCTGCAATCTGTTTACTGGCTCAAAGCAGCCATGCTCACTTAAGAACCCCAAAGTAGAAGCCTCTCGTTCATTCAACAAGGATGTGGGAAGCACCTTTATGTGAGCCTTGCCCCAAGCTGGCTGCTGGGGAAATAGATGAATGAGACCCAGTTCCTACCCTAAGGCAGCTCACAGTCTAATTGCACAAGATGATCGCTCCAGAATTCCGAAAGTAACTGACTCCTTACGACTACGTTCAAAATGACGGCATCTCTGACCCACAGAAGCACAAGAAAAGGCACGTTTTAGCCGCCTGATGGCTTTGCCAGCCACAAAGCAGCCCATTGCTGGACTGCTTACTTCAGGGCATATCTGTTTAGGATTCTGTGAATGACAAACTATCCAACCCAAACAGCCTTAAGGAAAGAGAATTTATTGGCCCACACAACTGGGAACTCCAGGCTAGGACAAGGTCCGGGCACAGATGTTCGGAGCGTGGTGCTGCGTCCTGGCCACTGTCCCTTCCTCTCAGGCGGCCTTTGCTGAGCTCTGCCTGTTAACTGAAACAGACCCAGGGACTCTCTGATATCTCTCGATTGCCTGATGGCTACAGAAGCTCCCCCTGCCTGCACCTTCTCGTCTTCAAAACAAGGAAAGGCTTAAGTTTAATTCACCTTAGTCAGAATTGCCCTGCAGGTCATCCCTGAAGCAGCCAGAGGTCAGCAAGCCCCAGTGTCCAGGGCGGTGTTAACCCCACCCACACTTTCTATCAGGAGATCCTGGGGATTGTACTCACACTCTAGACTGTGATAAATAATAAATGGTCACTGAGTTGTCAGGTGATCAGCAATAGCTAATTGGTACACTAGAAAAATGCTCATGTGGATACATTTCAACTTTGCGTTTATGCCTGGGCTCCAGGTTAACTTAATAAAGCTAATATTCATCAATCACATGCTGGACATTCTTCCCAGAACACAGTGTGGAGTACTTCACATACTCCACCTCCCTGAAGACTTAAGACCACCCACAGGGGTCATTTTTGTTAGCATCCCTATTTGACACATGAGGAGGGTGAGGTGCAGGGGCTTTAAGTCCAGGATTCCATATCTGCTCTGCTCCCCTGACGCCCCATCTCCACATAAACGCTTTGCCTCCCCACAGCACCCAGGGCCTAAGAGGAGTACAGCCATCCCCAGGCATGTGAATGAGGACTCTGAGGCCAGATCGCCTGGCCCTCCCCGCCTTACCAGCCAAGAAGCCTCAGGAAAGTTCTCCGCAGTCCTGCCCCTCAGTTTTATCACCTCTAAAGCAGGGACAGTACCAGCACCCACTGCGGAGGCATGTTGTGAGACGTAGGTAAGTTAGTGCATAAGATGAGCTTGGGACAGTGCCTGGCACAGAGAAAACCCTCAATACATGTAACGGCTATAAAGATGATCTTTCCTTCTGGAGAGTCCCAATTTCAGTGCCCCAGGCCTGAAGCCAAAGTTGTCCTTTTCCACAATGGGCCTTGGGGCCTTTGTGTAAGTCAGCTAGCTGACCGGCTGCTCCTGGTGCAGAGGCCCACATAAGAACATACATGTTTATAAATGCATCTGTATTGAGCACTTGCTGTGTGCTACGCACCATTCTAAGCAACTCACATGGACTATCTCATTCTCTTGCCACAGAGAAACTATAGGGTATTAACTATTATTGAGCCCCATCAGGTTCAGAGAAGTAGTTACTTTCCGCAGAGCACACAGTTGATAAACAGTAAACCTGAATGCCTGTGGAAGAGGCCAACTCAAAACAACAGAGGTGGCTGGCTACCCCCTGGGCCCCCATCCCTGCCCCCATATAAACTACCTTGTTTCCAATATGCCCAGCCTAGGTATCCATTTCAGCAATGTCAAACACATAAGACACCCATGTCTGCACGGACCCTTCGAGATTCCTGGTGGCCCCTAGATACACAACACTACTTAGACAGGTGGCTGCAGGATGGCAGGATCAGGGCTGAATGTGACGCTTTGATGCTTAGAGGCCCAGCACAGGCCCCTTAGCGAACGTTTGATTAAATGCAAGGATCAGATGAAATAAATACATGTGGAATGCATGGGGTGATTTCTCCTCTGCGTTTCCTGCTCAAAGCTTGGGCCCACATCCAGCCCAAATCCCTACTGCCATCATGTGGCCATTTTTAAAATAGCAGGTGGGATCTGCGGGTCAGGAGCCGCGGGGATGATTACTTGAGCCGCGGATTGGCATCTGAAGGGGAGGGAGGGAGTCTCGTGAGAACCGAATCCGCGGGATCTGACGTCATCTCCGGGTGGACAGTGCCGGAACTGCGTTGATTTGTAGGAGACTCTACTGGAGTTGTAGAGGACTGCTTGTTGTGAGGAAAAACCACACATTTGGTGACCAGAAGTCTACAAAGTGAAGTGTCATGTGGGGCTAGTGAAGGAAACGCAGGGGAAGAGAGACGCAGTAGGGAGCAGTTGGATGTTCCCTAAAAAGTTCGTCTAATTCAGTCCTGTAACTGGAGAGCTGGGTTTCAGTGTTTGATTAGGGTCAGTTTCAGCCTTTCCGGGCAGCATCGCTTCCTGGAGGGTGCGTTCTCCACATCATGTCACATCAAGGGCTCTGTGCTGTTCGGTTCCCCCTTCCAGGATGGCTGAGGTGGGTCGGGAGGTTCAGGTGGGTTCACCCTTAGCCCTCCACTGTGGCCTCATCATTTGGAACCTAAGTATCCCACCCCCAAGAACCCTACTGGTCTTACAATGATTCAATAATTTTATTTCTTCTGTATTTATCAACTAGAATTCTCATCCACAAAGGCTAGTATTTGCTTAAAATATAGTTCATTCTGGAAGAGAAGAATAAATGCTTAATTCTTTCTCCTTATTTATCAACTTTAAGAGTAAGAAACCAGTACAATCCCTACCTCCATTGGTTGAAAATGAGGACTTTCTTTGCTTCTGCTGAGTTCCATTATAAATTCCTGGATTTTAAAATAGTCAGTGCATTCCAGTGAGTTACAGTCAATATTCTTTCTGTGGCTTAGGTCAGCAGGGGCAGCTTTAAGCTGGCTCCATTCATTTTGGGCAATTTCCTCATTTGGGCACAATAAGATTTCCCAGGCTCCTCTTGTACCTACTCTGCCCCAGGTCCAAAATGAGCCACATCTCCAAGGAGCCCTGATTCCTCTTCATTGGGACAGTATTTAGGGACATGTGCACTAGTCAATGGTGGGGCTGAGATTTGAACTCAGGCAGTCTGACTCCAGAGCCAGTACTCTTAACCGCTCTGCCCTCTGGTTAACAATGGGTATTAATGATAATAACAGTCCTATTTATTATTATTACTCCTACTGCCATAACCAGCCACTCACTATGTGTCAGTCACCTTAGTAGGTGCCTCCCAACATTTAAAAAACACAAAATTATTCTAAAAGCCCTCGGACTCAGGCATTATATTCTTATCTTTAAAAAGAGGAAACTGAAGCTCTGAAAGGTAAATGACTCATTCAAGATCACCTGGTCAGTGGCAGGTGGATGAAAACTGAGGTCTGTGTGAGTCTGAATCTTGTTCCTTTAGTCAACTGAGAATTCTGTCCTGAGTGATTCCCACACTGCCTCCTTCCAGGGGTCCCTAGCTCTGCTCCCTTAGCCCCAGGCACTGTCTGTGTCCCCAGGCCAGGTGATCCACACATCCTCATTCAAGGCTTGGCAGGGATCCTGGAGGACAAACGGGGGACAGAGAGGAGTGTGATGAAGAGAGACCCCAAAAAGGAAGGTGGGGGGAGGGCCAAGACCTCTCAAGATATAACCAGACCAGGCCCTACATTCAGCTGGAAGAAAGTGCCTTGATTAAGGTTGTCAGATTTGGCAAGTAAACTACAAGATGCTCAGTTAAATTTGAATTTCAGATACAGTGAATAATTTTTTAGTCTAAGTATGTCACATGCCATGCTTAGGATCTACTTATATTTAAGCTTCCCTGACCTGATAGCTCAGTTGGTAAAGAACCTGCCTGCAATGCAGGAGACCCCAGTTCAATTCCTGGGTCGGGAAGATCCGCTGGAGAAGGGATAGGCTACCCACCCCAGTATTCTTGGGCTTCCCTGTGGCTCGGCTGGTAAAGAATCTGCCTGCAATGTGGGAGACCTGGGTTCTATCCCTGGGTTGGGAAGATCTCCTACAGAAGGGAAAGGCTACCCACTCCAGTATTCTGGCCTGGAGAATTCCATGGACTGTATAGTCCATGGGGTCACATAGAGTTGGACACGACAGGGCCACTTTCACTTTCTGTACTTAATCTGGCAGCCCTGTCCTGGATCCTCACAATAGGAGAGTCTACTGAGCACTGACTTGAGTTTTTTGTACAGAACATTTTGTTTTTACTTCTGAATAAGGAAGTACAATCTCTTTATTGATCTAACAGAAGGAGAATGTCTGTGGAACCAGCAGCTTGTTAAAGGAGATTGACTCCCACGGGTGGATAAATATTATGGGGGGAGGGAAGACAGATGCTTTTTTTTTCTGAGCTCAAAGTGGCTTTCAGAACCTGCTTGTGCCCTCATGTGAACTTTCCTTCCCTGGGCTCAGAGGTGGGCTTGATCTGGTGCTGTTGAAGAGGGTGGGAAGGGAACTGCTCAGCCACAGAGGAGATTTATGGGAATGTGGGCTTATTCCGGTGATTTACTCAGTCATTCAGTCTCACCAAGCAGCTGGTGGCAGGAATTCAGAGATGAATGGCATTGGGTCCCGCCCTGGAGGCTCTTCAGAGCCCAAGAGGTGGATTTGGCCCCCAGGGTTCAACATGTGATGCCTGCTTTTAAATCTGTCTTCATAGTTGAATGAAGAGTCTGACTCTTTTCGACCCCATGGACTGTAGCCTGCCAGGCTCCTCTGTCCATGGGATTCTCCAGGCAAGAATACTGGAGTGGGTAGCCATTCCCTTCTCCAGGGGATCTTCCCCATCCAGGGATTGAAGCTGGGTCTCCTGCATGGCAGGCAGTTTCTTTACCATCTGAGCCACCAGGGAAGCCCAGTTGAATGGGAAGCGTGCATTTCTTTCTCTGTCTTCTCTCTCCCCTTCCTTCCCCATTCCTTTTTCTCTTTTCTCATCTCCTCTTTATCCTTTTCTCACCTCCTCAGTACTTTGCCACCTTAAACTGTGTAACCAACTAGTCCCATAAAGGAACAATTACTGGTGCACTCAGACTTGGGATCTGCTCTTGGTCTAATTTTCCTTATCTTCCCAAGCCTATCCTCTCTCCCTGCATCTAGAACTAGGCTGTGCATCCAAGGAAGCCTGGATCCAATGTATCCAGTGCATCCTGGAGTTCATTTACATTCCCTTTTCTGATTGGCTGACACAAACCCACTGCATCCCCTAACCTGCCACTCTCCACCTTCCTTTTGGAGCCCCACCAGGTGCAGCATCCTGGGTATCTTAGATCTCTGCCCTGAGGCCTTGTCTGCTCAGTTATTCCTCCATAAAGTGTCAATGGGTGGTCCCTTCTGGTTTGGGGCTAAAAGATCTAGATTCAAGGCTGGACTTTGCCACTGATGAACTGTGTGATCTTGAATGAGTCCTTTTGCCTCTTTGAGCCTCAGTTCCTACATCTATAAAAGGCAATAATTCTCATGATGAGGGCCTTACGAGAATATGCTGTGCTGGTTAATATGGACTCTTAAGCTAGACTGGCCAAGTTAAGTCCTTCCTCTTCCACTTACTAGCAGAATTCCCTAAGTCAGTTAATCTGTATATTTCCCTTTCCTCATTTGATTGGAGTGAGCCTGAAATAAGTCAATATGTGTAAAAAAATCTAGGACAGTGCTTTGTCCTCATAAGTGTCTTTGGCCTCATAAGTGTCTTTGTCCTCATAAATGTCTTGGGCCTTATAAGTGTCAGCTATTATTACAAAGGATATTAAAGTCCTCTGTCCAAATGCTGTTAATATCATTACTGCCCAGTGAGTCTTTGGGCATAGACTGGGAAAAATCAATTAAGTACATCTCTGGCTCAATTAAGTACAAACTCTGGTCAGAGTTTCTTATGAAGAGGGTCCAAAGTAGTGAAGCCTCGACCTCTCTGAGCCTCAGTGTCTTTGTCTTTAAAATGGCAGCCTCACTTCTGCCTACTTCAGAGGGAAGCTGTGACTGGTCAATGGTAAACACTTCAAAAAATGATTGCAGGAATGGATGAATGGACCACATGTGGTGGCAGTGGCAAGCCACAGGGGTCTTCCTGAGCAATATAACTGTGCTGACTTGCTGCCCATGAGACCTGGTGTGAGAGGTCCACATCAGAGAGCCTATCCATGAGTGCTGAGTTGAGCAGACAGTCTGGGTGATGTGCTGGTCGGCGATTCATGTTTGGATAACAAGCACTCATACTCGCTTAGTGAGAGTATAAATGTATCGGTTCAGCCTTTTTGGAAAGTCATACAGTGCTTGCTATCGTGGTGTCAAAAGAGCACACAAATTGACTTAGTAGTTTCATTTACAGGAAATTATCCACAGATATTCTGGCTCAGGTATGCCAAGATTTATATAGATAATGTGTTCATTGCAACTGTTTGCAATAATGAAAAACTGGCAACAACCTAAATGGTTGTCAGATGGGCACAGGTAAATAAATTGTCGTACATCTGCATTACGGACTACATAGCTATTAAAAGGAGTGAAGTATATCTATATGTATTAACATGGAGAAGTCTCAGGATGTCTGTAGGTAAATAAACAGAAAAATTCAAGTTGACAGAGGTATACATTTAATATAATAACATTTGTGGGGAAAAACCCTGTATCTGCGTTTCTGCACAGGAAATATTTGGAAGGCTATGCTCCAAAGTTAAGATGTTAAATTAGGTTAACCATCCTATGCGAGAAAAGAACTCCTATTTTAAGTCCAGAGGTTCTATTTGTAGCTTGGTCAAGGACTGTGTAACTCAAAGAAACTCTATTCACTTTTTCTGAGCCGAAGCTTTCTCCTGCGTAAACTAATAATGATAATACTTACCTTGCAATGTTGTGATGGAGTGAGATGGAGAAATGGATGTGAAAACCCTGGCTCTGAACAGGGACAGATGTTTACAGCAATCAGAGAGGGCGACCGAAAGGAGGAGGCATGAGCCTAGACTTGGAAAGGTATGACAAGGCCTGGATACGGTTTGATTCTAGGCTGTCTTTTTCTAGGATTCAACAGGCATTCATTTAGTAAGGGTACAGTACAAAACCCGCCTGTGAGCTTTTTAACCACACAGGTGCGCACAGATGTGTTGCCTGAGCCTGGCGCTTGAGCAATAAGAGCATCTTTGGCTGCGCTCCGCCCACGTACTGCAACTCCCAGCATGCTCTGCAAACGCGTCGGGGGCGTCGCGGACTGATGACGTAGCTCTGTAGCGCGGGGAATTTCGAGTGGCCGAGGAGCGCGGGAGACCAGTGGGTCGCGGACCCCCCCCCTCCCCCCCGTTTCTTTAGAGGAGACCATGGATTCCCTGGTCGAGTCCCGGTGGCCTCCGGCCTTGGCAGTCATGAAGGTGAGTGCCTTGGGGAGTTCAGGGCCGTCTGGGCGACCGCAGGAGGCCAGCCCCACCTTAAGGAGGAGAAAGAACCGGGCGCCAGCGGCAAGCTGGGCCAGGGTACCCGGCTCTGCCCCGCTGCTTGCCAGCGCGTGACGCTGGGCCTCAGTTTCCTCCTCTGGCAAGTGCCGAGAACAAGCCTCGGTCACTGATAGTGAGCCGAGATTGGCCGTCGTATGGAACGGGATATTCTGCGGTTCAGCCACAACAAACAATGATCTTGAGAGAAACATTACTCCAAACAGTGGAAATGACAGTGACACCTAATCTTTTCTTAGGGCTCACTGCGTGTCAGGCATTATGTAAAGTCTCCGAGTACTTTAGTGGAGAATCTCCCACAGTGACACCGGACAGAGTTTGGGTGGATTTTGCATCAAAAAACATTTATTTAATCACCTAGCAAAGCAGGTAGTCTCCTTTACATTTTCTTTCATTTCTTTTAATTACGCTCAAGAAGCCTAGTGCTAATTTGCGTTAAGTCCTCCCTAACTGTGTTCTAACTCTTAACTCTTGTGCACCTCTCTCAGACAAATCTGGATTCTCGTTTAGACCAGCCTTTCATTTTATTGAAGTCTGTTACTATTAAATAACATTGATTTTTGCTCCATGGACAGTAGTGGTGAGTCCTGGATTCCTACAGTGTTTGATCAAGAGCGGATACACTGTGCTGTACTAGCTAAGAATCAGTTGCCTGGTTTTTCTCCTTGTTCTGTGATTATTTCAGTGTGTGACTGAGTAGGATCACGTTCTCCTTCTGTTGCCCCGTTTTGTTAACTAGGAATTACGCTGTCTGCCCCACTCACTCATAAGATGACTTTGAGGATTAAGTGAAGGGACTTGGAAGAGGTTAATGTCTGCTGTCATCGGTGTCATCTGAAGTGCTTGGTGACTTGAGATCTCCCCATAGTGAAAAGCTGACATCGTGGAAGGATTTTGGAAAGTTGTGGTTCTGCGTTTGTGGTGGCCTTGGCACCAATGTAAAGTGGAGAAGAGCATTTATTGAGTTCCAGTGTTCTGTGTTAGTCTCTGCCTCCTATTTAACTGTGTGACCTTGATTCAGTTACTTAACTTCGCTGAGCCTGGATTTCTTCAAGTATAAACTGAAGACAGAAATAGTTCATATAGTTGGTTAAATGAGTTGATGTGTGTGGGTGGGGATCCTGTTTGGTTTATTCATGGTGCCTAACACAATGCCTGGCACATAGCAGGTGCTCAAAAATTATTTGCTTATCGATTAAAGGTTTTTTTGTTGTTTAGTTGCTAATTCGTATCCGACTCTTTTGTGACTCCATGAGCTGTAGCCAGTCAGGCTCCTCTGTCCATGGGATTTCCCAGGCAAGAATACTGGAGTGGGTTGTTATTTCCTCCTCCAGGGGATCGTCCCAACCCAGGGATTGAGCCCGCGCCTCCTACACTGGCAGGCGGATTCTTTTACCACTGAGCCATCTGGAAAGACCATCTGGAAGGTAGTAAGCATTAAATTAATATATGTTTATTATTACTATCAACACATAGTGTGTTATTTCTCCCCCTGCTTTTTATTTGTTGTCATAAAGATTATACATTGAATAAGGGAAGTGAAAGCTCTGTAACTTGTAAAGCTACCTGCTTTGTAGATTTAAGCGTATTTTATGTATTCCCACAAACTTCCACAGTGTCCTTTAGTGGCGGGTTCCATGTCTCTGGGTTGGCTGTCGCATGACAGCCTGAGTGTAGGATTCAGCACCAGAGTGTTCAGTGGTGTAACGGACTGAGCCCATATTAGAATCATGGAATCTGAAGGTTGAAAAGGCAGCCCCCACCAGTATTCTAATTCCTTTTACAGTGTGTCCACCCATTTCTCTTCTGGTGTTTGCTTGAACTCCTCCAGGGACAAAGAATTAGCTGTTTCCAAAAGTAGCTCTATTTGGAGTTCTTTCTTATAATGAATAGAACTCAGACCCCCAAATCCATAATGCCTAACTGAGGATCCATGGAAAAGTTTTGGTGTTTGGAATTACTGATATATTGTTTTCTGTATGTATGTTTTTTAAGAAGATAATTCGTAATTTTCATTTATTTTTCAAAGGGATCTGTGATCCATAAAACTTAAGAACCATTGCTTGAATGATTCAGTCTTCTCACCTATTCTGTACTTTCCCCTTCTACTTTCTGTAAGTTGAGGAAATCTTAGGGCATCCACTAAACTGGACGTTTGTACAGGAATGTTACAGCTCATCAGATGCGGTGTCACCTTCCACGGATCTTGCTCAGCACATCTGGCAGAACCACTCCTCTAGGAGAGGATGGCAATCGTGAAAGAAGCAAATAGACCAGGTGCCAGGTCTTTGGCTTCTGATCCTGCCTCTGCTCTTCATTGATTTTCAGCACAGTCCTCTAGCTTTTTGCATCAGGGGTAGATTACCACTCAAAATATTTGTAGATTTGGGCATTTGAATGTTTATTTCCCTGGTTTTACTGTACCAGAAATTTGTTTTTGACAGGTTATAGGTGGATGTTTGTAGATAGAAAAAATTAAAATTTAGAGTAGGATAAAGGAGAAAATGAAAGTTACGTAGCATCCTACTATCCAGAGAGAACTGATGTTTAATGTTTTCTTATTGTCCTTCAGTTTTTCTCATGTCTGCTTATGCACACACATACCGACAGTGTGTATCTGTATTTAAAATTTGGAATCACCGTGGAGTCGACTTCTTGGATTTGACTCCATTTGTAATCTCTATAGGCTTCATCTGTAAAATTGGCATACGGATGCTACAGACCTCCTAAGAAAATGAAACTACATAGTTCTGTTGTTATGTATTATTGTTGTAGATTTGTTCTCTGATTAATCTTTTTGCCAGTACTTTTAAATTTGGGCTTTCCAGGTGGTAAAGAATCCACCTGCTAAGCAGGAGAAGAGGGCTCGATCCTTGGGTCAGGAAGATCCCTTGGAGAAGGAAATGGCAAGCCACTCCAGTATTTTTTTTTTTTTTTCACTCCAGTATTCTTGTCTGGGAAATCCCATGGACAGAGGAGCCTGGCGGGCTACAGTTCATGGGGTCACAAAGAAATGGACATGAATTAGCAACTAACAACAACTTTTAAATTTAGGTCAGACACTCACATGTTTCAAAAAGTATGTGAAATAGCAACTTGCCTGGTGGTGGAGCAGTTGAGACTTCACCATGTAGTGCCATGCGGAAAGGCCTGGACTGACGGGCGGCAGGGAAGCCGGAAGTTTAGTCCTGGTGGACCGACGTGCACTCTGCAGTAGCCTGCTCTAGATACACGTTTACTCGTTTGTGAAGCAGGTGTCTTAGTTGGATACTGTCTGATGTCTGTCTGTAGTATTCCTTGATTTGGGGACCTTTCACGCAGCAGTGACTGTAGGCCAGGGAGTGGGGTCTGAAGAGGAGAAGGCTGGGATAGAAGCTGGAAACACGTGGCAAGTGGAACAATAGAGTAGGCCTCTTTTTTGTGAAGGGCTGGCAATTTGGAGTGGAAATCTGAATAAGTCATATGGGGGAGGTTTTTCTCTACCTTGCAGTTTACGTGGACTTGACTTTTAAATTTATATCTATGACACAGAAGTAGTATTAAATTATTTTTTTTAGGGGATGGAGAAAGAATTCTGTGGCAGATGCTCCAATTGGCAGATGTTCCCATCTTGGTGACTTTCTGATAGGTATATATGCATTTTTGTATTTCAGACAGTAGATGATTTGCTGCGGTGTGGAATTTGCTTTGAATATTTCAACATTGCAATGATGATTCCTCAGTGTTCACATAACTGTAAGTATGCATTGTTTCTATGAGTTAGAAAGATGTGATTTTTACATAATGTAGTGTTAATTTGACACCAAAGATAAGTACACATATTTATTTACACCTTTACCCCCTCTGTCTTGAGGTTTTTGGAAGGTCTTTCCACTATCCCTCTTGGATACTTTTATGCCTTTTATAACATTTATGGGAATGAAGATTTTGATCACTATATATGGTTATTTGTCCAGCACTTTTTAGATTTTAAGTTTCATAATTTTTGTTTTTGACAGGGTAAGAGATAGGTGGTTCAACCAACTAGTCCTTGGTGTAGAATTTTAAAGTTTAAAAATCCTCGTGGACGAGTTCTCCCACTGAAGACTATTACAGATAGTTTTATCACTTAACTTGCTTTGTGATGGTGGAAAGACTCACATATTGAAGTGTGTCTGTACTTCACTTTGTGAGTCCAGTATGTACATACACATTTTTATACTGTAGTTTGACGTATTTAGTACACAGGGGTGCACCTGTCCTTGTTCAGTATCTGGCTGTCAGTTTATGGCTTATCTAGGCTTATGATCTTTCTTATTCTCTATCTTTGAGTTGATTTGTGTTGGAAAGTTAAAAAAAAATTTAAGCTTTAGTGGGTAATAGTAGCTTTGGTGAAAAAGTTTCCATAAAGAAGACATATAGTAGCAACATGGGCATGAGAGATAAGCTAAGGTTGACATAGCTCTTCACTTACTAGGTGGGTGAGTTTGCAAAGGCCCATCATTTCTTCAAATGTGAAATTCTAGAGAGTAGTTTCTGCCTTAGGAGATGGTTGGGAGAGTCAGATGTAGCGAGTCCAAGGTCTGGCACATTATAGGGCCTGAGTAAGTCTTAGTTTCCTTTTAGGGTAGATTCATATTAGGAACCAACAGAAGTTTTGGGGATTGTTTCTAAATCTGTGTTAAAAGCTTCTTGATTAAGATATGATTTACATGTAACGAAAGGCATCCATTTCAATCACGCAGTAAAGTGTACAAGTGTCAGTAAGTTTCAACAAATGTTTATACCATATAACAATTATGGTTAAGCTTGAACATTTCTATCACTGGATAGAATTCTCTCCATGTCAGTCAATATGGCCCCAGGGAATTTACATATGGGTCTGTTTCTGGATTCTCTGTTCTGTTGTTCTTTATGTCTATATCCTTCACACTGTCTTAATTATTGTAGCCTTTTTAGTAAGTCTTCAAGTCAGGTTTTGTCGCTACTCCAACTTTGTTTTTCTTTATCAACATTGTTGTGGTTCTTTTAGGATCTTTGCATTTTGTATGCATTTTCGTATAAATTTTAGAATCAGATTGTCAGTTTCTTTCCAAAAAAAAAGCCTGCTGGGATGTTTACTGGGATTGCACTAAATCTAGAGATCAGTTTGAGGATAATTAACATCTTAACAGTGTTGTCTTCAATATATAATCTTTTGCTTCTTATATCTGTGGTACTGCACAACCTCTGTCTTTTGTTGTGCCCAGCTGTCTTTTGTTCCTCATGGCCCCCAGGCACCCATCAGCACTCTTGAGTCAGGCAAAGTAGAAGCAGCCCCTCAGCTTCTGGAGAAGCTGAGGTACTGGTCGCATCCTTCTCTCTTCTCTTGCTCGCCAAAGGAGAAGCTGCTGAGCTGTACGCGCCTCCATCTGTACTGCGGGTCCTCTGGAGCAGCGGCCCTGCTCTTCTCTGTTCTCATTAGTCTCCCAGCTTCTAGAGTAAGTCTGTTCAGTGCTATGGGTTGGGTGAGATAGAAACAAGTCTCTTAGGTAGCCTGCTGAAAAGTGGGAATGTTGGATGCATGTTCTTCCCTAAAGAGAAGCTAAGAGGTGGGCATTCCTCCTGTTTACTCCCGGGGAGGAGTAATGGTGAATGATTGGGTCCTCATCCAAACCTTTGTTCTCAGTGACTCCAACCTGGTTCCTTTTCTTATCAGTGCTTTGATTCAGGCATGCTGCCCCAGGCATGTTCAGTTCCTGGGGCAGCCCCATGAGAAGTCTGAACTTTTCATCTGTGATTGAGTCTTCTGTCTCTCCTTCCCCTGGGAAAAGCTGGGAGTTATGAGTCTCTCTCTGATTATGTGGTGCTGAGCCAGGAATAGGAACTCTGGCAAGTGAGGGCCACATATTTCCTACTAGCTTTGATGTGGCTGATTTTGTGCTTGTCTTGGGGTATGTGAGCATCTGAACTGGTATCCGTATTTCTCACAAAGGGAGTTGGTTTGTGTCTTGTTGATTTGTGTTACCGTGGGGAAAGCCCCGGCTGTCTTCCTGTTCTGCCATCTTTCTGACATCACCCACTCACCCTGGCTAATCTACTGTCATACTAAGGTATGGTGTGCCCTGGGGTGTCTACTCAATGCCCAAGTGTTTAGTAAGGTTTCTCCAAACCGGATGCTAGAAATTTTATGAACTCTTGGCCCTTTGTTACCACTCCAGTTTTGGTTCTTTCCCTGGAAGTTGATCTTTATCTGGCCTCATGGATCCCTGTATATGTGCAGATTTAAGTTCAGTCATAGAATTGAGTAGATACGTATGCATGTTTCTGGAGGTCTTCGCATATGTGGAGCTTCTTTCTTTTTGGTACTCTGCTGTGTGAATTATAGCTGTGTGGATTGCCCTGAACTCTGATCTTTGTTTTCTCAACTAGCAAGACTGATGGGCCTTTGGCTTTCCTTCCTGTGTTATGGTCAAGAAATTGCACATGGGCAGGTATCTTGGGCTGTGGTAGAACTTCTCTCATTTCTATAGTTGTCCAAAGTCTGAAAATAGAGAGTTTTTTTCATATTTCCCCCCAGTGTTTTAGTTGTTTGTAGGAGAGTAACTTTGAATATTGGTTACTTTCTGTTGGACAAACATGGAAGTCTACTCTGTAGATTTTAATTATGTCATTTTAGGGAAGAAAGATGACTTTTTAAATTAATTTCGTGAACCCTACTTAGCTGAAAAATTGGTCTTTTCTTCCATTCTCTTTTTTTCTTGTTTCTTTGTCACATACAATTATCACTGATGTCATTGTTCATCTAAGAAATCGGTGGAGAGTACTTCCAGTAATGATAATTTATTTTACGAGTGGTTATTTTTCATATTCTACCTGTCATGATTCAGTACGCTTTTCTACTAATCACCCATTGTCACAGGTTCCCTCAAGACTAAAAGTTGCTCTGGGTCTATAATTGCGTTAATGACACAAAAGCCCCCAGAGCTTAGTAGGATCGAGAATTAGCTGTCATATTCTGCTGTCATCCTGGATTGACTGGAATTAGTGACCCAGAATCCTAGCCACTTTGCTGGTCCTTAAACATTTCAGGATTTGTCTTTTTACATTCCTTTATTCTGTTTTCCTATGTTTAGATTTTTCGGTATGGGTAACAAACACTACATTTGCATATCTGCTGCTATTAAGGTTTGAGTGAGGTGCAGTGGCAGAATGTGAGGCAATTAAATTGATCCAAATTCATGTTGTTAAAGACTACTTTTGTGGGGAGAGGGCCTGAGCTTACTCCCATCCATGAAACACCATTAAGTGAGAAATGTTCTCACTAATAGATTGATCTGCCAGTTTGCTTTGCATTTGTGCAGTTTTTCTGACTAGATAGTGGGAGATGCTCAAATATTTACTGCTTGATGAAATTATTGGCTTTTAGGTACTATTAAATTACCACTATTTTAGAGATGAACCAGCAGTCATTTTTCTTTTCCTTTTGTGAATTTTGACCACTAAATTAATTGAGGCTTATATTGGAATAAAAAGTAATTTAATTTTACTAAAAAAAAAGAAATGTGAAGTGTTCCATTTATTGACATTTGCTCAACTAAGAGGCAGTGTAATATTCTTTCAGACAAATAATCAGACAAATAATCAGTGTTATTCTTCTTTTTCATTCTTATGAGGCAGCATTGTGAAACAAGACAGGGAAGAAGAGAGAGTTATTATATACGGAAAGAACATGCAATTATGCAGAACCGCACTTACAGAAATGCTGGAGTGCTGGTCGATAGTTGAAAGGAGGTTATTCTCTTATTAGCTGACTGGTCACTTAACACTGGAATTGGAGGCAGAGGCCAGCTTTCCTCAGCTTTGAAAGGATCTCCTATTCCTTTCAAACTTGGAACTGGATTTTCTCTTTTTTAATTGGATACTTCAGAATTATTTTTGAGATGGTTTATTTTCTCATAAAATCCTTAAGATCACATGCCAAAAGGTTTGGTTTAAGTTTTAGCAACTTGATTTTTACTGTCAGGGTGCTACGCTCTTCTGATACATAAAAGCCGGTAGATGGCTGTCTCCTGTTGGAGATGAGAAATATCTCCTTCCCTGGGCTTGCTTGTTTCTATGAAGCTACCCTTTATTTCTTTGTTTTACTCTTCCTTCCCCCACCCTATACACATGGCTCATAGTTGAGCTTTGTGGGTGGAAAAACAGACTTCACAGGTGGTTTAAATAAAGCCACATAGGAATACATGGTTCGAAGATCTTCGCTGCTCTACTTTGAAATATGGTTGCTCACTGGAGAATAAATTATGCTGGTCTGCAGTTCACCAGCACATATTTGGTAGTTGACTGGGAAATTGAAAGTAAGCCAAGGGCTTGATCTGCTTTGGACTAGTGTCTGGTCTCCATATTTCAGAAGAAAACACAGATCAGGTTATGCAGAAGAGGAAGCAGTGGGCTCATTTTACATACCCTAGTACATGTGGAGGTACTGATTAGATACTTATTAATACTATATAGGTATATATAATAAGTATGTGTTATAAGCAGATTATAATATTTAAAATAATTAGTTAGAAGTGTGTTAAAAGCATGGACTCTGGTACTTCCCTTTGCCACTTATTAACTCCATGATCACAGGCAAGTTGACTAAACTCTATGCTGTGTTTTCCTTCTCATAAAATGGGATTCAGAGCTGCTGTAAGGATTGAAAGTGTTCATACATCTACCATGCTTAAAACAGAGCACGCAGTAAGTGCACAATATTATGTTAATGAAATTGCCAATATTTGTCTCTTTTTTTTTGACTTACCATAAAGTTTCTTATGGTTTAACTTAGTAACAAAAACATATTAATTAAAAAAAATAATTGTTATTCAATCAGAATCACATATTATGGATATGATTTATTGGTCACAGTTCATTGGTTCAGTAGGACTGGGGGTAGAGTCTGTTAGACCACTTCACTAAGGTGTGTGTGTGTTAGTCACTCAGTCATGCCTGACTCTTTGCAACTCCATGGACTGTAGCCCGCCAGGCTCCTCTGTCCATGGGATTTTCGAGGCAAGAATACTGGAGTGGGTTGCATTCCCTTCTCCAGGGGATCTTCCCGACCCAGGGATTGAACCTGGGTGTCCTGCATTGCAGGCAAATTCTTTACTGTCTGAGCCACTGTGGATCCCCTTCACTAAAGTGAATTTGTGCTAATAGCACATTAGCTACTAGTACAGCACCATTCTGTTTGTCAGATTTGGGGAGACCATTTTACACTGCCTTGGGTGTGCAGAATTTAGTTCATGCCAATTTCTACTTATTGTTAAAACTTAGTACATTGTCCTTAATACACTGAATTATATGTAATTGCCTCACTGCTTTCCTTGAGGTCAAGAACCTTTCCTTATAACAGCGCTTGCTACAAAAATGTTTGTTAAATGCAGGATGAAGGACGTTATTTACAGAGTTAGGATGTAGAAATCCCTAATTTGTTAATCTGGTATATATTATTTCTTAACACACGTATAGATCTTGTTTCAAAATTTATATTTTAGAATGCTTGGCAGTGGAGATATCTGACGTGTTTATATAAAACTATCCTAGTTCTTACTTTATGTTTCCTTCATTTTACAGATGGAAGATACAGAGAAAGATACATATTGCTTATAGAGTTGTGATGTGCTAGGGACTCAGGATTACTATTATTTGATATGTATCGCTTTCTTAAGAATGCTACTAAATCATATTTGCAACTTTGTATAGTTAGAGTCCATGTACTAGAATTTTAAGATTATAATGATAGACCTTAGATGGTGGAAATATTCTAGGGCTTAAAATAACTTGTTAGAAGTTAGGTTCCAATATTATTATACAACTTAACTAATTGACTATGTTGCATTTGTTTTTTTTGCAGACTGTTCTCTTTGTATAAGAAAATTTCTGTCCTATAAAACACAATGTCCAACTTGTTGTGTGGTGAGTTTTTTTCTTTTCCTTTTTTCCTTTAAAGCTAACTAATTGGTGCAGATATTTCTGCTTTATGTATACACATATGCCTTGGGAAGATGCATGATTATTGAATTAAGCTATTTCAAAAACATTTTCAGAAAAGACTTCTAAAATACATATATGGAGAACTGGGCTTTGTTCAACTGTTTGTTAAGATTTCTGATTACCTAAATGTTTTTTAGGAAGAAAAAGCTAGTGTTAAGATCAGGATATAGCACACTTTAAATCTTATGCACTATGTTTTTTATGACTCCTCATTTTTTAAAATTTCTCAACTTGGGTAGAAAATCTGATGGAAGGATCATTTATTTGCAAAGGATTGATATTTTAGTATTTGTGCAGCAGGCAAAGATTCAGTTTAACTGGCCCTTTACCTCTTGCCCAAATCAGACCTTCAGGGAGAACACCAAAAAATTTGTTTTAAGTTTTCGAAATATTTCATGTAGTTGAAATAGGTGAAAAAGTAGGTAAAAAGGGAAAGGAAATGGAGGAAGTAAAGAAAGAAAAAGAAGTGGTAGGATCTGGTGGAAAGGACACTGGGGCTAGTTAAAGGGTTTTGGTTCTAGTTTGGGAGGTTGTTGGTGTCAGGATGTCATTGAATTCACTCTGCTTTCAAGTCTAAGCTCTACAACAACTAGGGATGCTGCTGTCCTCAAGGTGGTATCATCACAGAGATTAACTGTATGCAAAATATTCATGCTGTTCATTCTTCATGCTAAATAACTACCAGGTTTATTGTTTTTCTCTTGCATTCCTGAACACTGGTCTTGTTTTTAAAGTTGCTTTGAGCATCTCAGGCTCCTCCCGCATTACTGCGTAAAAGAGCATCTCTTCTTTGAAGGAGAAATTTTGAGGGAAACTGTGCTGCCATTTTGAAGAAGGATTCTTGCTCATATTAGGTTTTATTTTAGACTGTACAAAGGGCATATGTTTTTACCAGATGCTTTGGAGAGTTTTGAATCAGACTTCCAGTCAGCAGATAGTGATTCATTGTTTTAAAATTCCATATTAGTATGAGATAAATGAACTTTATTTTGAGGCTTTCCTGGAAGACTTAGTGGGATGGGGAGTCTCAGGAGGATGGGGCACACATTTTCAAAAATGATATTATGACAAGTTAATTATTGTTGCTGACCTTTTTCCATCTGTTGTTTTTCTTTTCTAGACAGTCACAGAGCCGGACCTGAAAAATAACCGTGTTTTAGATGAACTGGTAAAAAGCTTGAATTTTGCACGGTATGATTTAATTTTGTGACTAATCCCTAACTGCTTTTGCCTTTGATATGTGTTCCCCCCTTTACTCTTTGAACTTTTGAGAGTTAGGGAATGCAGTGTTGCATATTTGGGGTAAAAGAAAGGATGCGACCACAGGCGTTAATCACATGTGAACAATCTGATCATAATAAGAGTCTTTTTCTTCACTTAACAGAAAATCTCCTATATGAAAACCAAGTTAGAATGTAAATTTGGGAACTTACTTTTGAATAGTTGAGAAATACTTCAGCTTCATCTTTTGTTTTTCCTGCCCAGCATTAGCATCAGCCATGTTCCCAAGGAGCCCTGGTTCCTTTCATTGGGGAATGATATTTAGAAATCAGGATCTGGAGCTGGGTATGCTCATTATTATTGGGGTGTCATTGCTTCTAAACCCTCTCAGTGGACAGAACTGGGTCGCACATGCATGTGCATGTGTACACACATATGTATTACGGTTTCTGTGTCTGTTATATATTAATCCACTAATTCTTACTCTGATTTGCTCAGCATGTATAAAATGATGTGTAACGTGAAATATGTAATTCCTGGTGCTTTATGACGTGTAGTTTTACTTCTTAACTGTCAAGTGTGTGATGGTATTAAGTGAGTGAGCAGTCACCCAGAGGGATTTAAAAAGATACGTTCTATCAGACAATATGTTGACTTATTTTTAGTTTTAATCATGCAAGCCAAGCAAGAATTTTTAGTAGGAATGTACTGTGTTTAGTTAATGGCTAGGTGGCTACATACTTAAGTGCAGCGACTTCCAAACTTGTTGGAATATTCTTAGAAGGACATTACATTGCTCCCAAAATTGTAAAGAAATTTCTTCCAATAGAATTGCAAGTTTATTCACTGGTTTGCATGCTAAAGATGATCAGATTTACTCCTTTGAACTTGCCTAATGTGGCATTCTAGAAATTGGTTGGTTATTACCTTAAGCAAAGTCATGAGAAGGTGGTATACTTTCCTAGATTAAGACACTCTGAGAGTCTCTGATGCTCATAATTAAAGTGATAGCTTTTCTCCTTTTTATTTATTTATCTTAAGCTGTGCTGGGTCTTCGTTGCTGCACAGGCTTTCTCTAGTTGTGATGAGTGGGGGCTACTCTCTAGGCGCAGTGCGTGGGCTTCTCATTGTGATGGCTTCTCTCATTGTGGGGCACTGGCTCCTTGGGTGCACAGTCTTCAGCAGTTGTGGCACAGGAGCTTAATAATTGCAGTTCCGGGACTCTCAAGCACAGGTTTACTAGTGTGGTGCGTGGGCTTAGTTGCTCCACAGCATGTGGGATATTCCCGGACCAAGAACTGAACTAATGTCTCCTGCGTTGGCAGTCAGATTCTTTACCACTGTGCCATCCAGGAGGTCCTGCTTTTCTTATTTCAAAGTCCTTCATCAGTTAGATTTTGAAGTCCATGAGAAAAGATGGAGCTGTATATTTAGAAAGGAACTGATTGGGGATTTAAAAAAAAAAGGAACTGATGGACTCTTTGCTTTTCTCTGATATGGTAAAACTGTATCTCATGGCTGCTTTTTTTCCTCAGAACAGCATCTGTTGAAGAGAAGTTATCGTTATCTTTGGGTTCATAGATCCTTTGGTAACTTAAAGGGAAGCCTTGGAATGATTGCAGTCTCTTCTCTCCTCCCCGAAGAAACAGGGTATTTAAGTATTCTTTATAGTGGGTTTGGTGAGGTAGGAAGCCTTGTCTGTAGATTTGGGATGGATTTTATAATTTGCTTCTCCGTCTGCCTTGGAATTGCCTCATGGTGAACATTTCTTGGATATTTGTCATATCTAAAGTGCTGTGGTACTTCATTTGCAAAATTAATAGAGATAAAATTCAAGCGATTCAGTTTCATTACTTTTTTGAAACCTGGGTAAGATCAGTGAGGGAGGAAGTTTAATTTTATGAATAAAATATTTATAGTTTGTTAATTTTATTTCTTCCTCTCTTTCCCATCTGTCATTGCCATTTTATGATACTATGATTTTTTAAAATGTAATCTTCTAAACCAAATACCAAAAGAGTATTGGAAATAATTCCAGAGGTTTTTGGGAACAGGGCTGACGTGCAGATCTTATATTTTCTTCTTTCACCTTTTATTTTCAAGGAACAAGTTTGTCCCCCCCCCCCACTCAGTTTTTTTTTTTTTTCCCCCACTCAGTTTTATTTAAAATAATGTTCTTAAGAAACTGTTGTGTTTATATATAACATTTATGATATATTTATTAGATTTTTAAATACAGATTTAGAATGTATTTATTTGGAAATTTATTTAGAATGTTGTTGTCTAAGTGGAACTTTATTCTTGACCTAAGTAAGAAAATGTTGTTTTTGTATTTTTGCATAGCAGCCAGTTTGCATGTGTATTATAATTTTTACAGCTTCAGCATGTAGAGCATCATTTATTGCTTTGGTTTATACATTGATGAGGTATGAATTTTTCTCCAGGTGCTTATTTCAAGTTTAAAAATTTAAACAAAGAGGATGTAGAATATAATTTCACCTTCCCTTATAGCATAGTTTAAAGCAGGCTGGGTTTGGGTTCAGGCAGAACTAGGTTTCCATCTTGACCCTACTTGATTTTTTTTTTTAATTTTATTTTATTTTTAACTGGAGGATAATTACAATATTGTGATGGTTGCTGCCATACATCAGCACAGACTTCAGACCCTACTAGTTTTGATATGAGTGTGATCAAGATATTAATCCTTTTTAGCTTCTTTTCCACATTGAAAGATGGGAATAATATTGTGGACATGGATAAGGATTAGACATGAAGAGATATATTAAAAGATACCCAGCATAGTACTGTATCTGGAACAGAGGAACCTAAGAAAATGTTCCTATCATTACTACCCTATATATTTTATGTATTTATATTGTATTGCCCTGATACATGTATGTGCATGCCCTGTGGAGCTGATGATAACTTATGCTTGGTGGGCCTCTTCCTGTTTAACCAAATGGTCCCAGGTTGCATGTCCTGGGTTCTAACAAGTATTTCCAGGTACTTTGTCTAGTTACCAAAGTTCATGGACTTGATTGCATGGGTTTTATGACTGCCCATGTTTACCCAGAGACCTGTTTTCACTTTTGATTCTTAGCCACATTTTGAAAAGGTGAAGTTATTGTATAGTTAACTAACGGGCAAGATTTTCCTATATTTTATTGAGTCACAATTATTTTGAAAGTCCAGTTCATCCAGTTTGAATGTCTGTGATGAATGCTGTGAGGTGTTGTAATGCCAACTCAATTTAATATATAAGAGTGATGGAAATTGAAGGAAAGATTAGCAATTCAACTTTAAGTGTCAGTTTTGGAATTAATATTTTCACACAGCTCATTTTTAAGTTATGTAAGTTGCCATAAACAGTCTCATGGTTATAAATACCAATTATTACCTTCATGGCTTCCAGATTTATGGCTGGAAGCAATGAATGGCTTCTCAGCTAGATCTGTTTCCAAGATATCAGCCTCATGTATCCAACTGCTTGTCTCAACTCACCTCTGCTTGGACCTCTTAAAACCAAAACTAAACTCTGGTTCCCTCTGCTGCACCCCCAAACCCCACTCCCAATCTGCTGCTCTGCAGTCTTCCTTTACTTAGTAAATGGCAGCTCCCTTCTTTTGCTCAGGCCAAAAACCTTAAAGGCATTTTTGCCCCCTCTGTTTCACACTCACTCTGTTGTTCCATCAGTAAAGCCCATTGGCTTTATCTTTGCTGTCCCTGCGGAATCTGACAAGGGCAGCAACCTAAGTGATCCTTGAAAATAAAAAGTAGGTCATACTGCATGTTTTTCAGAGGTGGTTTCCTGTCTCACTGGAGTGAAACCCCTGTTTGTCTCTGTGGGAGTCCTCCCAGCCCTGCAGAGCATGTCCCTGACTTATTCACCTGCTGCTTCCCCTTGGGTCATTCTGCTCCAGTCACAGTGACCTCTCTCTGCTTCTCAAAGTGCTAACCACACTCTGATCTTAGAGACTTTGTACTTACAAAGTGAAACAGTGTTTCCCTAGATGTTCACATCATTTAATTCTCCACTTTCTTTGGACTCTGTTTTTCATAGGCATCTTCTCAGTGAGATCTGGGACCATCCTGTAGAGTATCTCCCCCTCCTCATTGTTCGCTTCCTTCTCCACCCCCCCACCCCCACAGTACTTTTTACCGATGTTGAGAGTGTCTCTTCTCTGTTCCTTTACCATAGTGTAAGATTCATAAGGATAGAAACTGTTCTGTTCTCTGTGATATTTCCCCTGCTGAAATTAGCAGGAACATGGAAAAGTTAATGAATATTGATTTTAACATGAGGTATAACATTATTATTGCCATGGTGCAACTCTCTGCCACGTTCTTTTTTGGCATGTGTTGAAGTAAGAGAGGAAATTGGAAGAGTAAGATGCATCTGAATTGTGAATAAAAATAAAAAGGAGTTCTCTCTAGGATAGACACTTTGCTGAAAGGTGTACCCTTGTAGTAGCTTGGAAGTGATTTATCAATGACAGTTTTATCCAGCAGTTGAATAGTGTTCCTTTTACTTTGTTATAATGAGATGAAAGCTTTTCTGAGAACCTTCTTTGAACCAAACCCAGATCCTAGAAGAGAAAGACTTGTAACGATTGCAGTTCTTTATTTTTACTTTATTTCTGTTTCCTCACAAAGATGTATTTTCTTTGTAGGAAAGTTTTTAATTACATCTGAATCTCTTTAATATATAATACTACTCTTCAAGTTTCTGTTTTTCCTTTATTGGCTTTGATGAGTAGTCTTTTTCAAAGAATTTGTCCATTTCATCTAAAATTATAACTTTATGGTATAAAATATCTATAATATCCTCTTATTATCTTTGAATTTCTGTGAGGATTTTAGTGATATCTCCTTTTAACTCTTTCTGTGTTTTGTATTTTCACTCATCTTTCTTGCTTGTTCTTGGTAGGGCTTTCCTGATTTTGTTCATTTTTTCACAGAACCAGCTCTTGGCTTTACTAATTTTCTTTTGTATGTTTACTTTTTCACTAGTATCTGTTATTACTATCTTCTTGGGGTGTAATTTGCTGTTAATTTCCTAACCTTTTATATTGGAAATTTAGGACATTGATTTTCAGTTTTTCTATTAACTTATAAATTGTTCACTAATGAACTGTTTTGGTGAACCCCAAAGCTGTTGTTCAATTCAGAATATTTTCTGATCTTCATTGTTGTTTGACTTACGGAATTATTTAGAAGTGTGGTGCTTCATTTCTTAACATTTGGAGATTTTCTAGTTATTTTTCCGTTATTGAGTTTCATGTGAATTCACAGTGGTCATAGAAGATATACTGAATTATTTCCTTCCTTGTAAATTTCTTGAGACATTTCCTACTTTTGGCCCAGAACATGGTCTGTGCTAATGAATATGCCATGTATACTTGAAAATATTGTATATTCTCCATTGGTGAGATGCAGTGTTTTTAATTTGTTAATTGTATCAATTTGGTTAATTGGATTGGTTCAGATCTTCTGTATTCTTACTGATTCTTATCTGCTTTGTTAGAGTGGTATGTTTAAATGCATATTCACTTTTATTTAAACCAACAATTTTTGTGAACTGGCTATATCTCTTTTTAGTTCTGTCAATTTTTGCTTTATACATTTGAAACTATGCTATGAAATGAATAAAGTTTATGATTTTATGGCTTCTAATTAAATTTATGATTTTTTCAAAGTGAGATGCACCTCTTTCTCAATGCTTTTGCCTTAAGATCTGTTTTGTCTGTTGTTAGTGTTGTCACATTGACTTTCTTTTGGTTTGTATTTATTTACGTGGTATGTCTTTTCTCATCCTTTTTCCCCTAATCTTCCTGCATCTTAATATGGTTTCTTTTAAATAGTATAATAGTTGCATTTTATTTTATTTTTTAATCTAGTCTGACAAGTTTTGTCTTTCAGTTAGAGTATGTATCATTGTATTTAATTGGTTAGAGTAATATTTTTTGCATTATTTAATTCCTCTTTTTTACTGTTTTGAGTTATTTTACTTCCATATATGTTATAAATTCCCTAAGACATTGCTAGGGATGTCAATACTGTTGTATTTAGCCACATACTTTCTTTTTCTGGGGTTGATGATTCTTGTTGACACTTTATATGCTTCTATCTATAATCATTTTCTCTACGCTCAAGAACAGTTGTTACAGTATTTCTTGTCTGCTGATAAGGAATTCTTATAGTTTTTGTTTGCTTGAGAATGTATTTTGCTTTCATTCTGGAAGAATATTTTCAATAGGAATAGGATTCAGTTTGTTTTTTTACCTGTACTTTTAAGATGTCATTCTGTTATCTTCTTTCTTCTATAGTCTTTGTTGACAAGTCAGTGATATTTCTTACTGTTATTTCCTTAGAGCCATTGTTCTTAAGTGGGAGTGATTTTGCTTTCTTTACCTCCTTCTCCAGGAAACATTTGGTAATGTCTGAACATGTTTTGGTTGTCCTAGTCTGAGGTTAGGGGTGTTATGCTGTTGACATTTCTGTAAGGCACAGAACAGTCTCTACAGCAAAATGTTATTCGACTCAGTGTTGGTAATGCCAAGGTTGAGGAACTGTGCCTTAGAGGTAGTATATCTTATTTTTCTCTGGTCGTTTAAAAGATTTTCTCTGTCCATGGCTGATTCATGTCAATGTATGACAAAAACCACTACAATATTGTGAAGTAATTAGCCTCCAACTAATAAAAATACATGAAAAAAATTTTTTTTCTCTGTATTTTTTTCAGTAGTTTGGTTATGTTTTGCCTAGATTTCATTTCCTTTGTTTATCCTTTGGGGATGGATTGTAATTCCCTCTTAAGTATACATTATTTTATTTATTTGTCTATTTTTTCTTTTTTCATTAACATATTGGTCATAGTTCTTTTGAAATTCTTCTAATGCTACTCAGATCACTTCTGGATCTGCTTCTAATGACTTTTTTTTCTCTTGATTAGTGGCTAATGTCTTCTTTGCATGCCTAGTGATTTTTAAATGTGTGTTGAATATTATGAATGAAATGTTATAGAGGCTGTGAATTGTCTTCCTTTGAAAGATGTTGAATTTTGTTCTGACAGGCAGTTAAATTCCTAGCTCCTCACTTATTCTGTCAGGGCCTGGTTTGATTTCTGTTAGATTTGCTCTGCTTCTTCTTAAGGATCCTTCTTAAGGATCCTTCTTAAGGTGTAGCCTTTGTGGGGTTTCAGCTGAGTGTCTAGAATCTTTACCAGAGTCTCTCAACTTTGGCCAGGCTCACATTCCAACAGTTTCCCTGCACCCACCTTTAGACTCTCAGCTTCACGACATCTTCCTGTCCGGTGTTCTGTGACTTTGTCTTACGCTTCTGCAGCCCCGGAGATGACCAGTAATTGAGGAGCATTTCTCAGCAGATTTTTAGGGTGTTTGTGGCTACTCTCTGCTCAGCACCCTGTGCCTCCAGTCCTAGCAGCCTTTGCCCAGAGCTCTAATCTGTTCTCTCTACCCAGAGAGATCACTGGTCCCTGTTTTGACTTTAATACCCCACTCCCAGAGCACACTTCCATGGGAGATTCTTGTGGAAATGTTGGATCACCTCAAGTTTCCCTTCTGTCTCAGGGATAGTTGCCTTGTGTTGATTATAGATCATGCTTATAAATGGTTTTGTATGTTTTGTTGAGATTTTAAAGTTATTTGTGGTTGGAGAGTAAGTCTCATATAAGCTATTCTCCATGGCCAGAATCTCAGGTCCCTTTGTTATCTTTTATAGACAGATTAACTGCTTTTAAAGTCAGAGTTATTGCTTTGTATTTTATTCTAGAAGAAACACTGGTCGCCATTGTGCAGTGAGTTCTGTATTTCACAGAAACAAATGTTAATTGAGAAAACAGCTTATGTCAGTTGTGTATATGTAAGCTGACATCTTTATTATCTGTTGTGTTTCTGTGCTTCAAGGAATCATCTGTTGCAGTTTGCCTTAGAGTCACCACCCACATCTGCTGCTTCCTCCTCTTCAAAGAATCTGGCTATCAAAACACACACCACTGTAGCCTTCAGACATTCATTAAAACAAGGAAGCAAGTTAATGGAGAATTTCTTGATCAGAGAAACTGGTGGTTCTGCGTCAGAGTTGTTGATAAAAGAGAATGAAAGCAAATCCAGCCCTCAGAAAAAGCTGAGCTCTCCTGCGAAGACCAGAGGGATACCTTCTGCAGAAAAGTCAGCTCCAGGTTCCTCAGAGGATTGTGTTCCTGAGACACCCTCTACATCAGCCTTGAAACAAGTTACTAAAGGTAGGAAATTAGCTTCACATGTTTTGTTTTCTTAGTGGAAACCTTCTCATCCCACATGACATAAGAAATAAGGAGGATTTTTTCGGGGAAAGGATGGGAAAGTGTAGTCCAGCTCTTACCTCGTAACAGCCTCGCATGTGGATGGAGGCAGTGCTTCCATATACATTCTCTTTCTCCTCATAGAATAGGAATTCAGGCTGATGGCAGGAAAAACTAAGCATTTTTAGTTAGTTTATGGTTCACATGTGGCATAGCTTTCTGTTTTTCAGCCTTTCTTCTCCCCCTCATCCTTCATATTAGCTCCAGTTTCATATTGAAGAGCTCTTTCTGTCTTATTATATCATCATTTGAATACTTCCAAGCTGTTTTGACTGGCATTTACAGCCTTGGACAGTTTGACTGCTACCCTACCTGTCCATCCTTGTTTCTCATCTCTTCCTCTCAAAAATCCTTCTGCTCTAGCCAAGCTGATCTCCCCTTTATTCCTTGAAAACGCTCAGGGATTAAAAACCTATAGCCTGTCACCTGTTTTTATAAACAAGGCCTCACTGGAACACAACCATGCCCATTTGTTTATCTGTCATCTACGGCTGCTTTCATGCTAATAACTTAGTTTGTTGATTGTGATAGAGGCCATCTGGCCCCCAGAGGCCTGAAATCTTTGTTACCTGAGCCTTAACTGAACATGTCTGCTAACCCCATTCCACCTTTCCAGACTCTATCTAGGTCGAGCAAGTCTTCAGTTAAGTTATATAGTATCGGTCTCTCACATCACTAAAGCGTGGCAGCACTTGTTTTCCTGGACAGTTTGCTTAGCTTTTTGATGACTAGGTCAACTTGTTCAACCTCTTGTTTCCATATCTTATTGCCAGTGAATTTCAGAACACCTTTTAGGCAGAAACTCTATCTTAGACATCTTTGGTATGCCCCACACCACACGTAGTGCAGGGCCATTAGTGGTTACTAAACTTAGGTTGGAATTAGTTCGTTATTACTTGCGTGTTTGCATTTCATATAGATATGTGAATTTTTCTCTTGTATTTCCTAGCATATCTTATCTTTGGTCAGTTTTTGATCAATTGACAGTTTTTATTGTACTGTTTTTAAGCGGATATCGTTTTTCCCTGAGCAGAACTTGAAATTTTGCAATGAACCCATAGCATGTAACGTAGATAAAAGTTGCTTTGCTCCATTAAAGTGGAGATGGAGGGCCTCACCTCCCCCGTCCATGGTGGTCTCTAGGCCCTGAGGCACCTCCAAAGGTTCCTGGAACTCTATCAGTTTCAGAATGATTGTGTTTCTGCTTTTTAATGCTACACTTATATAAGCACACCTTGAAGAAATTGTGGGTTCGGTTCTGCAGTAGGACAGATACCACAATAAAGTGAGTCATTTGAACTTTCTTGTTTCCCAGTGTGTATAAATGTTATTTTTATGCTATACTATAGTTTGTTATGTATGCAGTAGCATTATGTCTAAAAAAAAAATGTACACACCCTAATTAAAAAATGCTTTATTGCTTAAAAATGCTGACCATCTCACTCTTCACCAAAGAAGGCAAGAGTAGGAGAAAAGACAGTCTCTTCAGCAAGTAGTGTTGGGACAGCTGGACAGCCACATGTAAATCAGTGAAATTAGAACACACCCTCACACTGTACACAAGACTAATTTCAAAATGTTTTGAAGGCTTAAATATGAAACACAATACCATAAAACTCCTAGAAGAGAATGTAGGTAAAATGTACTAGTTTTCTTAAGTCAGTCTCCCAAGGCAGTAGAAATAAAAGCAAAGATAAATGGGACTAATCAAACTTACGAACTTTTGCACAGCAAGGGAAACCATAAACAAAGCAGACAGACAGCTTACAGTCTAGGAGAAAATATTTCCGGGTGATGCAACCAATAAGAGCTTAATTTCCAACATCTGCAAACTGCTCATAAAACTCAATAACAAAAACAACTGGATCAATAAATGGGCTGCTGCTGCTGCTAATTCACTCCTGTCGCGTCCGACTCTGTGTGACCCCATAGGCGGCAGCCCACCAGGCTCCCCCATCCCTGGGATTCTCCAGGCAAGAACACTGGAGTGGGTTGCCATTTCCTTCTCCAGCGCATGAAAGTGAAAAGTGAAAGTGAAGCCCCTCAGTCGTGTCCGACTCTTAGCGACCTCGTGGACTGCAGCCTACCAGGCTCCTCTGTCCATGGGATTTTCCAGGCAAGAGTACTGGAGTGGGGTGCCATTGCCTTCTCTGCAATAAATGGGCAGAAGAGCTAAATAGACATTTCCCTGAAGACATACAGATGGCCAATAGGCACATAAAAAGATGTTCAAAATGGCTGATTACTCAGTTCAGTCGCTCAGTCATGTCCAACTCTTTGGGACCCCATGGACTGCAGCACGCCAGGCTTCCCTCTCTATCACCAACTCCCAGAGCTTGCTCAGATTCATGTCCATTGAGTTAGTGATGCCATCCAACCATCTCATCCTCTGTCGTCCCCTTCTCCTCCTGCCTTCAATCTTTCCCAGCATCAGGGTCTTTTCAGATGAGTCAGTTCTTCACATCAGGTGGCCAGAGTATTGGAGTTTCAGCTGCAGCATCAGTCCTTCCAATGCATATTTAAGACTGATTTCCTTTAGGATGGACTGGTTGGATCTCCTTGGAGTCCACGGGGCTCTCAGGTGTCTTCTCCAAAACCATAGTTCAAAAGCATCAATTCTTTGGCACTCAGCTTTCTTTATGGTCCAACTCTTACATCCATATATGACTACTGGAAAAACGATAGCTTTGACTCTACAGACCTTTGTTGACAAAGTAATGTCTCTGCTTTTTAATATGCTGTCCAAGTTGGTCATAATTTTTCTTCCAAGGAGCAAGCATCTTTTGATTTCATGGCTGCAGTCACCATCTGCAGTGATTTTGGAGCCCAAGAAAATAAAGTCTGTCACTGTTTTCATTGTTTCCCCATCTATTTGCCATGAAGTGATGGGATGGGATGCCATGATCTTAGTATTCTTAATGTTGAGTTTTAAGGCAACTTTTTCACTCTCCTTTTTCAGTTTCATCAAAAGGCTCTTTAGCTTTTCTTTGCTTTCTGCTGTAAGTGTGGTGTCATTTGTTTATCTGAGGTTATTGATATTTCTCCTGGCAGTCTTGATTCCAGCTTGTGCTTCATCCTGTCCAGCGTTTCTTATGATGTACTCTGCATATAAGTTAAATAAGCAAGGTGGTAATATACAGCCTTGATGTACTCCTTTCCTGATTTGGAACCAGTCTGTTGTTCCATGTCCAGTTCTAACTGTTGCTTCTTGACCTGCATACAGATTTTTCAGGAGGCAGATCAGTTGGTCTGGTATTCCCATCTCTTTCAGAATTTTTCACAGTTTGTTGTGATCCATGCAGTCAAAGGCTTTGGTGTAGTTAATAAAGCAGAGGTAGACATTTTTCTGGTCTTGTCTTGCTTTTTCAGTGATCCAGCGGTTGTTGGCAATGTGATCTCTGGTTCCTCTGCCTTTTCTAAATCCAGCTTGAACATCTGGAAGTTCACGGTTCACATACTGATGAAGCCTGGCTTGGAGAATTTTCAGCATTACTTTGCTAGTGTGTAAGATGAGTGCAACTGTGCAGTAGTTTGAGCATTCTTTGGCATTGCTTTTCTTTGGGATTGGAATGAAAACAAACCTTTTCCAGTCCTGTGGCCACTGCTGAGTTTTCCAAATTTTCTGGCGTATTGAGTGCAGCACTTTAACAGCATCATCTTTTAGGACTTAGGATTCTAGGCTGATTATTAGAGAAATAGAAATCAAAACTAGGATGAGGTACCACCTCACACCAATCAGAATGGCCATCATTAAAAAGTCTACAAATAACAAATGGTGGAAAGCATGTGTAGAAAAGTGAACCCTCCTACACTGTTGGTGGGAAGTAAATTGGTACAACTGCTATGGAAAACAGTATGGAGTTTCCTTAAGCAAAAAATAAAGAGTTGTCATATGATCCAGGAATCCTACTCCTGAACATATATCTAGAGAAAACTCTTACTCAAAAATGTACATGCACCCCTATGTTCATGTCAGCACTATTCATAATAACCATGAACATGGAAGACATGGAAGCAAATTAAATGTCCATTGACAGATAAATGGATAAGGAAGATATAGTACATGTATGCAATGGAATATTACACAGCCATAAAAAAGAATGAAATAATGTCATTTGCAGTAACATGATTGGACCTAGAGATTATCATACTAAGTGAAGTACATCAGAATGAGAAAGACAAATGCCCTATAATATAGTTTATATGTAGAATCTAAAATATGACACAAGTGAACTTATTTCCAAGTCTCACAGATATAGAAAGCAAACATGGTTACCAAAGGGTGAAGGGAGTGAGGTAGGGATAAATTAGGAGTTTGGGATTAGTAGATACAAACTATTAAATATAAAAAAGATAAACAGCAAGGTCCTACTATATTGCACAGGGAACTATATTCAATATCCTGTAACAAACCATAATGGAAAGTAACATTAAAAAGAGTATGTGTGTGTGTGTGTGTATATATACACACACACAACTGAACACAACTGATACACCTCAGTCACTGTGCTGTATACCAGAAACTGACAACACTGCAAACCAACTGTGCTTCAATTGAAAACAAAATGCTGACCATCATCTGGCATTGCAGGGTTGCCACAAATCTTTAATTTGTTAAAAAATTTTAAAAATGCAGTATCTGCAAAGTGCAATAAAGTGAAGTACAATAAAATGAGGTATGCCTTTCATTACAAATGAGGGCTAAATGAACGAATTTGTAGTCTTTAATAATTTGAATGTAGTTGGTTCAACCGATTCATGTTTCTGCATACCCTTCCCCCACTCTGTTCCCCTGGCAAATATTTTTATCTTACTCAGGTTGTTGTGACTGCTCCAGTGCTACACATGAGTGGTTCCTAAGACTTGGTATAAACTCAAGATAAGTTTTATAGCTTGGTCATGCCTTGGTAGAAAAGATTTAACTAAAGCACTTTCTAATAAAACTAATTCCAGACGACTTTGAAATCTCTTCTTCGAGGCCAGGATTCTAATTATGTGATTTTCCGCAGTGTGGCCCTTGCCCAGTAAGCAGTCTGTTCCACTCCTGCTGCCCTGAGATGTCCTTTTTCTCTTCTGCTTTTCTAAGTGCATGTTAAGGTTGGATTTCATTCTTTAATGTTAGTTGTTGAAAGATACCTGGTTGTATTATTTTTACTCTTTCTACAAATAATAAAATCTTTTTCTCTTTTTGAAAAATACAGTGGATTGTCCTGTTTGTGGGGTTAATATTCCAGAAAATCACATTAATAAGCACTTAGACAGCTGTTTATCACGTGAGGAGAAGAAAGAAAGCCTCAGAAGGTAAGAAAGTGAAGCATAATTGTTGAGCCACTTTAGCCACTTTAGCTTGTGCTTTTAAAAATGTTAGCCAACTGTCCATTCTCTTTCCTTGCCAAATATAATTAACTTTACTATATGCTAATCAAATTTGACTTAATAAGAAATTCGGTTTAGAATTCAGTTCTTTTTAGGCTTATTTTCTTCTTTTAGAATTTTAGAACTACCATAAAGCCCTTGGCCCAAGAAAGCAAGGCTAGACTCTGAATATAGAACGCATCAAATCTTTTTTTGGTTCTTAGGAATATTAGAAGTTTAAATTAGTAAAATCTAGCTTTTTCAAAAGTTCTGAATAATTACTATATACACACGATATACTGTATACACATGACATTAAATAGTACAGAAGGGTTTTTGTTTTTTTTTTAGAAAATACAGAATCATTTATTCATTCAGCAAATACTTATTAAGCACATAACCATGTATCAGGCTCTGTTAAGATTGGTGAATGAAAATCAGATGCTCTTTCCTTAATATCCATTTTTTCTTGGAAGGATGCAACCGGTAGGCTTGCATTTTGAAGGCAGTGATTTTCTCTGGTAATTGCATATGTATAAACTTGAAGTTGTATACTTTGTCTGTGGGGCAGATTCAAAAGGGAATGTGTGAAATATAATTTGTGTGTGTATGTGTGTGTGCGCGCCCATGTCTATGTGTATGTCCCCTGCCAACTACCCAAGTGAGATAATTTCACGCTACTTTGCCTCCCTTATATATCAAAATATATATCAAATATATATATATATCAAAATAGGTTATTAAACTTGATCAATATTGTTATACATGTAAGTTAAGAATCAAATTTTAGTCACAGTTACATTGCAAGGTGTTATAGAATTTGTGGTAATGAAGATAATAAGGAAGCTGAAGCCACAAATTAGATGAGTCTGATGATGAAGGGAGACATGAGATGAGATGGAAGTTTGCGGAAGGAATAAGGAGCAAGATCAGGGAAGATTTTATTTTTTAGAATGGAAATTATACAAGCCTTTAGCCTCCTTCTTTATACTATCTCCGGGGAGAGGGCAGATGATACAAGGAGCAAGAGGGCAAAAGTCCAGTAATAAAGTGTCTTTAACATGCAGAAAGAGCTTTTCTTCTGAAACAGGATGGAAAGAGGAGGGAATAGGTGATAATTCAGAGATCTAGGAAGGAGAGGGAGGAAATGGAAGAAATTAATGGGAGGTGGGAATGAACAGAATGATTGGTTCTCACGTCTGGTTTGTTTGGAAGAACTTGGAAGAGTATTTGCAAGAAACCATGCTGATAAGGCAGGACTGTTTTATTGGGTTTTGCGTGTGTGTGTGTGTGTGTGTGTGTGTGTGTGATTAAAGATAAAATGGTGTCACTTAGATTTTATGAGTAAATCAGCAGTGAATGCAGGTTCTGAGGGACAAACTCTTGCTGTTGTGATTTACAAAAGCTGACATATAACGCACAGCAGTGCTTTATTGATTTACAGTGAGGGGCATCAATTGACAGTTCTTACTGTAGTGTTTTTAGCATGATAGTTAACCTTTTTCCTCTGAGTAGAACCTTTTTTTCAAGTGAAAATGCACAGTGAACCGTAACAGATAAAACAGATAAAATTGGCCCTGTCCATTAAAGCGGAGATGAAGGATTGTGCTGTCCCCATCCCCCATCTCTCCCTGCGTCCCTGTCTGATAGCCACTGTAGTCCTCAGCTCCCTGCGACAGATGTATGTGAGGTCTTGCATGCACAGTACTCACCCCTAGTGGGTAAGTTTGTTGATGAGAATAGATTTTTAGGCTGCCTAGTTGAGATTTGGGATAAAGAAACTGGATCATTACAAGGATTATTTCACATAAGCAGTGAGAATCTAATGGTCTAATGAAGAATCTTTCATTCTAATTCATTTAATTTAATTAACCTTTTAATTTCTAATTTCTTTAGAAAATTTTTTTCCCCTAAAGAATGAGATGGGAATATAGAAGCTGGGCATTTTCTCTTTGAAGAGTAGGGAATCAGCACTGATAATTTTACTTGGACTGCCCTTTTTCTAGATGCATCCATCATATTTCTTCTCACGCACTTAGCTCGTCAGTTTATCCAAAGGTATACCCATCCATGTATAATTAAGTTCAAGTTCCAGTTGTGATTCTGAGGAGCTCTGTGGAATTACTATAATCCTGCTGGTTACACTAGCACAATTTAGGAGCACTGTTTTCTGTCTCTCTCTCTCTCTCTCTCAGAGGAAGCTTCACTGTATGAATTAGTGTGTTGAAGTCTTTGAGAATTCCTACATCAAACATAAGTGTTGGGTTTTGTTTAATCCAGTAATTCCTAAATTTTTTTAACCCGAAAACCTTTTTGTTCTCATAACTCATTTTGCAAAGTTCACATTTGTGAAGGTACACTTAGGGAGACATTGAACCACCTTTCTCTTTAGTGACATCCTGATCTTGGACTGTGGTCACATGAAAGAGTATATGATATTTAAAAACATTTCTCCACAACATCCCAACAGACCGTTTCTTAATGTGGATGACAGCCCTTAACCCATCCTTTGTAGATTCATATCAGAGGTAATCAAAGAATACTTTTCCTTTTGCTGTCCTCAGATTTTGAGGACACTTAGATGAATTACTGTTTCACCAAATCATAGAAGAAAGATCAGTGTCATTTTCATGTTTTAGGAAACATTTTTCAGACTTCATATTTAAAAAATTTTTTAAAACTTTTTATTTTATATTGGTGTATAGTTGATTAACAGTGTTGTGATAGTTTCTGGTGTATAGCAAAGTGATTCAGTTATGCATATACATGTATCTGTTCTTTCTCAAGTTCTTTTCCCATTTAGGTTGTTATGTAACAACTGAGCAGAGTTCCCTGTGCTGCACAGTAGGTCCTGGTTGGTTATCCATTTCAAATATAGCAGTGTGTACATCATATTTTAAAATTCTTGACAGAAATTGTTGATCTCTGCTGGTGCTTTTGAATGTAAATGCCAGTGAACAAATTGTTCTCCATTAGAATTTCACAGTCATAAGTTTAATCATGTATCCTTAATAAAATACATGTTTTAGGTACAGACTTAATGAATTGTCCTTTACAATATTCTTGTATAAACTCCTTCAAAATGTTTTTCAGGACTTGCTACCTAATGTGATTTTTTATTCAGCTATAATACGGTAAAGAATATGCCTGCAGTGCAGGAGACCTCGCTTTGCTCTCTGGGTTGGGAACATCTCCTGAAGAAGGGCATGACACCCAACTCCAGTATTTTTGCCTGCCAGAGGAGCCTGGTGGTGCTATAGTCCATGGGGTCCCAAAGAGCTGGACACAACTGTGCGACTTACACTATCACTATAGTCAGTGTTAGAGAGTCCAGTAGGCAGGCTGTCATTATAAGAAGAATACTCTTCAGAAAAATGTAATCTCTTGAGGGTTTTCAGGGTTTTCTGCAGTTAAACAGTTATTTCTGACTTTTAGTCTTCATTGATGGAGCATAAAAGAACTAATCTTGCCAGGAAATGGTGGTATTGGTTAAGGGAGAAATGTTTGGTTGTCTTCAGTCTGTATTCAGCTGTTTTCTCTTGTATGGTCACTGGACCATTTGTATTAGATTTCCATGTGGAACCTTGTTAATAGAGATTTTAGATCTCCACTTAAGAGCTGAGCTAAGTCAGAATTGGTAGTTGCTGTGGCAAAGTGATTGAAAATTGCATTTTTAATAAACCTCTCCAGATGGTTCTGAGATGCTTGAAAGTTTGAGCAGCATGGCCTTGTGCCCACTGTGTATATGCAAGTCCTTTGTAAAATCTTGTGGTTTTTTTGGATAAGCATATTATTTTCAAGTTTCTTTTAATTGTTACCTGAAATTTTGATATTTCATTTAAAAATGATTGCAATTGTAATGTCTATATTGAATACATATTTATTAAGCACCCGTAGCATTGAGTCAGGTGACGTACTCAGCTAGGTTATAATCAGATTAGATCGATTAAAATTCATCAGGGAGTTCCTGTCTATCAGATTTTCTCAAGTTAATATATTTGACTTCTGCATATTCCATTGAAAGAAGTAATGTTTATTAATTGGTTTTTTGGAGGGCGTAGAAGAAAGTCATTTGATCAGGCTTTGTTATATTTATAATTGCAGCTTAGTGCTTATCATTGTGTTCATCATGAAAATACAATGAAGAGCCAGGTGGCAATTTAAAAAAATATATATTTACGGATTTTTTATTTGGCTGTGCTGGATCTTAGTTGCAGCATGCAGGATCTAGTTCCCTGACCAGGAATCAAACCTGGGCCCCCTGCATTGAGAGAGCAGAGTCTTAGCCACTGGACTGCCAGGGAAGTCCCCAGGCGGTGATTTTGCTAATACACTTATTCTTTTCTCTTTTTATTTTTTAATTGAAGGAAAAATTGCTTTACAATGTTGTAGTGGTTTCTGCCATATAACTCAAATCAGCCATAATTATACATTCATCCCCTCCCTTTTGAGCCTCGCTCCTGTCCCCCATCCCCGCTCTGGGTTGTCACAGAGCATCAGCCTGGGCTCCCTGTGTTACCTCTGCTAATACACTTTTTATAATGCCTGTGTGTTTGTTAATATAACTAATTGAAGTTGAAAAAAAAAGCAAACACTGCTGTGTTTCTTGCTGTTGTTTTCAGTTGTCTTCTTTTGAAGATGATCCCACAAGAATACTATGCACACATCAGCTCTCTGAATTCTTTCTTTCATTGGCATAATAAGTTTAGTAAGCCTAACTATCCCAACAGGTCTTCTTTTATTTCATCTAGTGCTTTTGTAAAATGATTGATTGCCTTGGGCTTAAGAAGGCAGTTTTGCCTATGCATCAGAATTTTTTCTAAGAAAGCTGTGTATGATAATATTCTAAAATCTGTAGCCTGACCCTTGATAGCATTTGTACTCTTAATTACCTGAGATAGCTAGCTTTTTATGGAGATTTTCCCTGGAAACCGTGGGCAGATTTTAGGGAAAACATGTTTTAAAGAGGTGAAGAATTGAATGATTTCATATAAGTGTGATCCTGCGTTCTCATAGCATTTAGTCCATAGCCTTCTGCATGAGTCCTAAGTCTGCATCTTTAGGCCTGATCTCTGTCTGAGACCTGACTCTTCACATATTGGCTGCCACCTAGACCGTTCTGTCTGAATGTCCCACCACCACCTCAGATGCATCACTGTCATGTGAATACTGTCAACTTGATTCACAAATTTGATCCTTCTTCTCTTTTCCATTTTTATCCTAATGTTTCTACAATTCTCCCAGTCACCTTGGTATTGAGCAGAAGGTAAATTACTGTTTTACGTGAAAAGCATTTGATAATTCACAGTAACCCTCAGTGATCTCTCTTTTTCTCCTTTTCAGTTCTGTTCACAAAAGGAAGCCGCTGCCTAAAACTGTATATAACTTGCTCTCAGATCGAGATTTAAAGAAAAAGCTAAAACAGCATGGATTATCTGTTCAAGGAAATAAACAGCAGCTCATTAAAAGGCACCAAGAATTTGTACACATGTACAATGCCCAGTGTGATGCTTTGCATCCTAAATCAGGTAAAGTAATAAAACAATGAATTTTATTTACCCTCTGGATAAAGCAGTTTTGTATGACTCAGGGGTTATAAACCACAGAGAAAATTTTAATGCATTTTTGATAATAGCTAAGACGTTCAAATACACTCCTTCAGAAGATATCTAGAGTGTCCTGTGATAAGCCAACCTTTCTCTCAGCTCGTCTCTCTGTCCCCCTTCTCTTCTCAGAGGCAGCCACTGCTACCAGCTTCTCATATATATGAGGGTTGCTTGAGAGAGCATGGCCTGTAATTTAATCCTAGTTTTGCAGCTTTATGACTGGGTGACTGTGGGCAAGTTACTTATATCTGACCTCAGCTTTCTCTCCTATTTAAGTAAGAGTTGTAATATTGCCTAGTGCATAGTGTTTTTGTCCAGACTAAATGATAAAATGCATGTAAAGTGCTAGCATTGTACCTTAGCAGGTAGTTAGCATGGAATAGATGTTACCATTAGATTATTAAGGTTGTTACACCCAGAAATATATGTGATTATTATTATTTCGTCAAAATTTTGTTTTACAGACATACTACTTAATAGTTTGTTCTTTCCACTTAACCTCACACAAATTTTGGAGTTCTTTCAGTTATTAACATATGGATAAAATTGCCTGATGTAAAAAAAACTAAGGTATAATATATAAACAGAAGCTTACGCAAGTTATAAATGTATTGTTTGGTGAGTCATCACAAGGTCCAGGGAAGGAGCCTTCGTAACATCTCCTCAGGGCCCTGCCAGAGCCCTAGAAGGCCAGCCCACCCCTCCCAACAGCGGCTGCCGTTGTCCTCACAGCTGACCACCTTCCTGACATCTGAAACCGTATATTCGTTTTGCCTGTATTTTATCTTAAATATGGAATAATAAGTAGCTTATACATTCTTTTGAGTCTGGCTTTTCTACGACATTATAAGATTTGTCCATGTTTTTGTGGACAGTTGTGATTTTTAAAAAAATTTTGTTGCTATAGCGTATTCCATTATACAAATAGGACATGTTACACAAATGTCCATGGTTGACGGATGCCTGGGTTTTTCCACTGTTTGGCTCTTAAAGAATAATGCTGTTATGAGTAATCTTTTGCAGGTCTCTTGGTAATCATAGGCACACATAGTTAGGCATTACGTATACCTACGTGTGAAATTGTTGTTTTTGCATACATTTAGCTTTCCTGGGTATAGACAGAAACCCAGGTGCCAGTGTATGCTCTCATCAGGAAGGTATGAGAATTCCAGTTTTTCCACATCATTACCATCATCAGTATTGTGAGTTTTCGTTTTTGGCCATTCTAGTGCGTCCATGGTAGTATCTCATTATGGTTTTAATTTTTGCTTCCCTAATGGCTTATAGTGTTCACCATATTTTTATATAATTATTGGCCATCTGGATATTCTCCTGGGTGAAATATCCATTTAAGTCTTATACCCAATTTTTCTACATTGTGGATCTATTGCTTCTTAATTTATTTCTGGGATTACATGAATTTTTCTGGAAACAGATCTTCCTGGGTGTATATTTGCTTAATCTCCTTTCATCTTTTCACTCTCTTAATGGCTTCATTTGAGAGGTAGAAATTTTAAATTTTGTATCCAATTTGTTGCATTTTTCCATCAGATACTACTTTTTATGTCTTTGCCTACCACATGATCATTTTTTTTCCCCCTAAAAGCATTATTCTTTTTGCATCTATCTTTCAGCCTACAATTTATCTGAAATTGGTTTAAGCATATGTTGCATGGTAAGAGGTGAGATTCTTTTGTTGTTTCCATATGATCAACTAATTGATGTAGCAGCATTTATTGAAAAAGCATCCTTTACACATTAAATTGTCAGTACCTCTTGTTTCAAAATCAGCTAACTGTGTTATATGTGGATCTGAACATTGTGTTGTTCCATTGGGTCATCTATTAATCCTTGTGCCACTAGTGCAGTGTCTTAATTATTTAATGAGTGTCTGGTAATGTAGTTCCTCCAGCTTTGTTGTTTATTGAGATTGTCTATTAATAGGTGAGTGGTTGTATGCAAATTGTGGTGGAACCATACCATGAAACATTGCTTAGCAATGAAAATGAATGAACTACTGATAAATGCAGCAATGTGGATAAATCTCAAAAGCATTGACATACAAAAGACTACATGCTGTATACTTTGAAAACATTTATCTGGCATTTTAGAAAAGACAAAACTTTGGGGGCATAGAAGAGATCTGTATGTCCCAGGGCTTAAGGGTAAGGAGGAGGGAACTTACTGGGCAAAAGAACTTTTGAGGGTAAAGGAAATGCTCTGCACTTTGCAATGATGAATAAATGACTACTAATAGGCAACTGGACTTGTCTCCAGTTTTTGGCTCTTCTGGGTAAAGCGGCTATGAACATGGGCTAATAGATTTGTATGTAGCCATGTGCTTTATTTCTCTTGCGTTTTCCTTTTCATTCAGTTAAAATATTTTATGATTTTTGTTGTGATCTCTTCTTTAACCCATGGATTATTTGGAAGTGTTTTCAGTTTCCAAATATCTTGAGTATTTCTCAGGTATCTTTTTTTATTCAGTTCTAATTTGATTCCATTGAAGCAGTTCTGTATGATTTGGGGCCCTTTACATTTATTGAGACTTGTTTTATAACTCAGCATTAGGTCTTCCTTGGTGAGTGTTCCTTAGGCACTTGAAAGTTTTGCTTTATTTGTTCAATGATCTCTAATGTTAATTATGTAAAGTTGCTAAGGTATTATACTCACGTCATCTACATCATTACTGATGCTGTGTTTAGTGATTCTGTCAGTTACTGAGAACATTATTGAATTCTCAAAGGATATTTATAGATTTTTAATTTTTCCTTTTAGTATATTCTGTTTTCTTTACATTTTTGAATGTCACCAATTAGATGCATGTGCATTTAGTATTGGTATGTGTTTTTGATGAATTAATCTATTATAATGAAATAGCTGCTTTAATCTCTGGTAATATTCCATGAGTAATAACCTTATTTCACTTTTTTCTTTAATATTGTGTTTAAACTATGGTTTTTGGTAAGCAGCATATGGTTTGGATCTGCTTTTTAAATTTAATTTGATAAGATATGCCATTAAATTCTGGAGTTTAAAACTTTTTCATTTCATTTAATCTGTTTGGTGGAGTTTAAGTCTACCAACTTGCTCTTTTCTATTTGTTTTGTCCATTCTTTGGTTTTTTCCCTTTATTTTCTTGCTTTCTTCTAGATTATTTTTTAGTTCTATATTTTATCTTCACTATTGGTTTATTAGCTGTATCTCTGTTCTTTTAGTGATTATTCTAGAGTTTACCATTTACATCTTCAACTTATCACAGCCCACATTCAAATAACATTATGCTACGTGTATTACAGAAGGACCTTACTCCTTCCATCCTCGGTTTTAGGTGTCTGAGGTCCTCTACTAGTGTTCAGCAGGTGCTCTGCGCAAACTGATCCAGTTGTAGATGTGTTCTTCATGTACTTCTAGGGTAGAATGGACCCCAGATCCTCCTGTTCCACCGTCTTGACCTTGATCCATCCTGGTTTTATTGTCATAGATATTTCTTCTATGTTATAAGTCTCATTATACTTTACCATTTTTGCTTTAAACTGTCAATTTTCCTTTAAAGAGATTTTAAAAATTGAGAAGGAAAGTCTATATGCCTATACTTTCACTGTTTGTGTTATTCTTCATTTCTTTGCTTAGAACCAGATTTCTATATTATGTCATTTTCTTTTGGCCTGAAAATCTTCATTTAATTTTTCTTGTAATGCACACGTGTTGTTGAGACAAGTTCCTTCAGCTGTTATTTGTCTGAAAGTCTTAATTTAGCATTTAAAAAAAAACTTTATTTTGAAATAATTTTGAATTTATGGGAAATTTGAAACATTATCATGAAGAACACATAGATACCCTGCACACAGATTCACCTATTAGTATTATTTTGTCCCATTTACTTTATGTATTAATGCACATGTGTTTGTGTGTGTGCTTCTTTATATACACATATTTTTCTCTTAAACCGTCTGAGAATAGGGCATATACTCTTGTCTGCTAAATGCTTCATTGTGTATTTCCTAGAAAAAGAGATGTTCTCTTTTATTGCTGCAGTACAAGTATCAACTTTCATCTCTATTCTAGTTTCAGCAGTTGACCCAATAATGGCCTTTATAGATTGTTTTCCCCCTCCAGCACATGATCCAGTTTTGAATCACAATATTAAATTTAGTTGTAATGTCCTTTCAATCTCTTTCGTTCTGGAACAGTTCCTAAGCCTTGCTTGTTCTTTTATGACATTGGCATTTTAAAAGAATACAGTCTTTGTTATTGTTGGATTTTTTCCCAAATAGAATGTTTCTCATTTTGGCTTTGCCCTGTGTTTTGTTATAATTACATTCAGGTTGGCATTTGTGGCCAGAATACTATATAAGTGATGTTTTGTCCTTCTCAGAACATCTCATCTAGAGGTATTTGACATCTTTGTGCCCTTCATTTGTGATGGCAGTTTTGATCACCTTGTCAGTGTCTTCATTGTGTAGTTTCCTCCTTACTCCTAGTAAGAAATCTGAACACTTTCCTCTAAACAGACCATTATCTTTTATAGTAGTTAAGAGTCAGTTCATTTCAGTTCAGTCATTCAGTCATGTCCAACTTTTTGTGACCCCTTGGACTACATGTAGCATGCCAGGCTTCCCTGTCTTATCACCAACTCCTAGAGATTGCTCAAACTCATGTCCATCGAGTTGGTGATGCCGTCCAACCATCTCATCCTCTCTTGTCCTCTTCTTCTCTTGCCTTCAGTCTTTCCCAGCATTAGGGTCTTTTCCAGTGAGTCAGTTCTTCTCGTCAAGTGGCCAAAGTATTGGAGTTGAAAATAAGAAAAATATATTTCATATTTACCTTCATTTTTACCATTTCTAGCACTTTGTTTCTTCTTATAGAGATGAATTTCTGGTTTTATATTTCTTCTGCTTGAAAAACGTCTTTTAACTCTTAATGTGGTACAGGTCTGCTAATAATATATTCTCTTAGTTTTTGTTTGTCTCAGTTTTTATTTCTCTTTTACTTCTAAATTATTTCCATTGACATAGAATTCTGGGTCGCTGGGTTCTTACCCACTCCCAGCACTTCAAATTTTTCATTCCATTTTCTTCTGGCTTGAATAGTTTTTGATGAGAAACATGATGTAATACTTGGCCTTTTTTTTGTGTGTAGTAAATCCCTTTTTCTGACTGGCTGTACGATTTTCTCTGTCTATATTGTTGTGTTTTGTTGTTATTTTTTGTTGTTGTTTATTTTGCTTTATATGCTTTGAGCTTGTTGCATTTGTGTTTTGCTATCTTCATTATACTCAGCAGATTCTGGCCATTAGGTCTTCAAATATTTCTTCTCCCTTTTTTATTATGGGATTTCTATTACATGTTTATTAGACCATTTGATATTGTCCCTCAGCTTTTAGATACTCTATCCTGTTTTTTTGTGTGTGTTTCCCTCTCTCCCTTTTTTCTGTTTCAGTTTGGGTAATACCATCAATCTCATTTTCAAGTTCACCAATTCTTTCCTTAGCTGGGTCAAGTTATGTCTGTTAATTTTTTTTTATTTCTAACATTTCTATTTTATTCTTCTTGATGGTGTCATCTCTCTCCTGAAATGACCCATCTGTTAATGCATGTTGTTCATCTTTTCCACTAGATATTTTAGCATATTATCATAGTTATTTTAAATTTCATGGCTGGTAGTTCTAAAATCTGGATGATACCTGAGTTTTATTTTGTTATTGTTATTTGCTTGCTTGTTCATAGATCTTGTAAACTTTGCTTAAAAGCAGACAGTATTTGAGATGCTAAATACTGAAGTAAATAATGTGAAAGACTGAAAAATGGACTTGTCTCCTCTTCTGCTAGGACTTTACTGTGTGTGGTTGATTGGTTTGGGTTTTTTGTTGCTGTAGCTATCTATAGTTGACCACCAGTTTCATATCTCCTGTGCTTAGGTTAGTGCCTGAGTTACCAGAAGTTTGTTTTTAAAATGCTCCTGCCTCACTCGCACTTAGGTTTTCCCTGTGTACCCATACCTGAAAAAGTCTCTTTGCATGCTCACTTCTACCCCAGTGGCTGATCACAGCTACTTGTCGCATGGAGTGCCCTGGCTTCATAGTAGGGAGCATGAGGTTGTTCTAGCTCAGCCTGTGTCTTAAGGCCCTTGATCCTGGGTTTCTGTGGGGCTCAGTGACCCTGTGCCTCCCCAGGTGGCCAGGGCCCTCTAGTGATCTGGGCCGCGGTTTCCTGACCTCTCCGCCTGAGTAGAGGGTTTTGTTTCCTGTCTCCATCTACCTGAGCTCTGGGGTCTTCAGTTTTGTTGACCTTCCCTCAGTGGCTTAACGGTTTTGTTTCCTAAGGTTAGAGGAATGGGGCTTCATGTCCTTCCTGCAGTGGAGGCTGTTCTCCTTTCCCAGGCCTGGACATGGAGGGATACTTTTTCTGATTCTCGCCCTTCCTTCAGTAGTTCTTGAGAATACCCAGTAAAGTCTATAGAAAATAACCTTGAATTTGGTGTGAGCCCTGCATCTCAGCTTCCCAGGATTTTACACAGTTACGATGGTTCACGCTTGGCCTTTTACAATCCGTCAGGGAGGTTATCTGAAATCTGCTTACCCAGCAGTTGGATGATCTTTGTTTTTATTCTGTCAGCCAATACTCATGACCCTCCCCTTGAAGGCATCTGACTTTCCTTAGACTTCAGGCTAGTTGGTTTCTCTGTGAACTTAGCTCTGATGGATTCAAGACGAGTTACAGTTTTATAAGTTATTCAGGCTTTTCTTGTTACTAGGGTGTGAGTGACACTATATCCAGGTTTTATATCATAAACAGAGTCAGAGGTCCCCCTGAAAGATTTAAGCTCTTGAGTTGCATCTAGTCCTAATACAGTCTCCTTAATATCTTAGAAGAGAGTATATGTCAGATGTTCTCTATCTTGAGTGATACTTGAGTGAGTGGATTGGGCAGAATGCAAGTGGTCCCTTTGCTTTTCTGTTATACCATGATTCAGTAAATTTACGTTAGCTGTTCAGCTCATAGAGATTGTTTACATTGTTTCTACTGGTTTTAATGATATTAGGGAGGCAAGGGGTACCTCTCAGTCCTTGAGAAATAAACTTTGAATTGAGGTAATTGCATTCTTAAATTATCCTCTCAAGGACTGTGAGTTTTGTAAGAAACTTTTTAAATAGGGATTTTGTATAAATTTATATAGAATTTAAATTCTTACAGTGAAGACTGTGATGATTTCCCCTGTTTACCAGTTATCCAGCTTAAACAGTGTCAACCATGCCTAATGGTGTGTTGTCCGTCACTTACACTCCTTTCTAGACATAGTATCCTTTTATGTATAAATGTGTGTGTGTCAGGGCTTATGGTTTTTTCTCCTACACTATATGTATGTTAGCCTTAATATGTTGGCCTAGTAGGCAGAAAGTATCACTGGTAAATTTCATGGTATTTGCAGTCAAAGGTATTTACATATGAGATGGAGCATATTCCAGATCTCTTTGATGTATATGATTGGTAACTATACCTACTGACAAAAATTCTGGAGTCTGGTTCATTTCCCTTCCTGCTCTTTATAGACCTTTGACTTTCTTTGAAAAGTAGCTTTTTATAACGTTTTGTACATTGGCATTAGAGTTGATATCTCCTAAGAATAGAATTCACACTAACAGATTAATTTTCATATTCCATTGGTAACTTAAAGGAAAGAGCAAAATGACTTTGCTGTCTCTTCTGGTTATTTTTTAAACTGTAATTGCATGTGTAAGAGTTAAATGTTTTAACTATGTTCTTTTTTTTTTCCCTTTTATTTTGAAATAATTTTAGACTTACAGAAAAATATTTAGAAAGACCAAACTGGGAGTTCACGTATACCCATCATCTAAGCTTCAGTGTTAATAGTTCGTATAACCAGAGTACATTGAGCAATGTCATGTAATTAATGTTGGCTATATGTCCCTGTTTTAACAGCTGCTGAAATAGTTCAAGAAATTGAAAATATGGAGAAGACTCGGATGCGTTTTGAAGCTAGTAAACTCAATGAAAGTGTATGTTGATGGTCTTTTTAAGTGTCTTGGTAGAAATGAAGGAAAGAAACACCCTACAATTAAAGCAAACTGGTATTGAATCTGTTCAGTGGGAAATGTACTAGAAAACTTTTCCATTTAATGTATTATGATTTACTTGCAGCTCATTTTTAGTACAAAATTCTATTGTATTTAGCAGTCTTCTGGCACAAAATCAATCCAAAGTAGAGTTTATTAGTGAATTATAGTTTTTTGGGAAAGTCATGTGCCTGTACATCAGGTAACCTTGGTATTGACCCTTTCTCTGGCAGTTGCATTTAATAAGCTGTTTACCGTTTAGCCTGTGTGGCCCTTAGTATCTTCATCTGTAAGACTCAGGGATTGAACCGTATGGTCTCTGAGGTCCCCTTTTAGCTCTGGCATTCTGCATTCTTTGATTATACTGGTTGAGAAGTTAAGTAATTGCAAGAGTTGACGAGGATTGAGCATCTGTTGGGCTTGTTGAGGGAATCAGAGACCTAAATTCCTTCGCTATTGCCTTCCTCTAGCTTGATGGTCCAAAACTTGAGGAAAGGGTACCAAAGAAGAAAATAGTCACTGTGTCCTTTGGCACTGGAGGAAGTGTTTTGGGCTCTCCCATGTAGACATTTTCTAGGCCATCGGTAGCATGTTTGTAAGGAAAGCAACAACTTTAGGCAAGTAAGTTTATAATCAGATAGGAAAAAAATGAGATTGTTGTTGATTTCGTTATTACCCATGTGCTGACTATAAGATGGAGATTATAATGAATTGTGTCAGTACGTTTCTGATCTTTGAAGTTTAATGTTTTAAAAAGTGAACTAGAAATTTAACAAATTTAACAAGACAAATGAAGTCTTGTATTGCATTTTCTCTATATATTACCTTTGTGATAGACTTGGGAGTTAGATTGGGAAAAGATAGAAGACAAACAGGGAGATGTGCCTTATTAATGACCTGCTAAATGTCTATTCAGTCTTGTGTAACCTGTTGTACTAATGAATGTGAAAAATTAAATATTGAACATAGGAAGCTTAATTGATTTTTGTGTTAATACTTTATATATTCTAATAGAATCAATGTTATATTTTCTACTGATGTAAGTAAAACATATTAATTACAGTATTAAAAGAAGTAAATAGGAGTTAATCTTCTTGGTCTATATAAAACAGGGATGAGAGATTACTTTCCTCAAGTTTAAACATCTATATTAGAGACTTTTAAGTTTATTGTATGAAATTCTTTTTTTGTCATTTTTTAAAATTTTTAATTAAGAATATTTCATTATTTTAGATAATGGTTTTTACAAAGGACCAAACAGAAAAGGAAATAGATGAAATTCACAGTAAATATCGTAAGTTATATGATACTTTCTTTATTTGCAAAAGACTTGGCTCGCAGTTTTCCATCTTAAGTAATTTTTTAAAAGTATGTTTTGCATATTAATGTTCAGTGCAAACTTTCCTGTTAATATTATGTAAGAGACTGCCTTTTGGTTGAGTGTTTACTCAGACAGTGACTTTTTTTTTGCAAGTATGTGCCTGCTCTTTTCTTTTTTTGATGAGTTATAAATTTTGTTTTGTTTTTTTAATTTATATTTTTATTGAAGGATAATTCCTTTGCAGAATTTTGCTGTTTTCTGTCAAACCTCAACATGAATCAGCCATAGGTATACATGTACCCCCTCCCTTCTGAACCTCCCTCCCGTCTCCCTCCCCACCCCACCCCTCTAGGTTGATACAGAGCCCCTGTGTGAGTTTCCTGAGCCAGACAGCAAATTCCCGTTGGCTGTCTATTTTACGTGTAGTAATGTAAGTTTCCATGTTACTCTTTCCATACATCTCACCCTCTCCTCCCCTCTCCCTGTGTCCATAAATCTATTCTCTATGTCTGTTTCTCCACTGCTGCCCTGTAAATAAATTCTTCTGAACCATTTTTCTTGATTCCATATATGTGTGTTAGAATATGATATTTATCTTTCTCTTTCTGACTCACTTCACTCTGTATTATAGGTTCTAGGTTCATCCACCTCATCAGAACTGACTCAAATGCATTCCTTTTTATGGCTGAGTAATATTCCAATGTGTATATGTACCACAGCTTCTTTATCCATTCATCTGTCAGTGGGCATCTAGGTTGCTTCCATGTTCTAGCTATTGTAAATAGTGCTGCAATGAACAATGGGATACATGTGTCTTTTGCAACCCTGGTTTCCGCAGGGTATATGCCTACAAGTGGGATTGCTGGATCGTATGGTGGTTTTATTCCTAGTTTTTAAAGGAATTTCCATACTGTCTTCCATAGTGGCTGTATCAATTTACATTCCCACCAACAGTGAAAGAGCAGTCCCTTTTCTCCACCCTCTGCAGCATTTGTTGCTTGCAGACTTTTTGATGATGGCCATTCTGACCGGTGTGAGGTGATATCTCATTGTGGTTTTGATTTGCATTTCTCTAATAATGAGCAGTGTTGAGCATCTTTTCAGGTGTTTGTTAGCCATCTGTATGTCTTTGGAGAGGTGTCTGTTTAGGCCTTTTTCCCACTTTTTGATTGGATTGTTTGTTTTCCTGGTATTGAGTTGTATGAGCTGCTTGTATATTTTGGAAATTAATCCTTTGTCAGTTGTTTCATTTGCCATTATTTTCTCCCATTCTGAGGTTTATCTTTTCACCTTGCTTATAGTTTCCTTTGCTGTGCAAATGTGTTTAAGTTTAATCAGGTCCCACTTGTTTACTTTTGTTTTTATTTCCATTAATCTAGGAGGTGGGTCATAGAGGATCTTGCTTTGATTTATGTCATCGAGTGTTCTACCTATGTTTTCCTCTAAGAGTTTTATAGTTCCTGGTCTTATATTTAGGTCTTTAATTCATTTTGAATTTATCTTTGTGTGTGCTGTTAGGAAGTGTTCTAATTTCATTCTTTTACATGCAGCTGTCCAGTTGAAGAGGCTGTCTTTGCCCCACTGTATATTCTTGCCTCCTTTGTCAAAGATAAGGTCCCCATAGGTGCATGGGTTTATTTCTGGGCTTTCTATCTTGTTCCATTGGTCTGTGTTTCTGTTTTTGTGCCAGTGCCATACTGTCATGACTGTAGCTTTATAGTGTAGTCTGGAGTCAGGAAGGCTGATTCCTCCAGCTCCACTCTTCTTTCTCAAGACTGCTTTGGCTATTCTGGGTCTTTTGTGTTTCCATATGAATTGTGAATTTTTTGTTCTAGTTCTGTGAAAAATGCCATTGGTAATTTGATAGGGATATCACATTGAATCTGTAGATTGGGTTTGGTAGTATAGTCATTTTCATAATATTGATTCTTCCTACTCAGGAACATGGAATATCTCCCCATCTGTTTATGTCCTCTTTGATTTCTTTTTTAATTAGTGTCTTATAATTTTCTGTGCAGTTCTTTTGTCTCCTTAGGTGAGTTTATTCTTAGATATTTAATTCTTTTTGTTCCAATGGTGAATGGGATTGATTCCTTAATTTCTCTTTCTGATTTTTCATTGTTAGTTCATAGAAATGCAGGTGATTTCTGTGTATTGATTTTGTATCCTACAACTTTGCTAAATTCACTGATTAGCTCTAGTAATTTTCTGATACTATCTTTAGGGTTTTCTATGTACAGTATCATGTCATCTGCAAAACATGAGAGCTTTACTTCTTCTTTTCCTATCTGGATTCCTTTTCTTTCTCTTTCTTCTCTGACTGCTGTAGCTAGGACTTCCATGTTGAATAATAGTGGTGAAAGTGGACACCTTTGTCTTGTTCCTGATCTTAGAGGAAATGCTTTCAGTTTCTCACCATTGAGAATAACTTTGCTGTAGGCTTATCATATATGGCCTTTACTATGTTGAGGTAGGTTCCTTCTATGCCCATTTTTTGAAGAGTTTTAGTCATAAATGGGTGCTGAATTTTGTCAAATGTGCCTGCTCTTTGATTTGTGACTCACATTATACTTTGAGCTCATCACTAAGCATCTTGCAAATATTAATTAGTTGCTCTCAAAGCATTTCTGTGAGAAGAAAAATGGGATTCAAATGGAAACATTCCTGACTCACCATCCTGTCCTCAGGCCACTCAGTGACAATGTTTCTGTAAAGAATTTCAGTACTTTGTAGCTTGCAAATTTGTGCCTAAAATAGTTTTCGTTTTATTCATTATTACCAGCTTCCCAACTTTATCACTTCATTTTCCTTAAAGATATTTCTATGTATCTTTCCCAGTGCGAGCACATTACTGTTTTGTCAGTTAGGTAGCTGTTTATTCTTTGGTTGGTTGGTTGGTTTCCAATTTAAATTTACATTTAAAGTGCCCGGCCAATGGTGGAGAGTTAGAATATGCTGATTGAGTGTCCCACAAATGGAATGTCTTAGTTGTGCTGAGAGAACTGTGTTTTCTTTTTTCACTTTTTAAGCTTTGAAGGGACAGATCCAACTGTCATCTGTGGGAAGGGAGGATAAAGGGCCCAGGTACCAGATATGAGCACATTACTGTTTTGTCAATTAGGTAGCTGTACCTGTGTACACGGGTACAATAGTTGGGTGGTTCGAGCCTTCCCAGAGTGGGGAAAGTTGTCTGGAGGAGTCACAGGCCAGAGGGTGAACCCCAAGAGTCACAGCTCTGTTGCTCTAATGATAAACAGGTGTGATCAATCTTCTTTGATCAGCCTTTGGGAAGCAAAGTAATTTTTCTTGATACTGGAGCTAGACAATATCAGATGATCACTGAAGCAGCAAAACTAAAGCCTGTAACAATAAGGGCATCAGAAAATTTGTACAGTACAAAAATAAGTCACTAAAGAATGGCATCTGACAGTTTATGCTACACTAAAGAAAATGTGGGTCAAATACGAACAAGAAAATATACAAATATCTATTGCCCACCATTTCAGTATCTTTAAAAAGTTTAATATTACTAAATAGGTCATGTTAAATTAATTCACTTAGCTCTAAAATAAACCTCAGTATATACTTAAAAAAAAAATAAAAAAACCTTTGGGGCACTTCCTAAAGCTAAAGTGCTTATTATCATTATAGTTTTAGTCAGTTTCATTTAGTATCAGGATCTAAATATGCCATTGATAGCTCTTCTTGATAGATCACATTTCTATAAGGCTTATATAAAAAAAATATGCCTCCTCCACCACCAACCTGTCTCTATTTCCATTTCCTTGAATTAACAACTGTCAAACCTTTGGGCTTTTGTTTTAATAATTACCTTCATTTTTATAAAAGATTATTCTTTCTACTATTTCTTGGAGAACTTTTCAGTTTTCCATGTTAACAATTGATTGAAGTCCTAATTTGAAAAATGAAAGTTTAGTTCCATTTTACATCGTGATTCTTCGCCTTCCTCTCAATCTCTGAATATTGTCCTAATTTTGAATCAGGCAGCATGCATACTGTGGTTATGAAGGGTAGCAGAATATGCCACTTCCCAAGAATGTGTCACTGTAGCATCTTTCTTTGAGGAGAAGGCATTTGTGAAGCAGCAGAAAGAAAAGCTCTCTGCCTCCCCTCCATTTGGCTCAGATGGTAAAAAATCCACCTGCAGTGCAGGAGACCTGAGTTCCATCCCAGGGTTAGGAAGATCGCCTAGAGGAGAGCATGGCAACCCACTCCAGTATTCTTGCCTGGAGAATCCCCATGGATGGAGGAGTCTGGGGGGACTACAGTCCATGGGGTTGCACAGAGTCGGACACAACTGAAGTGACTTAGCACAGCATAGCACAAAGGTGTCTGTCCCTCCTCCCCTCTCTATCCCTAGAAGTAAGTTAGTTTCCTGTTGATGGAGAAGGCTTGGACTTAAATCAGCATAACAGATTTCACTCTTGGTTACTGTGTTTTTCCTTGCCATCGCCCCATATCTGGCCTCCCCCATACCTTTCTTTTCTTTTTTTTTTAAATCTAGCTGAAGATGATATTTAAGCCAGTGTTGTAAATCACCTCGAGTGGCTTAAGAGTTTTTCTCTGGGTGTCTTCCATAAACACATGAGGTATACATGTTAATAGGCATCTGTTTTGTTTTTCTTATACAAGTTTGTCTTTTGTTATAACGTCCCTGCTAACTGCTGAGAACATTAAAGGGAAAATTATTTTTTCCGTCCTTACACTTGAAATTCTTTTCAGGAAAATGTTCTGCTTTTCCTGTAATTCACCATTTCATGTGCCTAGTTTTCTATTTATCTGGTATTAATTTATCTCTAAACTTTCCATCAGAAATGTGAATCACTTTACAGTGAACCTCATAGATAGTTTATCAACTCACTTTTATCTCAGGAGCCTCTTGCCTGAAGCAACCTGAGTTCTTTTCCAGTCCACTGTGGCTGCTGTCTCTGGGCCTCCTACATGGCTGCCCT